AGCAAATGTCAATTTGTATCATTTTGTCACATCGGGAAACAATTTGGAAAAATATCCCAGTTGATCCCAGTTGTATCAGCAAACGGGCCCTGGGTTTGCCAAGTTGCAAACGGGCCGCTTCTGTGGCAGTGAGCAGCCAGCTCCAGCTTCAAAAGGGAAGTAGTCGATGCCTGCAGGGGGGGATATACTAATACACGGTGATATCAATGGGAATTTCAGGAACCGATTGATTGGAGGTACCTACCATATATAAGGCCTATATAATGCCTAGATTTCAGGGAATATCCCAAAATATGGCCTTATATGGTACTAACGTACCTCCATTTTAGGATCCTGAAATTCCCAGTGATGATATACACTTCACTGGACTTGCTGACCCCCATGGAACATGATCAACTGAAAACGCTGGTGGATTTACATCACACCATGCTCCAGGGTGCCAGTGTGGTTTTGCTGACGCGCCATACTAGATGCAAATAGCAAATGCAAACTTATAGATCTTGAAAACTATGAAAAACTAATTATTTCAACTATTTATGTGTGTTACACTTTCTTACATGTTCTTGCAATATTTGGACACTAATTGGACATATAGTCCTCCCTGAATTCATCATTGAGCCCTGCCTGGAACCCGGCGGGTCAATTCCACCTGCAGCGAGATCATTTGATCATTTCCAAAGGGGAAATCCATGGGATTCTTCATGGGATTCTTCAACAGTTTTAGAATCACAATGTGAATCTAATATGAATCCGGTTGGTGCTTTCAACCCCTCAGGTGGGATTACGACATTCCCAACTGAATGGAAAGTCATAAAATTCCATGGTTCCAAACCAGTAATCAGGAACCATGTCTCCATGAATCTAATGTTTGTAAAATTTTGTAAACACCGCGAATTCCTCTAAGTCCCGTTGTGGATTTCCTCTCCTGCTTTCCCTAGCCGATCGATCGGTCGATTGGGGTTCGATGAGGCCCATTCCTACCAGAGCCCCACCCATTGTTGGTTTCTCAGATCATGTTTGATTTCGTCCCCATTTCCATGTGCTTTATGTCGGGTTTCCATTTCAAAATCTTGGACTGGACTTACAACAAATTTCGGAAAGGGGAAGCTACCATGCTTCTAGAATCCTCAAACATCTTGGGCAAAGCCCACTCTTTTAACCAAATGATGAATGCAGAATAAACATTGCACATCTTCAAATCCTATCATTCAAATGTCATTCATCTTCAAATCTTATCATTCTGAACTTCACAAAATGTCTAATCCTCAGATTTCTAAATCCGTCTGTTTGGGTTAACCCCCCAGTCCGCCATCGGTTCGCCTCATTGACGCCGCAGATCTCAGCGGACGTCGATGTCAAATCGGGGGTCGGCTGCTGCCAGAAGCGGCGCCGCGCCAGCGCTGTGGCTTGGAGGCAGAGCTGGCAGAGGTCGCCGGGCTTCAAACGGACCTTGCAGCTTGGGATTGGAGCATAAGATTTCTGATTTTCATGAAGCTGCTGGAAGTCCTTAGTAATCTTAGCCATTGAACCAAGGATTTGTATGGTATGATTTTTCCATATTTTTCCATATGTTTCCCTTTAGTCACCCAAGAAAAAACACCGGTGCAGTTGGGGTAGCCGCACTTGTCAAGCGACCCAGCCCAAACCAGGCGGCATCTGCCGAGAACTTTGCCTCGGAGGGAACCAACGGAAACCACAGATGGAGACTTGCCGTGAAATCTACACTTCTCTGGTTGGTGGTATACCTACCCCTCTGAAAAGTATGAGTCAGTTGGGATGATTCTTCCCAATATATGGAAAAATAAAAAATGTTCCAAACCACCACCAGTTCTTGTTTCAACCTTTCACTTCTTTCTAGATGATCTATATAGATTGGCAGGAAAAATCAGGAAAATATCAAACTACCGGTTTTCGGTCTGGTCTGTCCAAAAAGTGTCAGAGCCATGATTGCCCCTGCAAGATCCTGCAAGGCCTATGCCCACGATACCCTGAACCAATCCTCGAACCCGGCTTCACAAGGCTGGGATCAGTGAAGGCCAACATCAAGGGAAACCGGTGGCCAAGTTGCACCGGTTGCGTGCCATGTCCGCGAACAAGCAGCCTGAAAAACGAGGTTGTGCAGCCGTGATAGGCTGCGCATTCTGAGCTGGTTGAAGTGTAAAAAGTAATATAGAAGTATAATAAATTATATATATATAATGTAGCATAAATTTCAAGACCCATCCAGCACTTCAATCTCTGGTGACTTTCCAAACATGTCAGTTTTGAACTCAGTCCAAGCCATGATCCTCGCTCGTCATCTATCCCTCTCTCCCTGCAAGAAATCGTCGGAAATTTACATGTGTTTACCATCTAAAACAAGAATTTCATAGCGACTTTGAAGCTGACGTGGTATGGTACATCGTGGTGCAGTAATTACTTCACATCGCACCATGAAACAGTTCATCTCTTCAAAACCGATGGTGTTCATCTCTTCAAAACCATCACCATGGAGATCTCCGACCCTGCCCAGGTCGCCAGCAACTCTGCACCGGCTGCCCACACCGCCCGCAGCTGGGTTTGCCGCTGCCGCCAGAAGCGTAGCGGGAGGCTTTGGGGACCGGCATCGTGGCAGGACCTCGGTAGAGTTGTGATTTCTATGGCTACACCATGGTACTAAAAAGCCAAACAGTTGGGTTACCAGGCCTCTAACTATGGTTAGATATGGTTAGATATCCATTTTTATAAGTGGAACATAGTGGAACTGCACCCCCAAGTGAGCCAAGAAAGATTGGCATACTATCATCAAGTATAGTGACATGCGCTTGCTCATTTGCTGCTTGACTCTTATCTTGTCCTGACATCACTAATGAACTCAACTCCCTTAGTTTTAGGAAAATCTTGGGCCTGCAAACACTGGAAAATCAAACATATTTATTTTATCATTTTGGTGTCATTTTGTTGTCATTTTTGTTGTCATTCACGTTTGTCATTTTGGATTTGCGTTGTCATTTTTTGTCATTTGTCATTTGTTTGTCATTTTATTGTAATTTTGGGAACGGGAAAATGCAAAAAAACTCCTTAAGAAATGACTACCATGACAGACCTTTTGTTACCTCGTGGCGGCACCAAATACAAGGAACAAGTGCAGAAACTCTTGGAAAGCCAGCCGGCGATGAAGAGGATAGGGCAGGGGAGCTTGCCCTGGGGAATTCGTTTTTGGGCCTGCCTGGACGAGGAGTTGTCTCCCAGCTCGGGGTGCAGGCTTGGGGGGAGCCGGCTCAAAAACCGGGTGAAGGGGCCGGGGCCGGGGTGAAATGGCCCAGGGGAGGCGGCTCAGGGCCGGGAAGCGGGGTCGACCTGGAAACTCCAAAAACGCAACTTTACCAGCACGCGAGTTATTTTTTTTGCATTTTTTTTGCATTTCCAAGACTGGGAGTCATTTTTTGGCATTTTTTTGCATTTCCCAAACCGGGAGTCATTTTTTTACATTTTTTTTTTGCATTTCCTAGACCGGGTTTGCCACCTTCACCGCTTGAGATCCGGATGAGAAAACGACAAGAACATGAAAAAAAATGACCCGCGTGCTGGTGAAATTGCGTTTTTGAACTTTCCAGCTCGGCTCAGGATCCAGCCACCCGCGCTGGATGAGAAAATGACAAACAAATGACACAAAAATTACAACAAAATAGCAAAAACACGACAAAAAATGACACCGCAAAACAGGAATGACAAAAAAAATGACAAAACCAAACGACAAAAAAATATTCAACAACCCTCAGAGTTTGCTGGTAAGATTTTCATAACCTTAGTTCTTGAAAGCATATTTGCCCTACTTTGAACAGAGAGAACGGATGCATTTTGGTGAAGTGATGTCCGAAAACCCCTAAATGGAAGCTTTGAATTAATGTGCGTAAAAGAATATTAAACCACCCATTAGCGAATGGTTTATACCACCTATTTATTGTGATTTCGGGGATGTTTTATATTTGTTTTACCCAGATTATTGTTTTTTCCAGCCGAAAAGCACACGTTGATGGAGTCGAAGCAATTGGCAAAGTCGTCAAACGACATCCTGGTAGCGCTGGACAGGCCCAGCAGCCCAAACACATTACCAAAATCGACACAAACCTTAAAAAAATACACATTTTATCACACGTATGTTTCCAAATTAGGAGGGAACCCACAATATCACAATCAGACGCATAAGACGTGCATCATACACGCACAATGAATCTGACATACACTGGCAGATTTGGTCTGCGTTGAAAGCGGCCCACTACTTCGACCAACATTGACCCGTCACCTGTAATGACTCTTGGATGGCACACTGGACCCCATAATCCATAATAAATTTCCATTGAACATGGAATCTTCTGCCAAAATACATCCTTTTGAACTTCGAATGCAATATATCATCCGACATCACATGTTTTTATTTCGGTTTCGGCTCATGGGTTTTCAGCATGTGGATGGGAAAAAGCTCTTAGTAGCTCCAAAGCCCTCCTCATTGAATACGGCTCCAACATTTTCCCTCCGTTCACCACTCGACAAATAATATGCATATATGTAAATTGCCTTATTAACATCCCATTCACATCCCATTTTCATCCCGTTCATACATCATCCTAAATATATATATATATATGTACATAATATATATATATAATATATACATAATATATATATATATACACATAGTATATATATATATACATAATATATATATATATATATACAGAATATATATATATACATAATATATATATATACATAATATATATATATATATACATAATATATATATATATATACATAATATATATATCATTATATAATAAATATATATAAATATACCATTCCTATGTCATGAACACAAATAAATACACACATATATATATATATACAAATAATACATATATATATATAATATTAATAATCCCATATGTATATAGCATATATATGGTCATTTTCCCAGCTATCCCATGGCATTTTTCACCACGGCACCAGAATGCGCCATCAGGGCGTCCCACATCCAGGCGCCCAGCGCGCTGCGCCAGGTCGGAGGCAACGTGGGGATGCTCCATCCAGCTGCAGGACCCCCGCGACCAGGCGCCACGCCATTCTTCCTGGGGATGGAGAAAACCCATAGGAACTTAAGGGGAAAACCATGGGAAAACATGGGAAAAACCACGGGAAAAGCCATGGGAAAAACCATGGGATGTTGATGTTTTTTTTGGGAACTATAGTGGTTTATTTGGGTTACTTTGAGGAAAACACTGGCTGGAGACTGTGGATTTTATATCCTTTTCTTCTGGATATTCTGGGAGATTTGCCCTTCAACTAATTCGGGGTGGGATGAGGTGAAAGCACCATAGTTCAGATGACCATATGGGAAAACACTTGTTTTTTTTTTGAATCATGTAGAATCTATAACAATCGATAAATGGATGGAGCTGGTAGGGGGAATGCTGGCAGTTGGAGTTGAAATAGAAATGAATAGAAATTTCAGCTCTGCCAGCCGGACATTGGGCTGAGCAAGTTGACAGCAGGAAAAACCTCTTTAAGAGGGGAAACAACCTGCCAGTGATAACACTCTCCCTTAGGGAGCAAACCGTGACAAACATTGCCTAAGGGGTAAGGAATCACTAGAAATAGAATTACAGTATCTGAATCAGGAATCGATATCAACAAAAATAGAGGTACCTGTTACCTGTGACTTAACAATCATTGCGTTAGGGATTAATCATCTCAGGTGGTGTCTGTGGTTAGTGTAATGGAGTTTATGGGAGAATCATCTGGCAGAAGTGAGGGATTTTCCCATTCGTCACCACAATGCTACACGCCACGGTGTTGAGATGGTATGGCTGCTGCTACCATTTCTTGGGAATGGCAGTGGAGAGGTTGATATCGCCGGGAACATGTCAAAAACCGGGTGGGTGGTGACATCACGAACCCGAAATACACCAGGTTCAGGGTGCCGAAGGCATCCGAAGGCTATCCACATCGGTGGGTGGGGGCATCAACCACCTCAGAACTATGAGTGACGTATGTTCGGAAATAAATCCAGGAGGCTTCATGATGACACTTCTGAACCCCAGTTCCCCATGCAGCTCCCGCCAAAAACCAAACAAAGATTTGGTGGGTGCCCAGCTTTTGAACTAATTACTATCTGGTTATGACTAACATAGCCATGGAAAATCACCATTTTTAATAGGTAAACCATCTTTAAATGGGCCATCTATACCATGGCTATGTTAAATAACCAGAGGGTATAGCTATATAAGTAATGCTAATTGATGGAGCTCCAAAATATCCGAGCATCTTTCCCCCAGGGGTTGCGCAAACGAATCATTCGCAGTCCGTAGACCTCTTGCACTTCCAAGACCTCAGAACTTGCGTAGACCTCTGCCATTGTCACCATGCAATCCATTTCATAAAGGTCAACAGTCTCCGTGTTAAATCCCAAGTGCTTGACGGTTCAAGGTCAGCGCATATCACCACCCCAACTTAACTTTTGAATTGAATAAAAAAACATCAACTACCCCCTCAGCAGCAAAATTTGCCACACTCTAGCACATTTTTCCAACGATTTCCCCCTTCAAATTTGTTCGACTGAAAATAGGCTGCCCCAAAAATCCACTGTTTAGTATTCTTTACTGATCATTTTCCCCATTGAACACCAGTGAACCAGCAATTTCAGGATATACCTTCATATCTCCCATTTCTGGACCCAAGTCTATTTCAGATATTTTCGGCTTTTTGTTCCATTTCTCAACCCCAAATCATCATTTTCAGGCCAACAAGAATCCCATGGATCTCCGATTTTCTGGAGCCCAAGTCACCCAACAAATACCCTCTGGTAATTTGTTACGTAGCTATTGAAAATGGCCCAGTCGAAATAGTTGATTTTCCCATCAAAAATGGTGGATCTTTCCATCGTTTTTTGTATGTTTACCAGAGGGTATCACCATCATTATACCATCATTCATCACCATTAATCACCATAATCATTACACCATTATCACCATTTACCAGAGGGTAGGCCGAAATCCAAGGCGCTGAATACGCATGCCCTTCCAGGATCCCATCAGATCGGCGCTGTTCCAAGCGCCCAAAGCGACCGCTGATGGAGGCAGCCAGCAGGAAGTTCGCTTGCTCGTAATACCTCGGTATTACGAACTGGAAGCCAAAAATGGCCGACTCTTGGTGGTTTAGATTTGTACATGTACATATTTATATACATATAATTATATATATATGTGTAATTATATATATAGGCTATTGAACACCCAAAAACATGGTTTGACGTTAAATAGTATGTGTTTTTTTAAATGAAGAACAAACGGCATGTTCATTTTGTGAATTAATCTGCATCTTTGTCTTGTACTCACATTTGCTGGTTCGTCTGCCCACGCTGGGTACATCTAGCCCTGGCGAAGTCTGGGTCATGACGGTCACAAGCCCGAGTCCACTGGTGATCATCCCAAGCATCATCACATCAGGTGTATAGGTATGCTGTGGTGTGCTACATAATATTTGGGTGTCACTTAAACTGAATAATTCGGCCATGAAAGGAGATGATTTCCCTTGTTAACCATGATTCCAGTGAGGGAGAACACTGAGGTCGTTATACTTTACCCAGATAATATTATCTGATATTGTAAGTACATATAAACACCGACCAAAGTTCTTGACCAAAAATTTGCGACCAGCAATTCTTTGGCCACCGTTTCAACATGTATTGCAACAGTGTTCGTGGCCCATCTTGGTAAATCACGGAGGATGTGGGTATGTCTGACACTCTAACACACCCAAAATCTCATAGTTTCTCCGCATGTTCCCCATTAAAATCGCCAACTTGGGTTACCCCCTCATTTCTGGACAAATCATTTTCCATTGGTTTTCCATTGATTTTCCCAATGGACTGGATCAACGCCGCGTTGCGCTAATCTGAGGAACAGGTTCTCGTTGTTCAACCGCTTCTGCGTGCGATGATGTAGTGCCTCAAAGTGGAGGCATTAACGGATAACCTCTGGTAATCAAAAAAGGCTGGCTGGAACATATCCTATAAATGGAGCTTTGAATGAGAAATATGGGAATATCATCTATATATAAATGTTTTTTTTCATTGCCACCTTTGATTACTGGGGGGATGTGAACCTATCAATATTGAATTGTATAGAAAGAGATCAACATGGCAACATCAAAAGCTGGCTCTATAGTCTCTATAGCTCGCAAGCATGGTTGAATAGGGACGACATGTGATGAAACCTACATTTTCTGGCTACTTAGGCCTAGATGATCCACAAGAAATATCTGGGTCCGGTGGGAGTTCATTGAACATCATGTGTTGTGAACTCAGGCGGAAGAGCCCCCGGGCCCCATCACAGATCCATCACAGATCCACGGGGAAACCTCCACATCATAAGTTCCCATGGGTTGATGATCAAAATCAGCGAGTTGCCCAATAAAATTGGTAGAACGTGGTAGAACCAGGACTAAGCGCCATGTACTTCCCTGGGCCTCAAACCATAGGTGTAACGGTATAACGGTATAACCATCAAGTAGCGCATCAGCAGCGCCCTACAGCCGAGCTTCTCCAGTGAGTTTCGAGTTGTCATAGCGCGGCATCTCAAATTTCAGCAGCTGCCAGCGATCGTGCCCTGACCGGCCAGCCCTCCATATCAAATGGTTTGCAATCCTGTGGAATTCATAGGGTAATAAACACATCCCCATTTCTATGGCATTTTTTGGTCTGTCCAAAAATGAAGGATGCCCCAGCAAAACCATTTCCATAATGGAAAGATCTTGGGATTTTACTGGTTTCCTTTACATGATCAAAGAAATCCAGAAGTCCAGAAACATTCACCCATCAACCCGCCATTCACCAGGCTTAGCCCAGGAAAGATCAAGACGGGCCTTCTTTTTGCCATCGCAGTTGCTCTCGTTGCCCCGTCAAGGCCTCCGCTCTCGGGGCCCTAAAGGGGCCAGAATGCCATCGAATTTCTAGATTTCAATGCTTAGTTAGGCATAATCCATAATAATTGATCCAATTGATTTAATCATCTATTCATTTATTTATTTAAAACATCAATGTTATTTATTTATTAAATGACTTAGGCAGATACAAATCCACAATTCATTTATGAATATTTAAAACATCCAATCATTAATCCAGTCCAATCATGAATAATCAACCCAAGTATCACTAATCTGGGACAAACTAGTGAGGATCCAGTGAGGATTAATAATCAATAATACCATCCCTATGATATCTCTCTCTCCATCGTATCGGGGGTAGCTATTAATATCTAAGCATGGCCATTCCGTTGGCTGGTGATTCTCCAAAGGATCCTCATCTTCTCAAGAGAAATGGGTAGAACAGACCCCAGATCTACAGCATTCTACAGTGTGCAGCCATATGGGTCGAAGAGCACCTCATGAAATGGCGGTAGCACCTGAAAACATGTTCTTTTTTGGCGCAAGAAGGACTGAAGTCATCCCAATCAGCAAACCAGATTTATCACCGTGAATCTTCAACCCTTCATGTACCAATTCTTTTCCATTTATCCTTTTTTCTTTTTGAAGTGGCAAGGGTGGGGCCCATCATGATCCATCTTAACCTTCAACATCAATTCCATTCAAATTCAACTGCCATGTGATATATATATATATATGTCTTTGGAACCAATAGGTGAGAACGAAAGGTTAGGTCTATTCCATCATTCCATGTGATCAACAAACTCCCATGTGATCCTGGTTGGTGGTTTCAACCGCTCGGGATTATGACATTCCAAATATATGGAAAAATAAATTTCATGTTCCAAACCACCAACCAGATTCAATTGATGTTGTGATACTTGGTTCCAACCACCATTTCTAATGGCTAAATCAACTTTTTTGGACTGGGCCATTTTCCAGTTCGCAAGCTGTTATGTTTCTAGCATTTTCAGGTCCTGAAATTCCCATTGATCAAAATAGCCGCATAGCCTCTGGCAAACTATTCAATAGCTATGGAAACTCACCATTTTCAATAGCGAACTGTAACAAATTACCAGAGGGTAAAATTCCCATTGAGTGGATTATAGTGGATTAAAATCACCATTTTCAATGGGAAAATCCACTATAAATGGTCATTTTCAATAGCTATGTTAAATTACCAGAGGGTACCTCCAAACGTCCCAACCTTCCATTGCCGGAACCTGAAAGGCCACCTCAGGGATTCCGCCCTCCAAGGCTGCGTAGGAGCCCGCCACTTTTGCGAAGGCCTGCGATCGCCCAAACCGCCCCCAGTGATGGCGAAGGCAGATGGGCCGACCATCTGAAAAAATGACATTTTAAGGTCTCTGAAAAGGGGAAAGAAACATCAAATTGCCAGCTTTTACTAATAAAAATGATGATCAACTATTGGATTTGGAGGTTTTTAAGACAAAGCCATCAGTGAAAACTTGGGGATCATCATTCCTGGACTGAAGAACCATTTTTTCGTGGGTCAGAACGGTTTACCAACTGGGAATGCATGTTGCGACTGCTGGTTGGGCCAGCCAGCCCAACAAGATTTCTTCAAGCCGCAGATCCTCGTCTCAAGTCAACAAATGAAACCCGCCCCAGGTCTAGTTGGGAGCAACTCGTGACCGAAGGTCATTCTCTCTCAGATTTTTTTCAATATTTCTCAATTTGATATCCAGTTATCCAGTTCTTGACAATGACAGAATCCCTCGCTTAATATTGGATTTGTTCATTTGGGGTCTCCAAATACCAATTTTGGCTGGTTAACCCCATGATGAATCAGCCCGTATCTATTCATCTGGGTTTACGGGTAAGAACTGGGAAAAAAATGAAAAAACACCGTTTGATTTCTCCAAAAAATTAGGCTCGCCCCTCCTCTCCACACTGGAAACATAATTTAAGACACTGAAACAAACACATTAAGGATTTGCACTTTGGCAAATCCTACGCATCTGAAAGATATTATCCTATAGTATGATTTCAACGGTATCTGCAGCATTTTGACCTTGAATTTCTCGTTTGCGTACTCGCAGCAGCTTGACGCCAGCATCTGTACTTATTTGCAGCATTTTTGCACTGAAAATCCTTTTCGCATGGTTTTTGCAAAAACATGTTTGGATTTAGTTTTGAGATCTGTTCAGGGTTGGTTTAGGGTGTACATTGTGTAGTTGGTTTTGATGCTCATTCAAGGTTGTCTTACGGTTTTTATCTGGTTGTTCTAGGGTTTCTTTAGGGTTAGTTTTAGTGTTAGTATGTTGATTTAGCGTTGGTTTGGTGTCTTTTGGTGTTGTTTTAGGCTTAATTTAGTGTTGGTTTGGAGGTAGTTTTAGGGTTTATTTAGGGTTGTTTTAGGTGTTTTAGGGAATATCTCTTTCGCAAAATATAGCAAATGCATCTCTCTCTTGCAATTGTTTCAATCCTCCCCAGTATCAGCCCGGTTTTGTGGATTTGGACTTGGCATCACAACTGAGAGTCCTTCTCCAAGAGTAAAGGCCACACTTCCCCGGCCACCGGTTGGGCAAAACCTGGCACCATGGCAGGTTTTCAGAAACGTGGCAGGCAGGTTTGACCCATCCTTTTCGTATCGTGAAAACTCAGTGCCCCAAGGATCAGACTGAAACACCACGGGGACCTAAAGATTCAAAAACTTCTGGTGGTTTGACCGAAGATCAGGCGCACCTTTCAAGACCTACAACTTATGCAGGTCATTTGATTATCTACAACTTATATCAACTTATCAGGTGCGTCTTTGGGTTACCCTCCGCTCATCAAACACGGCACGCTGGGAAACCCCCTAATGGAGGGTTAGTGGGAAAATCATCTATAAAAATGGGGAATGTTACATTGCCATGTTTCATTACCAAAGTAACATGTATAGAGTAACATGGCAAAGTAACATTCCCCATTTTTATAGATGATTTATCCACTAAATCCCTCCATTAGGGAATTTCCCAGCTTGATTCATCCAAATGTTGTCAACCGAGGAGCAAGGCATGTCCTGATAGTTCACCACAAATCTCCTGGGCAGGTGGATTGGGACCAGTTTTCCGAGCGAAACATGGGAAAACCTAGCAGGGTCCAGTTTCCCTTGCGATTTCCCTGGCGATTCTTATGATTCTTTCACGATCAACATTGATGTCATGATTCTTACCCTCTGGTAAACGGTAAACAAACATAGCTATTGAAAATGGCCCAGTCGAAATAGTGGATTTACCCATTGAAAAATGGTGGATCTTTCCATAGTTATGTTACCCTCTGGTTATGTCAAAATAGCTATTGAACATGGACCATAGAAATAGTTGATTTACCCATTAAAAATGGTGATTTTAATCCACTATAATCCACTCAATGTGAATTTTAATCCACTCAATAATCCACTATAATCCACCTATTAATAAAGATGGTGATTTTCCATAGTTTTTTGTATGTAAAAACCAGGCCGGGTATGTCATGTTGAATCCAGCAGCTGAGGGATCCATGGCACGGAGACGCACGGCACCAAGTCATCAATCTCCACCTCAAAGGTGGCTGGATGGGCAGAAACCAAGATATCACCTTCAAAAATGGGGGAAAACCATGGAAAAACCATGGAAAAACCATGGAAAAACCATGGAACATCAGCATCCCATAGCATTTTCGACTTTTTTTTTCTGGAGTCCCAGCAAGTTCCATCTTACACACCATCGAAGCGTCGGCAAGGCGCTGTGCGCCAGCTTTTTTTGGAGTGGAAGAGGTGGATCAAGTAGCGCCCCTCAGGTGAGAGCGACATTGGCTCGAAGAGCATTTCAACCTCAGCCGAAATGAAGCGTCTAACCATGTCTAACCACTTTTTGGGAACCATTTAAGTTGGGAAAACGAGGATGAACCTGTGGATGTAGGAGTGCCACATTGACAAACCCATGTGTAACATAGAAACTGATGAGGCTGGATGGCTATCATGGGTTATCGTTCTCGTTTTTGCAGCCAATGGAATCTTGACCACTATAGATACGATTGATGGTATTGCTCAATAGCATCATGATCTTTATTGGCAAACCTGATGAGAATGATTGTATTATTCACAATGATTCGCTCAATAAATCACATCAACCTTGACTCCAGAAATCTCATCTGAGAAACAACTCATCTGGGTAAATTATAATATTTCACTAACCTGAATCTTGCGGCCATGAATGGGGATGATTTCCCTTATTAACTATGATTCCAGGGTTCGGGAGAACACTGAGGTCGTTATAATTTACCCAGACTCTCCATCCACGCATTGCCCAAGGCACATGGCCCGGGAAGTCCGCCAAGCATGCGAAGGCGCCGATGAGCCAACAGTCTCCCAGGGCACCTTGCTTCACCTGCAGTTGGAGGCCGATCACGGCTCCCATCGTTATGTCATGATTGACCATAAAATTGTCGGAAAAAACGCAAAAATGTGTCAATAATGGCCATAAATTTCCATAATAAGTATTAGGGAACTTATTTATGTCACAATGATGTTTGCCATTATGCCAATTATGGTGTCATTTGTGGGGAATGGAATGCGGAATGATCCATAATAAGCATTACCCTCTGGTTATGTCAAAATAGCTATTGAAAATGGCCCATAGAAATAGTTGATTTACCTGCTAATAGCATGGTGGATCTGTCCAGTTCGTTTTTTGTATGCTTACCAGGCCGGGTATACTGATAAATGGGATGATATAGGAAAAACTATAGTTACACCAGTTATATATGGTATAAACCATCGTTTTTTCTATGTTTACACCAGTTTTACCATGTTTTACCATGGTTTTTACCATCAAATATAGGATAATGATGCCAGGCTTCACCATGCCATGATCCCATTCCCTACGTAAAAAAGCCGTCAGTTTCGACCTTGGCGGCTCTCGGCTCGCGGCCGAAGAGTGTCACGGTGCCATGTCCTGTGGATCCCTATGGTCCAAGCGGTGAAGGGTGACATGACATGTTTCAATGGATTGGTTTAGTCGGGAAAATCTACAGGAAACCATGGTTTTTACCATCAAATATAGGGCTTTCCGGTTAAAATTTTCCCATCATCCAATTCTATGAATGTTAGAAAAACACGAGTTAATAGTGTATTATCTATAAAATCTAGTATGGTTTTCAGAGTTTTATTATCTAACTATTGCATAATTCTTACCATTGTCTACTATATATATATATTTATCGTTTTATATCTAGTATGGACGAATCGATGTGATAGGCCAGCCAATCGCTAACGTGTTGATGTGGGATGACGCCAATATAGGAAACCAACTAACATCCACAAATCCAAGCTTATCCAAACTATCCAAGCTATTTTGGGGTTCCCAGGATGCCAGGGTACCCATAGCCGTCTTGGATCGTCTTGGCAGCTCCTCGCAGCTGCCCGGCGCGTGTCCACACCAGGCTGCCCACGGATGGTCCACGAGTGGTTGCGCCCAAGGAGGCGACTGTGGGAGGGAAGTTGGGGTCCTCCAAACTGGGGACATCAACGGCTGGAAGTGACTTTTTGCCTGGGATTTCTAGATATGTATATACACACACACATATATATATATATTATGTTATAGTTAATATATATATATGTATATGTGCGTGTGTTTTAATATTTTTAAATATGTTTTTATGTAAACATGGTTTATATTGTTAAAACATCACATCTTTTCTAAGATCTAAGGTTTTAGATTTGTTTATTGGATCCGATTCATTCATGTCCACGGATCCCGTATTTTAAGGGCACTTTTTTTGGCACATGGGGCGATGTTTTTTCAGGCCAAGTCAAAGGACCATCGAGTGCAGGGTCTAGCCTCACGGAGGTCACTTTCATGGAGGTCAAAAATGAAGAAACGTAGGAAAACCGCTGATGAAACCGCTGTTTTTGGGGATGATATTGTGGTATGCCCAACACCATAAACTGTCCACAAGTTCACCAGAAATGGGTCGGATGTTTAAGCCTCCAAAAATTGAATCTATCTATCTATCCATCTATCCATCCATCGATCTATCCATCTATCCATCCATCTATCCATCCATCTATCCATCCATCCATCCATCCATCTATGCATCCATCCATCCATCCATCTATCCATCCATCTATCCATCCATCCATCTATCCATCCATCCATCTATCCATCCATCCATCTATGCATCCATCCATCCATCCATCTATCCATCCATCCATCTATCAATCTATCCATCTATGCATCCATCCATCTATCCATCTATGCATCCATCCATCTATCCATCCATCTACTGTATCCATCCATCCATCCATCCATCCATCCATCCATCTATCCACCCATCCATCTACACATTCACAAACATATTTTTCCCCATGGATGGCGTTCCCTCTCCTTGAACTGTGCACATCCGCAGGGCGCTTTCCGCCGCACCCGAAAGGGCCAGTGCCACGAGAGGTCGACCAGGGCGCAACCTCGGGTCGACCAGGGCGGGATACAACGAGGCTTCACCATTGAAAGAAACATGGGATACCATGGATATATCATGATCTAATTCCACCATTAAAAACCATGGGTATACTATAGAGATATCTATAGATCCAACTGCACTAAGAATCTGTTGAGTTTTTTTTTTGGCCACCCAAAATAGATTGCATTAGTTTGGTGATGTTTGGTGAAACCCGTAGTTCGTTGCAAGGTCGTCCATGAAAATCACAGGTTCCATCTCAGCATCCAATGTCGGGAATCACGTTCCAATGCTCAAGTCATCATGATGCCTGGAAATACCCTCTGGTAAACATACAAAAAACTATGGAAAATCACTATTTTTAATGGGTAAATCCACTATTTCGACTGGGCCATTTTCGTTCGCAAACTGTAAACGTTTACCAGAGGGTACATGGAAATACGTCATCCTCTGGGGGATGATTATGATGATTTCTCTCTGCTAACTATCCTTCATTCATAGAAACATATAGAGACGTCGGGTGTCATCATTTACCCAGGCACTCGCCAGCATGCTTAAGGCGGTGCGGCACCATGGCAACCACCGGAGGCATGGGAAGGTTGGGATCCAGAACCCCAAAAATCGGCAGACTGATGACGAATGCGGAGATTGATGTGTGATTTCTTCAGTCTCTGGTCGTCCAAATCAACGCACAAGGACACATGTTCTTAAACACCACCTGTATCCACCTGTCTTGTTCCATTCCAAACCAGTTGCTGTCTGGTGAACCCGGGACAGCTGCGAGAATGATTCGTGACAGTCCAGGGAAGTGCCGCGATGTGCCACGTTGTGCCACGTTGTGCCACGTTGTGCCAAAGGTCGATTTCCAGTTCAAAAACTACATGTGCCCCACGGCAAATGGAGTGACATCCCAAAAACATGACTTAGAGATGTTATCATGGTGGATCTTAGATAATCTAGATACCTGCCCTCAAGAAAACTATGTTTTAGCTGGCTAGTCAGTACATGTTACCATTGATAGCTTGAAAGATCAAGTATCAACCATTATAGTTCATGATAGGTAGCCGAACTTGTACCATAACATTGATAGCTCAAGGTTCGTATCTAACCAGTTGACCCAGTTGACCCAGTTGCCCCTGAAAGGCCTTCGATGGTTTCATATGCCACCTGTTTGAAGAAGACCTGGAAATTTCGGCGCGCTGGGGCTACCTTCCAGTTATCCGATGTTCCAGTAGAAACCATGGATATTCCAATATAAATCATGGAATATACAGTGGATGATAACTGGGGTATCCTGGTTGTATTCCATGACTTAGAAAATTTACTTCACTTCACTTCTTCCTGAAATCAGCTGTCAACAGTACCAACTCCCCAAAGGGGCGAGTTTTTGCACAGCCCAGCTCGGCACCGTGCTGAAGACTTCCAAGCCATGCATCTGGAACTTCAAAAAATATGGCTCTGAATCCATGCCCCAAGTGGTTTCGAAGAGAACCCCCCAAAAATAACTTCGAAACAAATTTATTTGGAAAAGCTGTTGGTTACTGCCATCCCTGGTTATCCTCTGCTAATTCAACATGATCATTGAAGTAAATGGCCAATGTTCATCGATTTTCCCTAGCGATTTGTCAAATTACCATGAGGGTATTTCCATTCTTTTCAATTTTTGTTGGTGAAATCCCCATTTATCACTATATTCACTATAAAATCCCCATGTATCACTATGAACCAGTGTAGTTACATTTTCCATCATATTTTCCCAACAAGATCAATCCATTGTATAATCATAGGATTGGTCTTGCGAACTGGAAAATGGCCCATAGAAATAGATGGTTTACGGAACTTAAAAATGGTGATGTTCTAACATAACGAACTGGAAAGATCCACCATGCTATTCATGGGTAAATCACCTGTAAATTGCCATGTTCAATAGCTATGTTTGACATAACCAGAGGGTAACATCCCATTTCTTCGGGCACCACCCTGGCATCCCCTGGGGTCCCCTGGCCGTCGTTTTGCCAATGGCATAAAGGGGCGAACTCGCAGGCCACTTCAACTCCTCAGGGGAAAAAGGCACGGCTGCGAATATGGTGAAAGATAGGAAATTAAGATATCTGGTTGGTGGTTTCAACCTACCTACCCCTCTGTAATATACTATTAATATATGGTTAATAATGGTTAATAATAATCTGGTTGGTGGTTGAGCCACCTACCCCTCTGAAAAGTATGATGGAGTGAAAGTCAGTTGGGATCATGACATTCCCAACTGAATGGATTTTAACGCTCTCCAGTAAATTAACATAGACCCTGGTAGATAGGGGTTGGAAGATTAGTTTCCACTAAACATGGGATTTTCAGGGTCTATGTTAATTTACAAGAGGGTATCCATTAAAAATAAAGTAGCCATATTACTGGAATTTCATATATGGCACTGCTAGTAATATGGCACTGCTAATATAATACTCCAAATTATGTTTAATTAATAGATTTTAATGGAGTGATATGGGGTATGAATGGTAATATTAATGGCAATATTAATGGAAGACAGGAATACATAATATAATGGCAACATATTTATTCTCTGGTGATTTATAACATTGCTATGGAAGCCATGGCCCATTTAGTTCGATGATCTATGTCGATTTGCCGTCCTAAAAGGTGATTCTCCATAGCTACATTGAATAACGAGAAGGTAAATCAAGTGGAGGAATTCTTCAGATATAAGAGATATATACAATCGCTACATATTTGCAGCAACATTTGGACTAAATCTACATGGCGAAGCACATCTTGGTGGTCTTGGTGACAACTGCCGTGACAGTTTGTCTCGGTTTAACCATCTGTCAACTGTGTCACTTTTGGTCCATCACAGCAAACTACACATTTAAGATCAAAGTATCTCATACCTGTCCTTTGAATCATTGGCCACACAGGGCTCGTCTTAGGATACCCTGCACATGATTGATCTCTTTACTTAGGGTCACATGTCATTAACAGTCATTAACATTCCCAATGATATGCCCGTATATGGAAGAAGATACTTGGTTCTTTGTAATACGACATGATCTCTTTTTGGATAACAAAAATCGCTATGGCGATGCCCCGCGATGCCCCACACCGCAGCGGTTCCTTTGCCAATTGCTGTAGGGATTCCTTTAAGCCTGGCGCTTGACGGCATTTGATCGACCAACAGCAGAGTTAAGGGATGCAATTCATAATAATTCATATATGGCAGTGTGTCAAAACCTTGTACCCCTGTAGTTCTCATCAAAATAGCTGGGATTTATGGATGTTCATCCCCCTAAAAATGGTATTAATAGGTATTGATCCATACCCATATCTAGATTTGGTTGTGGGTCAAAAGCCTGGTGCCCTAGGTATCCTAAAATAATCTAAAATAGATCATTAATGGTCAATCCCCAAAATAATCCCTAAAATAGATCATTAATGGTTACCACCCATTCATTAATGGTTACCCTCCAGTAAATTAACATAGACCCTGCCAGTTGTCGGGGTTGGAAGACTAGTTTCCACTATAAATGGGTGATTTTCAGGGTCCAACTGTTAATTTACCAGAGGGTAATCCATCAAAAATAAAGTGGCCATATTACTGGAAATTCAATATGGCACTGCTAATATAATACTCCAAGTTATGTTTGATGGATTTAAATGGAGTGATATGGAGTATGAATGGTTAATCCATCCAAATAACCATCTGGCTAATGGACCATGGATGGTTCTTCCCCGATGGTCATAGGTCATAGCTGCTATGATCCATCCCTATATATGGAAGGGCTACCCTCGTTGCCCAAGTCATGGGGCTAGCCTCAGTGATCATCCATAGGATGTTCCATTACCAAGCATCACTGCTTGGTGGTATACCAACCTACCTACCCCTCTGAAAAGTATGATGGAGTGAGTTTGTCAGTTGGGCCACCAGCCAGATCAATTTTGGGGTACCTCCATAAACATGGAAACCTATGGAAACCTTCATATAGGTTTCACCCCCATTTATTGATCGAAGAGCGATCAAACCTGGAAATGATGAAAAAAAGGGGGAAAGATCATCTAGAATCTATATCATCCATTATCATCCTGGAAAAATCGGTGCTCTCTGTTTTGGGAATCCCTATAATGATATGATGGGATGTGGTAAACCCAATAGTGGACATCAACATTTCATCCCCCACTGGAGGCTTATTTGCTACATTCATGGGCTGTACTTTCATATAAACCAACAATGTGAGATGTTATGCTCAAAAATGAAGGATGCCTCAATTTGTGGTAGTTTGAATGCGGAAAGTGGGGATGCAACGATGGGTTTTCGGGTGCCCAAATTCTCAAACAAACCCATATCGGATTCTTGTCGCTCCCACTGCGTTTCTCAAGTTCAACCATGTTCTGAAGTCCAAAGTCGGAGCCTATTGGTTGAATCACCAGGTTCATTGGTAACACCTACCCTCTGGTTATGACTAACATAGCCATGGAAGCCATGGCCCATTGAAATAGATGGTTTACCTATTAAAAATGGTGGATCTTTCCATGGCTATGTAACAAATAACCAGATGGTAACATTTGTTGGTGAAAACAAACCATGTTTTCAGGAATTCCGGGAAGCATTCAACACGACAGTCAGGTGGACACGCGTCTTTCATAGCTTCAAAGCGCTTCCGTTCATCCTTGGTTTGGAACGCCAAAGGGACTGGTTTGGCCCAAGGCGAGTGCAAAGGTTACCGTACAACCAAGAGGCGCTTCTCTAGAAACAATATACTAGTACAGTATATCACATGATGCGCGAATATACCATGCATATTACCACTAATATATTACCACTCTACAGTCATCATCAATGAAAAAATTATAAATATACCATGCATTTATATACACATGATGCCAATTAATATTAGCCAATTTCCTATTTATTGATGATGATGATCATTTGTGATGGGCGAAAGACACCAACAATCATTGGCCAAACAGATCGGATGCCATCAGTCTACGTGGCAACAACTCGTTGCCGTCCCTGACCTTTTCCCTCAATGCTTGTTGGAAACTGGTCACTATATAATTACTTGAACACGGAACCCAAAAATGAGTGGCAATTTCCAACCGTAAAATCATGAACATGAAACCCAAGAATACCCTTCAGAATGAGTAATTAACTGGCAATTTCCAGCCAGTAACATCGTTAAAATCACTTTTCATGGTCCAGTTTTTTTTTGGGTTGCGATATATGTTGGGTATTTGATGTGGCATCTTGGCATTTTTTCAATGGCTCTCCAGTTCAAAAAGTTTCGACGCCGCGGCACTGATCTAAAAACGAGACTTAAGAAGTCCTGCGGAGCGAAGATTTTCGGTCAATGATTCGGATCATCAGATCCATTAAATGATGATGTACACATGTTAATATATGGTTAATCTATGGTTAATATATGGTTAATCTACGTATGTTAATCTATGGTTAATATATGGTTAATGATGGTTAATAATAATCTGGTTGGTGGTTTCAACCTACCCCTCTGAAAAGTATGATGGAGTGAGTTCGTCAGTTGGGATTATGACATTCCCAACTGAATGGAATTTCATAAAATTCATGTTCCAAACCACCAACCAGAAAAATATGTTATATACAGATAATATTATATAATATTATATAAATAAACGATATACAAATATATTTCTTGAGACCACCGACCACCAACCAGGAATGGTTTTTGAGCTACCAACGGTCAAATATGGTATCTTCACTAAAAATCCATCTCAAAAACATGAGGCAAGTGGGGATCATGCAAGGGATCATCATCGCAAGCAACAATGGTACAAGTCTTTGAAGCTCAAAAAGTTCATTGGAATGATATTTTCCAATATAGTGACTATATAGTTGGGCAAAATTTGAAGGGGCCATGCGCCAACCGGTCTGCAATGTTTCCCATGATCCAAGTCTGAGATCCATTGAAGCCACACCAAAAACGCGATGGACGCCATGTCTAATAGCAGCTATATATCCCGAATGGTTGTCGATGAAATCTACTGTAACATAATTGAACGATGTCATGGTTAACTCATCACATTTTCTCCTACTTTTTGATGCGAAGTACGTCGAACCCGCCAAAACCCTAGCTCCGTCCTTCCAACAGGTCTTTACTGGATTCCTACAAGGCTGGAAACGATAGGAAGGTGGATTTTGCACGGCTGCGAGGATTCTACCGGCAATGTGGCAAGCCATGGAGCTGGTTGGATGGAACAACTCTCCTAATTTGGGATGGTTCATCCACTCTCAACCACCACCACCAGAAAGTCCTGTCATTAAAGTTACCAGACGAGCATCATGATTGCTGCATTATTAAAATGTTCATCCACTATCCCAACTATTCCCAACTAATGACTGGGAAATTGTCTCCCAGCTAATGTCTGGGATTTATTTTGTCCTAACAACATATAACAACTACCCCACAATCCTCCGCGCCTGCAGGGGAAGCCGGCACGCTGCACCTGCAAGGCCTCAATGACACCGCCTGAGCGCAGCTGTTCCACCACCAGCTGTCGCTCCACATGGCCTGGCAGCTGGGGAACAATCTGCTGGAGACAACACTAACACATATGTTCATAATGATATATTTGCAATTTCCAAGGATAATCTGGGATAATCTGGGATAATCGTCATGACATGTATGGGGAGGTCGCTTGAAGTTATTATAAATATCTTCATTGTAGGCAGTTCGATGTGGTTCAATATGCGTCAATATTGTTTAAAATGACCTGTCATTGGACGTTTTTGTGAGATTCAGCAATGAAATCCTGGAGGCACAAGAACAAGACAGGGCTGAACCAATAGTTCAATGATGGTTTGATGAAACAGCAGAAGAGCCATAAAGATGGGAGTCAACTAAATTAACTAGATTGACGAGACCATGTCCAATGAAATGATATGGTTCGGTGAGGATGGGAGCACCATGGCTTCATGGTCATGTTAAGTCATGAACATGGGGAGTATGATGGCAAGCATCACCAACATAAAAAATGTTGACTTTTCTTGGACAAGGAAGGGCTGGACAGACTCTTGGAGTTGGGATCAAACCGACCCCAGCTGGACAATCCGCAGGGCGCCTGGTGCCTTCTCTGGGTTTGGCTTGATACACCGCACCTGACCAGTCGATGCTTCAACGGCTCCATGGGTTCCGGAGAGCTTAGATCATAGACGCAGTGGACACAGAAACACAAAACATGGGATGATTTTGGATGCCCAGGTGCAAAGTGAGGCCCTGCTGATTTCATCTTTGTGACCTGAGCACGTCGAATCACAACTTCCAATCAAAAAGTGGGTCCGTAGGTTCATTCATTCTGGTCATTTACACTTCCAAAGCAGGATTCTCGTTGAGCCATGACCCCCCGGGGAGGTTTCAACAAAAAAAATGCACTTTGTCTCCAAGTTTCCCGCTAGCGACTCCAACTGACCTCAGAACTAGGGACTTGATGGCCCGGGCTGGGCCATGCACCAGGGATGGCCATATGTCTGGGATGAACTTGGCAACAGGACTCAACTGATTTCAAGTCAAGGCTGCTATGGGTCCTATGGGTCCTTTTTGTGGTCTGCACTGGTGGAAAGTTTAGCAAAAGAACAGGTTTTGCTTCATCCCATCCTGCTGCATCCCAAGCAGCTCTTGAAGTCTGTTGCAACCTGAGACACGAGCTGTGCAAATCAAGCAGCAGCATTTTGGTTCGAACGTACGAAATCCGAAAAAAATCCGAAGAAATCTGAAAATGGAACATATATAATGATCAATCTAATTTACTACAGCTTTACCATTTAGCTCTTATACAACCAGGCAGTGGTGATGAGCGGGCTTAATTATGCTGTGAATTAACCATGTTCCAAGGGCGTATCATCCACGCACAGTTCCTCACCCCTCATAGGCTTGGATGCCGCTGAGGAACTGTATGCGGTTTCAGGGTCTTGGCACGTCCTGCCACCTGCGGTCTGAGAGGATCGACGTGTCTGGTTGGATTTTCGTAGAGAGTGGCTAATGAGTATGGCCGGAAGCATCCGGAACCCAATCAAAAATAGAACCGGGTGTCTGGGATTTACTCATTTTTTTCTGGCCAATTGTTTCTAACTGTGATGCTGAGCCAAGCATATATACAACTATACAACCACGCCTGGCTTGAAGTATGTCGAGGTACCAAAAAATGGTGAGTTTTTGAAAACAGGTGGAAACCATTGGCTTTACAAAAATATATTGTAAGCACATGTGTATATCTGTATATATATATGGTGTTATATATTTATATAGATATACTTATATATATATACTTATATAGTTATACTTATATATATACTTACATATATGTATATATTTATACATATTCCTATGTATATGCTTATATATAAATATATTCTTATATATATATATATTATGCCGATGTTCCATTCATCTCACATCTTTTCCGCAGGCCCCAACAGCTGGCCTGCCGCTTTTGTTCCGAAGGAGACTTCAACTCGGTGAGCTGGGCTTTTGGGTCGCTTGAGATGTCTCAGTGACTGGAAATGTCCAAAACATCAGATTAAGTTGATATAAGTTGATATAAGTTAACCATAGATTAGTTGATATGGTTAACTAGTTACTATGGTTAACTGATTTAAATATGGATATTAGATTAGTTGATATAAGTTGATATACTAACCATTCCAAATATTCAATATTAAGGTGTGCATTCATAGATTGCCAATAGATAGTATCAACTGCCAATAAACAATATCAACTGCCAATATGAATGGAATGGTTAATATTCTATTAAGTTATTGATGTTAACTATTATAATCCAATGTCCATAGCAACCATTTATTAATATATCAATGATTAATATCCATCTATTAATATATTCATGATTAATATCTATATCCATTAAGTATGAATATCCATAGATAACACATGCCAAGGGACACCCTCGGTCACAGCTCGTTCCAACAAACTGCGTACGAAGGAATTGCTGGAGCCCTCGATGGCTTGCCTCCGGGGGTCCATGGGATTCTTCATTGGTTTCGTCGGGAAAATCTTCACCGGTTTTACCATGGTTTTGACCATCAAATTGAAATTTGGGGCTTTCCGGTTTAAAAAAAAAAACATCATCCAATTCTATGAATTCTTCGCTATGAATCATGGGTTCATCTAATAATATGAATCTGGTTGGTGGTTTCAACCTACCAACCCCTCTGAAAAATATGTTTTTTTTTTTTCTAATGGTTTACAATGGTTAATGGTGGTTAATGGATGGTTAATGGATGCTTATTATAATATTATATATCTGGTTGGTGGTTTCAACCAACCCCTCTGAAAAATATGAGTTCGTCAATTGGGATTATGACATTCCCTATGGACAAAAAATGTTCCAAACCACCAATCAGGGAAGTGTTGCAGGATGTAACTGATATAAAAGTTTGATCATATTTGAATGTATTTGATAGGTGTTTAGGAGCAAAAACAGCTTATTCAAGCATGCCATGTCTACTTATCTGGTGCTTGAGCCACCCCTTGAATACATCAGATTTAGTGGGGATCAAGCCCCTTGTTTTGTGACGGGAAAGAACTGATATGAACTGATCGTGAAAAATTGATACGTGGTTTCCACGATCGTGAACAATCTGGTTGGTGGTATAGCTACCCCTGTGAAAAATATGAGTTCGTCAGTTGGGATTATGACATTCCCAATATATGGGGAAAAAATCTTGTTCCTAACCACCAACCAAAGAATTTTTGCTTGAGATGAAGAAATCCATCATCAATAACCAGGTTTTTTCTCACCATTTTCCCAGGTCACATCACCAGGTTTGCCACCAGGTGAAATCATCATTTTCCCAGGTGAAAATCCAAAAGGAACTCCCCATAAGCATCAATGAATGACTATTGGCGGAGTTCCCCCCCTAATTGTCATAAACCATGGTTTAGTTTCATCCGGGGTTGACATCAACCATCAATCACTTCCAGCATTTTTGGTTGGCAACTTCCGCTTGGCCCCAAACAGGTGGACCCCTGAGAGGCCGGACTTCAGGAGTTCGCCCAGTTCATCCATGTTCTTGTCCTGACCGTAATGGCTATTACCTGGCCTGGTTTTTACATACAAAAAACTATGGGAAGATCCAGCATTTTATAGTTGGGTAAATCAACTATTTCGAGCTGGGCCATTTTCAATAGCAAACTGTTTGGACAAACCAGAGGGTAATGGGATTAGTATGGCTTGTTAATGGTTAATGTTTATCTTCATGGGCTATTTTTATGGATGACTAATGATGATCCATGTGGGTAAAACAATCGCCATGTTTACCAGCCATGAAAATGGGTTTATGGTAAGTTTATACCACCTACCCTCTGGTAAACAGCTACATAACTATGGAAAATCACCATTTTGAATGGGTAAATCAACTATTTCTATGGCCATTTTCAATAGCTATTTTGACAGAGGGTAACATCCCATGAACTATGGAAAGATCCACCATGCTATTAATGCTTAAATCCACTATAAATCACCATTGAAGTTAGTTTACCATTTAGGGTAGGTATATATATGGCACCTCCAACCTTCATCCCATTAGTATGGCTGATTAATGGTTAATGTCTATTTTCATGGGCTATTTTTATGGTTGATTACTGGATGACCCGGGGACCTGGCACCCCCGGTCTCGGATTGGGTCAACTCACTCGGGGTCCATGAAGTTGGTGCCGTCGTAACTCACCGGCCCCGCGAAGTGGATCACCGTGAAGCACATGTTTTTGCGCGCCCTGGAGGGAATGGCACTGGTAAAAGTATGGTTTTTCTAGTGGTGGTTTAATCTATGGTTAATCTATGGTTTTTCTAATGGTTTACAATGGTTAATGGTGGTTAATGGATGGTTAATGGATGGTTAATGGACCCCAAATTAGTGGAAAAGTATGGTTTTTCTAATGGTTTACAATGGATGGTTAATGGATGGTTAATGGTGGTTAATGGATGGTTAATGGACCCCAAATTAGTGGAAAAGTATGGTTTTTCTAATGGTCTACAATGGATGGTTAATGGATGGTTAATGGACCCCAAATTAGTGGAAAAGTATGGTTTTTCTAATGGTTTACAATGGATGGTTAATGGTGGTTAATGGATGGTTAATGGATGGTTAATGGATGGCTAATGGATGGTTAATGGATGGTTAATGGATGGTTAATGGATGGTTAATGGATGGTTAATGGATGGTTAATGGATGGTTAATGGATGGTTAATGGATGGTTAATGGATGGTTAATGGATGGTTAATGGATGGTTAATGGATGGTTAATGGATGGTTAATGGATGGTTAATGGATGGTTAATGGATGGTTAATGGATGGTTAATGGATGGTTAATGGATGGTTAATGGATGGTTAATGGATGGCTAATGGATGGTTAATGGATGGTTAATGGATGGTTAATGGATGGTTAATGGATGGTTAATGGATGGTTAATGGATGGTTAATGGATGGTTAATGGATGGTCAATGGATGCTTAATGGATGGGTAATGGATGGGTAATGGATGGTTAATGGATGGGTAATGGATGGTTAATGGATGGGTAATGGATGGGTAATGGATGGATGGTAATGGATGGTTAATGGATGGTTAATGGATGGGTTAATGGATGGTTAATGGATGGTTAATGGATGGGTAATGGATGGGGTAAATGGATGGGTAATGGATGGTTAATGGATGGTTAATGGATGGTTAATGGATGGTTAATGGATGGTTAATGGATGGTTAATGGATGGTTAATGGATGGTTAATGGATGGTTAATGGATGGTTAATGGATGGTTAATGGATGGTTAATGGATGGTTAATGGTTGTTAATGGTTGCTTAATGGATGGTTAATGGATGGTTAATGGATGGTTAATGGATGGTTAATGGATGGTTAATGGATGGTTAATGGATGGTTAATGGATGGTTAATGATGGTTAATGATGGTTAATGGTTAATGGATGGTTAATGGATGGTTAATGGATGGTTAATGGATGGTTAATGGATGGTTAATGGATGGTTAATGGATGGTTAATGGATGGTTAATGGATGGTTAATGGATGGTTAATGGATGGTTAATGGTTGGTTAATGGATGGTTAATGGATGGTTAATGGATGGTTAATGGATGGTTAATGGATGGTTAATGGTTAATGGTGGTTAATGGATGGTTAATGGATGGTTAATGGATGGTTAATGGTTGGTTAATGGTTGGTTAATGGATGGTTAATGGATGGTTAATGGATGGTTAATGGTTGGTTAATGGATGGTTAATGGATGGTTAATGGTTGGTTAATGGATGGTTAATGGTGGTTAATAAGATGGTTAATGGATGGTTAATGGATGGTTAATGGATGGTTAATGGATGGTTAATGGATGGTTAATGGATGGTTAATGGTGGTTAATGGATGGGGTGGTTAATGGATGGTTAATGGATGGTTAATGGATGGTTAATGGATGTTAGATGGTTAATGGATGGCTAATGGATGGTTAATGGATGGTTAATGGATGTTAGATGGTTAATGGATGGCTAATGGATGGATAATGGATGGTTAATGGATGGTTAATGGATGTTAGATGGTTAATGGATGGCTAATGGATGGTTAATGGATGGTTAATGGATGGTTAATGGATGGTTAATGGATGGTTAATGGATGGTTAATGGATGGTTAATGGATGGTTAATGGATGGTTAATGGATGGTTAATGGTGGTTAATGGATGGTTAATGGATGGTTAATGGATGGTTAATGGATGGTTAATGGATGGTTAATGGATGGTTAATGGATGGTTAATGGTGGTCAATGGATGGTTAATGGATGGTTAATGGATGGTTAATGGATGGTTAATGGTGGTTAATGGATGGTTAATGGATGGTTAATGGTGGTTAATGGATGGTTAATGGAGGTTAATGGATGGTTAATGATGGTTAATGGTTGGTTAATGGATGGTTAATGGATGGTTAATGGTGGTTAATGGTGGTTGATGGATGGTTAATGGTGGTTAATGGATGATTAATGGATGGTTAATGGATGGTTAATGGATGGTTAATGGATGGTTAATGGATGGTTAATGGTGGTTAATGGATGGTTAATGGTGGTTAATGGATGGTTAATGCATGGTTAATGGATGGTTAATGGTGGTTAATGGATGGTTAAAGGTGGTTAATGGATGGTTAATGGTGGTTAATGGATGGTTAATGGATGGTTAATGGGTGGTTAATGGATGGTTAATGGTGGTTAATGGATGGTTAATGGTGGTTAATGGATGGTTAATGGATGGTTAATGGATGGTTAATGGATGGTTAATGGATGGTTAATGGATGGTTAATGGATGTTTAATGGATGGTTAATGGATGGTTAATGGATGGTTAATGGATGGTTAATGGATGGTTAATGGATGGTTAATGGATGGTTAATGGATGATTAATGGATGGTTAATGGTGGTTAATGGATGGTTAATGGATGGTTAATGGATGGCTAATGGATGGTTAATGGATGGTTAATGGATGGTTAATGGATGGTTAATGGATGGTTAATGGATGGTTAATGGATGGTTAATGGATGGTTAATGGTGGTTAATGGATGGTTAATGGATGGTTAATGGATGGTTAATGGATGGTTAATGGATGGTTAATGGATGGTTAATGGATGGTTAATGGATGGTTAATGGATGGTTAATGGATGGTTAATGGATGGTTAATGGATGGTTAATGGATGGTTAATGGATGGTTAATGGGTGGTTAATGGATGGTTAATGGATGGTTAATGGATGGGTGGTTAATGGATGGTTAATGGATGGTTAATGGATGGTTAATGGATGGTTAATGGATGGTTAATGGATGGTTAATGGATGGTTAATGGATGGTTAATGGATGGTTAATGGATGGTTAATGGATGGTTAATGGATGGTTAATAAGGATGGTAGGATGGGGATGGTTAATGGATGGTTTGGTTAATGGATGGTTAATGGATGGTTAATGGATGGTTAATGGATGGTTATGGATGGTTAATGGATGGTAATGGATGGTTAATGGATGGTTAAGGATGGTTAATGGATGGTTATGATGGATGGTTAATGGATGGTTAATGGATGGTTAATGGTGGTTAATGGATGGTTAATGGATGGTTAATGGATGGTTAATGGATGGTTAATGGATGGTTAATGGGGTTAATGGATGGTTAATGGATGGTTAATGGATGGTTAATGGATGGTTAATGGATGGTTAATGGATGGTTAATGGATGGTTAATGGATGGTTAATGGTTAATGGATGGTTAATGGATGGTTAATGGATGGTTAATGGATGGTTAATGGATGGTTAATGGATGGTTAATGGATGGTTAATGGATGGTTAATGGATGGTTAATGGATGGTTAATGGATGGTTAATGGATGGTTAATGGTGGTTAATGGATGGTTAATGGTGGTTAATGGATGGTTAATGGTGGTTAATGGATGGTTAATGGATGGTTAATGGTGGTTAATGGATGGTTAATGGTGGTTAATGGATGGTTAATGGATGGTTAATGGTGGTTAATGGATGGTTAATGGATGGTTATCATAATATTATATATCTGGTGGGTGGTTTCAACCAACCCTTTGAAAAATCATGTAATTAAAGTCAGTTGGGATGATGATATTCCTAATCTTATTGGTGCGTTTTACGTAGGGTTGCTGGCTTGGGTTGCTGGGAGTTGCTGGGATTTTTTTTTCTGGTGATGACTGGGATCATTCCCGAAAATTCCAGTAAGTTTAGCACCAGTGCAGGTGGTAAACCAACCATCCCAAAAATCACCAGAAATGGGTAGAAAAAAAGAATTGGTTTAAACCTTCCCCAAATGGTAAGTTCTTGATTGGGATTCCCACATTACGCAAGACATATGATTCATTATGATGTCATGCTTTTGCCCTCCAACTACTTGATGGATGCCACAGAAAGATTGCGAAAGAGCGAGTGGGTTGATGAAGGTCTCCGCTACAGCAGGGAAGCACACCCAGCTCACCCCAGCTTTATCATGCACTATACACTAAAGGTGTATCATTTCCATGTTGAGTCCCCTGCTCGATCTTGAAGTTCTCGTGTTTGTCGAACTGCTTCCACAGTTTTTGCACCTCGACTGCGCAAAATGCATCGGCTGGCCCCTGCCCGGTTGGGATAACCTTCCAATATTCCCCGCAAAAAATGATGAACTGATTAGCTGCAAACATGTCAATCACCATCTCTTCCTTGGATCAATCAGCCATAAATAAATATATCATCTATAAAAACAAATGAAATCAATTCGAGGTTCAAGATGACTGGAAGACGGTAACAGCTTGTGATATTTTCTGACCATCTTCCAAGGCCACTGACAGCTTGGTTCTTCCACAGTCTCCGCTGGAAGGAGATGTCAACTACCCATTGAATTCCATTGAATTCCATTGAATTCCCATTGGATTCCCATTGAAATCCCATTAAACCCCTGGCCCAAAATAACAAAACCAAGGTTCCAATGATTTATCGGAGCCCTGGCACAGGGTATGACGCCCAAAAGAATGGAAGTCCCAGGTCCGCGGTCTGTTGGTTTCCGAACAACAACGACTTGATTCGTTCTTCATCTGGTTGGTGGTTGACCTACCTAGCCCTCTGTAATATACTATTAATATATGGTTAATAATGGTTAATATATGGTTTCATGATGGTTAATAATAATCTGGTGAGTGGTTGACCTACCCCTCTGAAAAATCAAGGAGTTAAAGTCAGTTGGGATGATGACATTCCCAACTGAATGGAAAGTCATAATCCATTCATGTTCCAAACCACCAACCAGTTAATGATTGATTGGGGAATCCTGACGGTCCTGAAAGCCTGCCATAAGGTGGACTGCGCGGACCCTGGCATGGGATATCACTTAAAGATCCTTAAAGATTGGTGCCAGCACCCAGGAACTTGCCCAAAGATTCTGGCTTGCATATCCATTTTCATTCTCTTCACTAGTTCTATCAGCATAAACAGCAAACTCCAAAATGATAGAACAGCAAATGTCTACTGTAAATCATGATAAGTCACTGTTCTCTCTATTTTAGAACCTACGATGGATCTGGGCAAATTATAATCATTCACCAACCTGACATAAATAGCCATTTTGAGATGATTCCCCTAATGATTCCTCTAAAATATACCATGATTCCAGGCTTCGGTGGATCTACCATGTCCCCCAGTTCTTCACCAGCCTTTGGCATGCGGCACTCTTCATCCAGCAGGGTGAAAATGCTCATGGTTTTGGCTTGGATCAAGTCGATGATGCCCTGAGGCGGCATGGGATGGGAATGGATTCAAAGGGAAGAACTATGAGAAAAATCCCAGTTTTTACCATGGTTTTTGTTGACATTTTTTACCATGAAAACCCATGGTTTCCTGAAATTGTTTGCCCTTTATCCAATTTTGGGATGACAAAAAAAGGGGGAATATCCATAAAGGTTTGATGGTGTCCGTGCGAAGAACAGAATATGGAAGGAATCAGCTGAAACATGGGATTTTCATAGATTTTACCCTCTGGTAATTTAATATAGCTATTGAAAATGGCCATTTATAGTTGATTTACCCATTAAAACTGATGATTTTCCATAGTTACGTTAGTTTACCAGAGGGTAATAATCCAACAAGAGGGAATGGACCTCATAGGGATGCTGCCGGAAATTCTGTTCTGCTGAAGGAGAGGCCGCAAAGAAACAACACAGATCCACCATAGATCCATCATATATATATATACAGTATATACATATTCCACCATAGATTCCCCACCGTAGATTCCCCAAATGGATCCAAATGGTGGATGTCACTATATATAGATAAATGGATCCAAATCAATGGATATGATATAAAAAATATATATATATATAGATATTCCTATTCCACCTATATATATATATAATTATATATAGGAAAATCAATGAACATCGACCATCATCTTCAGCAAATCCAGGTAGAAAAACCAGCGCAAAACTCATCCCACCGAGACGAAAACCTGGTTGTCGGGGAAGTCGGAGAAGTCGCAAGTGATGCCTTCCTGTTTGTAAAGCTCCTGGCATGGGATATCCACTGGGAAGCGTCAAGCCATCCAAGATCAAAGCCTTGAAACTGGGCGAAGATTAGCCCATCATTGAAGTTGAAACTGTTTATATAAACCGAAAAAAATCTGCTTTAGGGGAGCAGTAACATTATCCGTATTGTTTTCATATTTTTGCTGTCGGCACCCTTCCATGTGAACTCTGAGCACGTGAGCAGATTGCATCCCAGTCCATCTCCACTTCGAAGACAAAGTGGTTGAACCTAACAGTGATCCGCCGGAGACACGACAATCCAATTCCAGAAATGCCTAGCAGAACTGGTTGGTGGTATACCTACCCATCTGAAAAATGATGTAGTTAGTCAGTTGGGATGATGACATTCCCAACTGAATGGAAAAATAAAAAAATGTTCCAAAGCACCAACCAGAGAATGTGGAGAAATCGCCCATTTTTCCGGGGCTTCCCAACATCTGCTGCAAGCGTTCGTTGGCAAAGTTGATGCACAGCTGCTCAAAGGAATTGACCTCCAAATGGAATCATCATCTCAGGTGGGATGGTAACAACCAGCAACGTAGCGCTGGGGAAAAAGGTGTCCAACTGAGCGTCTCACTTGGGAGGTACTGACAATACACAGTGGCAATGCTTGGAGTGTCTGATACCATCTGGTTATGACTAACATAGCCATGGAAAGATCCACCATTTTTAAGTTCGGTAAACCATCTATTTCTGTGGACCATCTATGCCATGGCTATGTTACTCATAACCAGAGGGTAGTTAAATAATGGGGATATAATATAATGGATACAATAGGAATATAACTGAATATAAATGGGCCATCTATACCATGGCGAACTGTGAGTCATAACCAGTATGGGATACGCTCCAACCCAAGCGGTGACCCGAGGGGAGACCTTGAAATGCTCAAATCCGAAGATGTCCAGCACTCCAATGAAGGATGAGGCTGCTGGGCCTACAAAAAAAAAAACACAACTGGGATTCATCATCGTCATGAATGGTTCATGAATGGTCCATGAATTGACAACCCCCTTTTGGATGCACAGTTGCAGGATGTTGCAGGTTTTTTGATGCCAATTCAAGCTTACAAAGATTTGAGGGGCCTGCACGATTGGAGGACAAGGACTCGTTGATGCGGAAGACCATGTGGTTCTGGGCCACAGGGGTTTGGAGCCCTACCTGCCCCTATGGCCAGTGGGATTTGGTGGGCACTTCATCCAAGTTATGCCCCTTAGACATCGGAATGCAGGGCTAAGGGTGGTAAAAATGTGCTTCAAGGAACTGAGACGGTTGATGCCATCATCAATGGATTGGTTTAAGGGAAAATTTACAGGAAAACCCCATATCAAAAATGGGAAAATCTATGGTTTCCGGTTAAGATTTTCCCAACAAAACCAATCCATTGCCATCACCTCACTGGCTTCCAAAAGTCGACTCACATCGTTCGCCGTTCGCCAGTGGCAAAAGTCCAGAAAACCCATCGACCTACATGTCATGGTGAAATATCATGAAGTCAAGGGATTTGCGGCAAGAGCACACCCATCCATACGGGTCCAAAAAAAGATTGAAACAAAAAAACTCCACCATATTCTAAACGATCTTTAAAGGCATAAAAACTTCATCTTTCCAATTTGTCTATCGTTTGTTTCAGGTATTTGCTATGAACTCATTCCAGGGAGTGTCGCCATGGGCCACCCCACGAAGAGGTAGGAGTAGATCATCCGCGCGAAGGATTCACGGCGGGCCTGGAGGTCGTAGGCTGTAGGGATGGGGATGGTACCAAAATGAGGGATTGCAGAATCATTGGAAATTAGTAAAAAAATACGAACATCATAATTCTACTACATTTCCCTACATCTACATTTCCCTACATAACATAAAGAAAATTTAAAACCATTGTTTTGGTAACCAGGGTTTATAGTTTTGGCAACTAGGCTTGTTTTGGCAATTGTTTAGTATCTGGACAAACTAGGCTTATTGGATGTTGATGGCAATATTGACTGTGGCAACTATGACCATGGTAACTATGACTATGGCAACTATGACAATCGCTACCTGTTGGGTTTATGAATGTCGGATATATATATATATATGTATCTATATCAATATATAGGGGTTATGAGTTGGTACACCTTGGACATAGCATTCAAACACATTGCCTGAACCCAACAACAGTGGGCAGTGAAGGATGAACCCAATCAATAGCAAGTTAAGGTCACTGGCTATGTCTAAACAATATAAGGCAATTATTTGCTATGTTCCAATGGTATATGGTATCTATATGCATATGTATCTATATATATAATATCCATCGTTACTATCTCAGAGCCCAAGCCTGTCTGAAGCGAATACAGTAGGTGCTTCTCTGAGAATCAAGAACTACAAGATAGATATGGACAATTTTGGCGGTTGGTACTGTTTAATGACACGTCATAAACATTCATAAACTATACTGTGAATGCTTTAACATGGCATACAGGCAAGTACCCTCTGGTAAACAGCCACATAACTATGGAAAGATCCACCATTTTTCATGGGTAAATCCACCATAAATGGCAATTTTCCAGTTGAGCAAAGATTTCCAGTCGAGCTGCCTCACTCTGGTCCAAGGTCAAAGGTGAATCGTAGCGCTCGCCTGGGATGGTGGATCTCTGAGTTCGTTGTTTTCCCGTGAGTTCGTCCATTTATTTATTGGGTCATATTGGGTCTATAATGGATAAAAATGGGTTACCATGTAAAAATGGTAACAAAACCCATGCTATACCTATGGTAAACTAACAGTTTGCGAACTGGAAAATGGCCATAGAAATAGTTGATTTTTCCATTAAAAATGGTGGATCTTTCCATATAGTTATGTGGCTGCTTACCGGAGGGTAACACATATTTCAGTCCGGATAAGGAAATTCTTAGGCGCCCCACATTTCACACAATGCTTGGATGAAAGGGTCTTTACCCACTGCTTTTTCCATAGCAATGGGAGTGGCTACCCTGGTGAGCTACAAGTAGCAGCCCAAGTCCTCTTCATAGTTCTGGGGCCCAAGCTGCCAACTGCGATGAGCTTGTGCGTCAATGCCCTGTGCCAGGCATCCGACGTGGGGGAGGTGTCATGACAACTAATAAAATTGGTCTTCACAGTCATGGTGAACAAAATTATTGTCATTGTGTCATCATCATTATTACTAATCAGTTTTTGAAGACAGATTGTCCAGCGAGGCCACCATATAGGAGTAGGATGCATAGGAAAAACATCCCAAATCCTGGCAATTCGTGGCCACCGGGTCTTCGGATCAGAATATGTGCAACTCTTGGGCGTTGTGATGTAAATTGATGGAAATCTCTGGCCGACAACCAGCCGCATGATTCTGCAGCACGGAAAAAGCAGCAAGTCTCGTTTCCAAAATGCTGCAGTGATCCTCGGGTAGGAGAATTCAGCTCTGATCCTGGCCCTGTTCTGCAGAGACTGCAATGCCTGATTTCCTATGGCAATGTGGTCAGCCTCCCTAGTAACTCATAGTATCATGGCAATTCATGGCACTTGGTCTGCATTCGGATAGGCTTGAAACATCAACTTTGCCCACCACTCGATCCGAAACAGAACGGTGTGGGTCATGAGAACCTCCTCCTGCACTCAACCCAGGTGCGTCCCAAAGGAGCACTCTTTGAAGATGGTGTATTGGTGCGTTGTATCTGCCAGAAGTCGTGCGCCCAGGATAAATCGAAAGACATGGGTGGCAAACTGATGCGCTTGCTGCAATTGGACAAGCTTTCGCTTTTTTGGAATCAACGATTTCATCATTTAGAACGCCACTTGTTGGTGCAAAAAAACATACAGTAGGGAACGCCTAGTGTGAGGCTTCCCTGCTAGCTAGGAGTCTTTCCATCCGAACCGCCCAAGCTCGCAACTTTGCACATCAGCCTCACTTAACCCTCTCTCTGCACTAGTAGCTTCAGAAATCAGCAGCTGCTTAAAGTCCTTGAAGTCATTTTGGGTGTCCAGGACTTGATACGACCAGGACAAAGCACATACACCAAAATCCGGTAGGGCTGACAGTTTGGTTCGGGAGCCGAGACGCTGTGCAACTGAAGACAACAAGTCACCATCGTACACTCCGGCTTTGGCGCAAGCCCAGACTACAACAGGCACTGTGAAACTGAAGTCCTTTCCTTTGAGTCCTGGAAGTAAACTGTTCAAACGTTTGGCTGCAGACCTCAGGATCTCATCAATGTTGCCTCCAGCGGCGAGAAAACTATCGACTTTAGGAACTGAGTCACTAAGAAGGATGAGGGCCTCCAAGCTGTTGGACAACGCTTGTGGGTCCATGTCGTTGATCTTCAACGATATTTCCACCACTATGGCTGGAACAATCTCCAACACCTTGGGCACTTCATCCTTGAGCTGCGCACATGCAAAGAGGCAGTTGGACAAATGCTGTGGAATCATGTCGTTTGCTTTATTGGGGATCTGGGCGACAAGGGCTGGCACCGCCTTCAAAACATCAGGTACAACTTCCCTGAGCTGCCCAGATGCCCAAAGACAGTTGGACAATCCTTGGGCTTCCATGTCCTTTGCTTTGTTGGGGATCTGGACCGCGATGGCAGGCACCGCCTCCAAAACATCAGGCGCAATATCCTTGAGCTGCACAAACGCCCAAAGACATGTGGACAAATGTTGAGGTTTCGCGTCCTGAGCTTTTTTGGGTATCTGGGCCGCAATGGCCGACACCCCCGCCAGTACATCAGGCGCAATATCCTTGAGCTGCACAAACGCCCAAAGACAGTTGGACAAATGTTGAGGTTTCACGTCCTGAGCTTTTTTGGGTATCTGGGCCGCAATGGCCGACACCCCCACCAGTACATCAGGTGCAACAACATCCTTGAGCTGCCCAGATGCCCAAAAACAGTTGGACAATCCTTGGGCTTCCATGTCCTTTGCTTTGTTGGGGATCTGGACCGCGATGGCTGACACCATTTCAAGCACAACGGGTGCGGTATCCTTGAGCTTCGCGCTTGCCCACATGCAATTGGACAAATCAAATGCGTTCATGCCTTTCACCTTGGCAGGCACAGACTTGACCAATGCAGCCAGGAGCTGGGTCGGAGTGCCGAACTGCTCAGACAAATGCCCAAGGCTATTGAGAACATTTGCTGTCTGCCGAGGACCTAGCCGGCCTTCCAGCGCCATATCTTCGACTCGGGCATGCAGCCTGAGGAGCACTTGGTCATCCCAATCCCTTTGTCGCAAGGCCCCCTTTTTGTTGCAGTTTTCGAGTCGCTTGTATGCAGCTGATGCATGGATAGAGTCGAAGATTGGGCCATCCACGATCTCATCCAAAACGTTGCCCAGTTTGCGGGCCGAGGTCGCTTTCGTGATTTGAGAAGTCAATATCTTCGCTTGGCGATCTGCACTGGAGGGCCTCCCCGCAAGCTGTTGACCCAATCTGACGGTCAGCTGCCTCCTGGGGGCCCAGTTGCCATCCCAAGCGCGGCCCTGTACAAAGCTTAATTGTACCAGCCATTCGAAGCCCAGGAGCACCAGGCAGGGCATCAAGAGGCAACTGCGCTGCAAACGCCCGGGGCGCCTGGTCATGACGCCGGAAACTGTCATGGCTCAGATGGGCACCAACGCGGGAGGGGGAAGCGCGACAACAAGTTTTGTCTTTTTGAAGGTTTGCTAAATCCAACATCCTTCATTTAAATTGGAACTTTTCTGATCATGTTGGATCCCCCGCCATCTGTGGGACAATTCCCAGGTCACCATCTGATCTATCTGCCACGTTTGCCTTTTGAAATCCTTTTGAAATTGTCAGTTGATGTCAGTTGTCTTCAGCTCTAAACCTGACTTGCCGAGTCACCAAGCAGCGACCTGCATAAACAGAAAACGACCGATATTTTCCAGTTGCTGCTTTCAATCCATCCTCTAAGCAGTGAAACCAACCGGGGCGATATCTTCCCAACTTACCCCAACTTACCAAGTACTGGTAGAGGATATAGAAAGTAACACATGAGATTTTTCGCTCAATCTTCCAACTAGCCCCATGTTGCCGGTGGCTTGGCCCGCTGATTTCCATCTTGGAGCATCCAGGCCTGGTAAGCACCGGAAGGTCTATGCCCATGATCTCGCAGACCGCCTGGCGTGGCCGTTGAGGTATGGAGGAACAGGAGATGACGTTGGATCCCTGGGTAGGTTTGGCTTCCAGTTGGTTCTCCCAGGTTCTCCTTATCTTTGTCACTTGGATTGGTGAAGTCTCTTCATCAACGTCTTGAATGGTTGAATGTCATTCTCGACCGTTTGAGCTGCCCATGCCACCACTCACCAGAGTGGTGCCTTGAGGGAAGCATTGGCTTCAACTTCCACCTTGCCAGCCTGTGCCGATAGCTGGCTGAGTTTCTGACAGCTCCAGGATGAAAATTTCCCAGGATGGACAATAGAAGCTTACCCTCTGGTAAACATACAAAAAACGATGGAACATCACTATTTTTAATGGGTAAATCAACTATAAATGGCCATTTTCAATAGCAAACTCTTAGTTTACCAGAGGGTAGTGTAGCCTGGAGACCATCTGACATACAGGGGCCAACATGTGCTCCCTACTTGCCACGGTACAGCCCACCTTCTCACGGATGGAGATGTTGCCTGGGCATCTGAAAAATGGGACCTGAAAATAGGAATGGGATAATTATGTTGCCTAATGTGGGGACAGCTTATTAACAACCCCTTGCAGGGAATGATGTAAATGTATACTAATACTAATACATATATAGTACCTATACACATATATATATACATTATATCTTCATCCCCAATAGTTAAACATACTGTATTTGTTCTGTTTCAAGGTTTGCGGAACGCCACGGCGATTTTTTCGCAGTGACTTTCTGCCACAGACCTGTTCCTGGCCAAGTTGCCGATGTGTAGGACTCCAGCCACAATCCGCAGAATCTCTGCCTCAAAAAACATGTGGATGGCGGTGCGTAGCTTGGGAGTGAATGCGGCGTAGTAAAACACATCTTGGTGTTTGGAATTATCTCATGTACAGTTACAGTAATGACATTTCAATTGTATGAATAGAATCATTCATGGACAGTAATTAAATTTCAATTACAATCAATTAACATATATTTAATCATCCCTAATTATATGCATAACCATTAACCAACATCATTAACCATCATTAACAATCATTAATCACCATTATTAACCATAGATTAACCATAGATTCACCGGAAAAAATCATGTTCCAAACCATCAACCAGAAAATCACCATCCCTACTTCCTTCCTGGCGATTTTCACAGCCACAGCCACGGACCTGTTCCTGCAGGGAGATGTCCATCGCCTCCATGGAACGCCTGGCCCGGTGAAAGATTCGGACTTAGATGGCCCGGTGAATACCATGTATCAGTCATTAATGGGATATTTAATGGGATTTTAATGGGATTTTAATGGTGATTTAATGGTGATCATAATGAGATTTGTTCATCCACTTAATGGGATGTACCCTCTGGTAAACTAACATAGCTAATGAAAATGGACCATTGATTTATAGTGGATTTGTCCATTAAAAGTGGTGATTTTCCATAGCTATGTTCAATTACCAGAGGGTAACAGTTACATGTAATATATATGTATGTCATGTATCACTCATATATATCAACATCATGGTGAAATGCTCAGAGCTGTTTTGCCAGATGATGCTGGTATTACATGGTATTACCAGGTAGTGTCGAGTTGCAAGCTGGTTGATTCAGCCCGATTTTTGTCAGAAGTTCATCGGTGCGTCGTTGGAATCCAAGCTTTCATTGGTCACCATAGTATTGAAGCCCTTCCAGCTGTCAATTGTCTCCGTAGTATTTCGTAATCGTAGTATCATCCCTGCCATCAAATTGGCAACACCCAGAATCTTGGTTCTTTTTCTGTCTTCCCCGTGCTATCACTTCCTTTAAGGCACCGTGCTATCAGTAGATCATTACCGTCCAACAAGATCCAGTGTCACTGGGAGTTCCGTCAACCACACGAAGAATCTCATGATCTGTGATGACATCCCCGTAGTATGAAAGATCCCCCCACACGAAGAATCTGTGATGACATCCCCGTTGCAATCACACCCCCGTAAGATTATATAAAGCCCCCCAAATGGTCCCAACTATGCCTAAATCCCAAAACCAAGGTGCTGAACGTTAGGGGGAAACACCAATCAATGGATTCTAAAATCCTATCAAACCATGATTTCTATTGATTCCTATGGTGTTTTTGTTTAACTATTAGGGGGAAACACCACAAATCTAGCTCAGTTATCTCCAGCAATCTCCACCAACCGACACCTGGTGGCAATAAACTCCTCACTGTCGTCCACGGCAGCCAACCTGGAACATCCAGCTCTAATCTGGGCAAAGCCAACCGCGACTGCGTTTGAAGGTGCAATATCTCCAAAGGCTTAAAAGATGTTAAAAGGTCGCCTGGATACTTACTTGAACTTACCCACTGCGAAGTTCAAAGTTTTGACTCGTTTTGACACTCTAATAGTCTCTAATTAGCTAACGAGTTTGAACATATCCTTAGGATTTGCCAAGCCTAACACAAACCTCCTGCCATCCGAGATGCTCAAAGCGATCCGATTGGTTCAGGTAGACGAAGTCCTATCGGCTCCAGCTGAATTCCCATACCATAAATGGAGGTTTCCTGAAATAGGGGTACCCCGACATCATCCATTTTAAATAGGAATTTCCATTACAAGCCATCCATTTTGGATACCCCCATGTATGGAAACTCCCATGCTATCCTTTTTCATTGGAAACCTTCTGATGTGGTGAATCCCGAAAGGTATTTCCCAAGGCCCGGCCTCGGGTCGGCCAAAGAACTCCATGGGCAAACCCTCCAAATCCGCGGGGTCCAACATCTGTTTTGCAGCGCATGCCTGGTGCTTGAAGAGCTCAAAGAGGTGCAGACATGACTGGTTTGTGACACGGCGGATTTTTAAAGTCGAAATGAGCTCCGGATCATGCAGAGATCAGAGTAATCCTGCCAGAAAATGATACAAAAATCATTGGTGATATTGATGCGTGTCGATGGGCATACTCAGACTGCGGGAACCCATGCTGACATCCCAAAACATACCAGGTTTCGGCCCCGGGTTTGGCCAAACAATCCAAACAATCCATGACCACCAGCGGACACGTAGGCCCCCTATGGCCTGGTAGAACATATGGTAGGATCTCTCCTGGGCCCCACCGATCTGGTGACTGGCTGTAGGGCTCATTGATCAGGAGATAGACATAGTGAGCATCTTCAACTAATTTGTGGATACACCATGATACACACCTTGCATCCTCATTTTCATGGCTGGAATCTCCGATTTTTCTGTCAGACTTATTGCTTCATAGTGGTGTGGTCGTCTACTCCAACATCTCCCCATGAAGTTGCTTTCATGGCCAGATCTGGTCATTTTCTCCCCTGGATGTCACCATGAACAACAAAGGGCTCCTGCTTGTCAATCTTGGTCACGCGAACCTTTTCCAAAAGGTACCTCAAAACCGCAGGGTGAACCACCCCATGGATCTCCTCATACGTACTCACCAGTAGTGTTTGGGTCAAAATTGGGCACCCCAACTTTATATCCTAAAATTTTGGAGGATTAATACTAAAAAATACCCCAAATTCATGTAGTATGATTCCCACTTACATATCCGGTAACTCCATTTAAATATCCGAACTGGTATATTTCATACTACCTCCGGGACCTCGCGGTCCCCGCCCTCCACATATTTACCATCTGGTTATGTCAAAATAGCTATTGAAAATGACCATTTATAGATTTATAGTGGATTTTTCCCTTAAAAAATGGTGGATCTTTCCATAGTTACGTTAGTTTACCAGAGGGTAAATGTCGTTACCGGTACGAAATGACCCAACTGGATGCAGTCCCCAGCAGGGCCCGTGAAAAACCCATTGACATCGTCCCAGTAGCGTATCGATGGCCGCATTGGAGAAGATGGGAGCAGCACCTGCAGGCGTCCCAGGGCACATTGGAAGGTTTCCATAGATGGGGGGTATCCCAATAGCTGGATGGTTTACAGGGGAAATATATAGCATCTAATACATATATGGGGCTGGGTAAATAATCCATGATATTTTCAATGATAATCCGTGATATATATATATATAGATATAAGGGTAAATTATAATACATAATATAATCATTGATAATCCCATGTATATAGCAATATAACATCTAATATGTATTATGTATATATATAAATATATATATATGGGCCATGGGTAAATTATAATATTTCACTAACCTGAATAGTTCGGCCATGAATGGGGATGATTCCTCTTATTAACCATGATTCCAGGGTTCGGGAGAACAGTGAGGTCGTTATAATTTACCTAGATGGGGGGTCTCCCAATAGCTGGATGGTCTTTTTAATGTTTTTTTTTTTTTTTCGAAAATAACATGGATGATTATTGATGATTGGGCATGTATCATCATGTCTCTATCTAATAATGTCCTGATACTATTGTCATTGTTATTATGATGATTGATGATTATGGATGGTTATTGTGTAGAATCCCCCTTTCCACTAATAGTAATCACCCTTCAGACCATGGACTAGTACCAAGTGTATTCAGTTTGCGTCCCTTTCTCTGGGGGTATTTGATACTAAGGGGAAGGGATTACATGGTATTGATTTCCAGTCAATGGACGCAACCAACTTGTGAAACCTTCAGGTCGGATGAAGCATAGGGGTCATCTGATAGTCTTTTTTTCGATCCACCCCGGAACAGTGCTCAGGTTACAAGGTCAGGGTTGCACTCAGCTTGGACTAACTTCGTCTCACGCACCACTCACTTGACCATCTCCCCACAGACCATCCACGGCACCTCCCTTGGTCTGGAAGCGCAGTTCAATGAACTTCCCGAAGCGTGAGGAGTTGTTGTTTCGCACCGTGCAGGCCTCAGAAGGATTCATCAGTGGGATCCTTGAGGCATTGCCAGAATTTATATCGGATAATACCGTGCATTACTTGCCTGTTCTTCAGGTCGCATGGATTTTCCCGATTTTGACGGTGTTTCAGCAAGACCAATTACAGAACATATCAGAAAATGTGAGAGTCATTTCAATATCCAGAAACCATTTTCAAAAATCATCAACACCTTATTGGTGAAGTAGTCTAGGGATGTCTAGTCTAGGGTATCTTTTCTCCAAGTGAACCTTTTGGCGTTGCGATGCGCAACGCGCTGGCATTCGGTGTCCGGGCATTGCCAAACGCTTCCAGGATGGGGTTCGAGTTGAGCACCTCAAAAATCACATCGGATCTCGCTGATCATTGGCACTTCCGCCGCTGGTGATTGTTGTGACAACCGGTAGTGGGTACCCTCTGGTAAACTAACATAGCTATGGACAATGGCCATAGAAATAGTGGATTTAGCCACTAGAAATGGTGGATCTTTCCATAGTTTTTTGTATGTTTACCAGAGGGTAAATATAAACCATCATGAAATCGGTATCTATAGTCCATAGCTAAGCTATAGCTATAGCTATCTATAACTATCTTTATGTGTACAGTTTCGCCTGCTATTTTGCTGACAAATTCTCAACTCAACGGCCGCTTTTCAGGCGCCTTCTTTTCAGTCCCCATGGTGGCGGATTGCACTTTACCTGCCACTGTCGTCTGGGGCTTCCGTAGGAATTGACTGTGGACCTCTCTGAATTTCCCATCCCAAAACAGGCGGGTTAGCTGGTCCCTAAGCGACTTGACTTCATAAGGTCATAAGGCACTGAAATCCACAGCCCAAAGCCAGTCAACTTGACTTTTGCCAGGTTTGTTGCCGATGCTCCCAATACCAGGGCCAGTCAATTAACAGAATTTCACTCACCAACGGACCCCTCGAAATCAACTTTTTATGGACCTCCAGTGGGTTGGAGTAACCGTATCATTTCCAGATATTTCCAGTATTTTCATGTGGTGATTAGACCCCAAAATATGTGGTGAGATAGCCATGTGACTCGTGGATTTTACCGTTTCTGAAAGCCATGATCAAACCTTTGTTAAACCATGGTTAAGCCATTGTGATGGTACACCCGTCACTGACGCTGCTCCCACCTACGGCAGCACTGCTGGAGCGGCGCTTGCTGTCGCTCAATTGGCTCGTAAGGAACCTGCAGCATCCATCGTGGATGGTTGCGAAATCCTGCACCACCAGAAAGATGGTTGAAACCCTATAAATAATGGGATAAACCATCTATATAAATAATGGGACCGGGATAAACCATCTATCAACTGGTGTAGGATTTTGCAAGCATCCACAGTGTGACAGTTGCCCTGTAGGCAGTGTATCAACAACACATATCGATCCATACACATTCTGTGTATCACACATCGTCACACACAGCATGTATACATGCATTGCTGAACATGTATATTCCTGTATGCATACTTCATCATGCTTCGTGACTACATATGCTGTATGTCAACTAAAGTTTTTCTTTTGGCAAATATGAATCTACATGAAACCAGTGTAAAACACAAAGTCAGGTCACACCACTCAATGAATTCTATAACATTCTATAACCATCTTTACTATAGACTATATTCACAACATAATAACTTAAACATACTTAAACAACATTTAAATTAACATAACATGTATTTTTCACATGGTGGATTAAAAACCAACTTGTGAACTGCAGAGCTCTGGGGCCATCGCTTCAGGACGTGTTTCGTGGTCTCTGTCCTTGGCGCATTTTTTGGGGAGGTGAAGCAGCGACTGTCGGAGTCATTGGATTGGTTTGAGGGAAAATCTTAGCCGGAAACCATGGTTTTTACCATTCAAAACTGAGGGCGTTCCTGTAAATTGTCCCATCATCCAATTCTGTGAGTTGTTGATGATCAATTTCCCCATAATCAAGAATCTAGAATCCCCCATAATGGTAAGCATATCATCTATCAAAGTGGTATGTGGATAAAATCATAAACCACCCATGACTGGGAATGGTTTACACCAAATATTCATGATGACTGGGGGATGTTTTATGAAATTGTTTTACCCACATGAATTATCATCAAGATTCGATCTGTTCTGTGACCCAAATTTGGGAAATGAGTCAAGTTGCTCAATATTATTACACCATACATGTCAATATGCTTTAATATATATATATATACCGTCCGGTAATTCAACATAGCTATTGAACATGGTGATTTATAGTGGATTTACCTGTTGAGAATTGTGATTTTCAATAGTTTTTTGTATGTTTACCAGAGGGTATATGTTTTGGTTAGCTAAGTTGCTAGGGGTCACCGATATTCACCACATGTCAATGGATCACAGGTTGGAGGTTTAACTCATTTTTGAACTACCCGTGAAGAATGTGTCAATGGAACAAGGTGGAAGGCCATGGTCCCATCTTCTAGGAGGGAAACATTTCAGAAATCGCGAAACACATCATGATCTGGTTGGTGGTAATTATACCTACCCCTCTGAAAAATATGAGTTCGTCAGTTGGGATGGGATGATGAAATTCCCAACTGAATGGACAAATAATCCATTCATGTTCCAAACCACCAACCAGATGATGTTTGATTTGGAACTGTCATGAGTGGATAATCCATGCCTTTTAGTGCATCCTGGTGAACTGAAGTGTTTTGCCACAGGGTTACCCAAAAGATCCCAAAAAGTACTTCCCAAAATTCCCGCAGTTGAACATTTTGCAACCTCCCAAAGCATCCAAAAGAAAGTTGCACTTCAGTTGCAAGGTGTTGGATGGTCCTAGCCTTTGAATGCCACAAAGTAGGAATATAGGAACATACGCCTCTTCAAACAATCATCCTGACATAGAAGTCCCACATTCTTACCCAAGAATCTCTCAGATATCCCCAGGTACCCTCCGGTAATTTGTTAGATAGCTATTGAAAACAAACCATTTGTAGTTGATCTACCTACTCAAACCAGTGATGTTCTATAAGTTATCTTAGTTTACCACAGGCTATAATGATAAATGCGATGTAATTACACCAGGTTTACCATGGTTTTTACCATCAAATACAGGATAAAATACATCCCATTTATAGGTAATATAGGATATCAAATATAAGATAATACATCCCATTTACCATCAAATATAGGATATTTACATATATTTACCGTGGTTTTACCATGAATCATATGGCAGTGTGTCAAAACCTTGTACCCCTGTAGTTCACATCAAAATAGCTGGGGTTTATGGATGTTCATCCTCCTAAAAATGGTATTTTCATAGGTATTGATCCATACCCATATAGGCTTTTACACCATCAAATATAGAATAATACATCCCATTTACCATCAAATATAGATAAATATAGGATATTTACATATATTTTCCGTGGTTTTACCATGGATAATATGGCAGTGTGTCAAAACCTTGTACCCCTGTAGTTCTCATCAAAATAGCTGGGATTTATGGATGTTCATCCCCCTAAACATGGTATTTTCATAGGTATTGATCCATAGCCAATTCACTATTGGCAAGGGATCAAAACGATGATCAAAACGATGATCAAACCATGGGTTTTACAGGTTTTACACCATCCAAATTGTATAAAGACATGGCCCCTGCAGACGCCCCCATGGCCATCCAAAGGTCTTTCCGGCTCCACTTTCTCCGCTGATGAGCACCACCTCTGAAAATGGCTATTGAACATGGCCCATTTATAGTTGATTTACCCTTGAAAAATGGTGATTTTCCCATTAAAGATTGTGTTTTTCCCATTAAAAATGGTGATTTTCCCATAAAAAAATGGTGATTTTCCAATGAAAATGTTGATTCATGGGATTTAATGGGATATAAATGGGATATATAATGGATATACCCTCTGGTAAACTAACATAGCCATTGAAAATTGCCATTGAAATAGTTGATTTACCCATTAAAGATGGTGATTTATCCATTTAAAAAAATGGGATTTTCCCATTAAAGTGGTGATTTATCCATTAAAAGCGGTGGATCTTTCCATAGTTATGTTAGTTTACCAAAGGGGATTTTAATGGAATCTAATGGGTCTTTTAATGGTGATTTAATGGGATCATAATGGGATTAAATGGGGTTAAATGGGTTTATAATGGTGATCATAATGGGATTGTAATCCACTTAATGGGATATACTTCTGGTAATTTGTTACATAGCTATGGGAAATGGGCCATTTAGTTCGATGATTTACCATTCTTAAAACTGGTGATTGTCCAGTTCGCAAACTCTTAGTTTACCCGAGGGTTAAATATGATGAGGCTAACAATCACATCCGGAACATCTTTCTCGGCAGGCATCATAATACCATTTTTTGAAACCCCAAAGCCACTGTTTCATTCTGAGCTTCTCCAACAATGGGCTGCTGCCAAATTTCTCCAACGTCTGTCATGATTTCCCTTTGAAACATGGCCATACTATCAAGTGGTTGGGACCCGGTTGGGAAAATTTGGGAAATTCTTCGTTCCTTGACTCCTGGTATATTTCCCATTAGTTGGAAATTCTATGCCATATCCATACTCCCAACTAATGGGACATATACAATACTATGGATACCCTTGGCTCAGCGCTCCCTCCATTCACCACCAGATAGCAATGGCAAAATTACCAACCGAACTAGTCATTTTTGGTCACCAAAGGGCCTAAGTATATACATAGGTCATTAAGTATTTCCATGAATATTCCACTCATATGCCAATATAGATATATTTTGAAGTGTGATTAACATATATCTATTTAGTTTCGGGTTTCCCAGCTAAACAATGTTTGGTCCCCAAAGGGTTCATGTATAGTATATATATATATACACACTATACTATACTCACTAAGTTTGCTATCATTAATTTTCTTTCATATTCCGTTATATTGAATTACAAAAAATATTCCATTAACAGTCCATTAGATAATATCTGAGATGTAATATATTATCTGAGATTATCAGAATATATAGAAGTAGTTGTAAACATTGGTGATATATTAGACATTGGTATTGTCTGATATCTAAATATATAATACTATATTATATGTATATATATATATAAATATATATATATACATTATATATACATATATAATCATATATATATATATGTGTGTTACTACAGTATATATTATGTATTCATCCATTGAGATCCCCAGTTGCACCTGCGACAGCCGTGCATTGGCCAAACCTTCGAAGGCGCGGGAGGCCACGGTGTAGATGTGCGGCGGAGGCTTCACGGTGTCCTGCAATGGGAGGCAGCTATCCATGGCGGCCGGAGATTCATGGGGAAAACCATGGGGAAACCATGGGAGAGATGTTGATTCATTGATGTTGATGTATATGGGGAAATTTTCCCACGAATCTCATGTATTGGATGGTGGAGGCGCCTTGTACTTCTTGTCATGGACATTGGCCTCACCGGCCAAGTTCGGTAAAGCCCAGAAATGCAGCACTAAATGCACTTCAATGGCTTGTGTGCAATCCATTTTTTTTTGTGCTTGATTTTAACATTGCTCAATTTTTAATAGATTCCGGAAAATGATTTTCCGAATATGACCAGTTTGGGGTTCCATGTGAACTTTAGGGGGTGTACCTTGCATGGAGGAACACATGCAATGAAACGCTCTGGATGATCCATTCAGAATGGGAAATCCCATGTTCCCAAGGGGACACTTGTTCTGTTTCAAAACATGAGCGAAGATCTACCCCAACTCTCGGAGATCTCGGAGAGCAGACTACGATCGTCATATGCAAAACATGAGTTGCAAAGAATGGTGAAGCCATGGTAAACTTTCCAGCTGGTTATCGATATATTCCTTAGATTCTTCTTGATCCAATCACCTTGATTCTTGTCTAGTGAGATTTCATGACATTTCATACCCCCTACGTCCTAAGAAAATCAGTCGCACCCTCAACTTCAACTGCCACGCGACATACAAATCGCCCATGTCTTTGAAGGGGTTCACAGCCTTGGACGATGGTCACAGTTTTGCAGGGTGTGGTTCAACATGGTTCGATCACCTCCATGATATTTGATTCGTCAGAGTAGATGCTATCCATAACTGACGTCTTCATGTGGAAATATTTGGACTATACATGTACTCACCCACAAGGAATTCAAGGGGAATACGCAGAACTCAAACTGGATATGTCCAGCAGGTGGCACATTCAAGGTACAACTTGAACATTTGGCAGAAAGACGCGGCAAGTGACTTAGAGCAGCTTTCTGAAGCATTACATAATTGCAGCCTAGACAGGAGGTAACCATAGGTAACCTAGCCCCCCTAAGGAAGCTCACATCCTCCTTAGTTGGTTTTTACAGGAAACTCTCCTGGTTGATTTCCCATGACGGATCCATGGTGCTGGTATATATGCTAACATAAATTAAGGGGGTATATTGATGGGATCCATGTTACCATATATAGCAGCACCATGGATCCTATGGGTTTTGGAAGACTGTGATTTCTTGCACCACTTTGCCACACTTTCCTCTTTCACGAAGCCGCGATCGCCATGACCCATTGGAACCATCGCAGCTCAGGCACGATCAGAATGGGACCGCAGAAGGTGTAGATGTGGTCCTCAGTTGATGGGCAATCTTGCCATATATCTTGCCCAATTTTCAGAAACATAAAGAAGCCTTAGGTTCCTGAAATGGCCATTGAAGATTGGTTCAGCATACTACAAGGTGGTGCCCCCTAGTTATAAATTGGTTTATAAACCCCATTAACTAAAGATATATCACCTATAAACCATAGTTATTGACGTTATAAACCAACTTAGCTATCTTGGGGGGCACCACCTTGTATCTATTTTCATCTGCCTATTGGTTGTTGTTCGTGGGGAAAACATCTACCTATGAACCAGTGGGGTTTTTGGACATCTATGTCCGACACTTTGGACGGATTGGGGTTAGGCTTAAACAAATGGCTCCAAATGGCTATGACCATGGGATCAGAACCACCTGAAGTTGGGAATATGACAGGGCCCTGTATAACTACCCTCTGGTAATTTAACATAGCTATGGAAAAACACCATTTTTAATGGGAAAATCCACTATAAATAGCCATTTTCAATAGCTATGTTAAATTACCAGAGGGTAGATGGTTAGTATTGGTCAGTTGTATGGTCCTTTTGTGGATACATCATGGCGCATTTTTTTGCGCATCGCATCCCCCCAAGATTGGTCGTCTTTTCTGGGGAGTCAGTCTGACACCGATGGCAAGAAAAACAGTCCTTAAACTATAAAAAAGGTGTCATGTAATAAACATGGGATATACCATGTGGTGAGACCATATAGTCTTGGTACCTTTTATACAAAAACTAATCATCATTAGATACAAAAAAAAAGGTCCCTGGGATGATTCCTCAGACCCTAACCATTCAAGGTGAGGACACATCTTCAGGGGTCGCTATGATACCCCATGACATGTCATGCTGCGAATGGGAAAAAGTGGCACTTATGATACCCTCCAGAGACTCCAGTAAACGAACAGTTTGCGAACTGGCAAATCACCATGTTTAAGAACGGTAAATCATCGAACTAAATGGCCCATTTTCCATAGCAAACTGTAACAAATTACCCGAGGGGATATCCCATGAAGTGGATTATAGTGAATTAAAATCCCATTAAAATCCCCTTAGATTCCATGAAAATCCCATTACAATCCCATTATACTATATTATAGTCCCATGATGATCCATTAAATTCCATTACCTACTGTGGATGGTTGCGAAATCCTGCACCATCAAAAAGATGGTTGAAACCCTATAAATAGTGGGCTAAAACCATCCATCAACTCGTGCAGGATTTCTTCCATCCACCCACAGGATCGAGAATTAATGACCCATATGCTCAATGTATGGAATATTTACCTACATTTACCCAACAAATGGCCCAAATGTAGGTAAATATACTATACATGGAGCATCTGGGTGATAATTACCCATCAAATATGCAACTCTTCAACCAGGCTTCCACGTCGAAGCGAAGCTGTAAGGCGTGAAGAACCTGCAGAAATCATCAGAAATCACAGCATTTCGTCATCAAAACATGGCAAAAATGGATACATCCTGGGAAAGCATGGGAAAATCCATGAAAATCCCCAAACCAATGGAGGTTATATAGGAAAAAAAAATCATCGAACATGGGACCAGTTCCAGCAAAGTTTTTTGATTGTCAGAGGATTTGCTGGGTTGTCCCAGCTCATGGATCATGATCATCGACCAATGGGGGTTTCGAACATTCTTCAGATGGTACCTCTGGTAAACATACAAAAAACTATGGAAAATCACCATTTTTAATGGGAAAAGCCACTATAAATGGCCATGTTCAATAGCTTTTTGTATGTTTACCAGATGGTAAGAAGAATGTCATTCCTCGGTGCCTTTTTTTAAACACTCCCTGGGATCCCGTGAGAAAGAATAAAAACCACCTGTGGCCATTCATCCCTAAGAATCCATCAGTATAAGAACATTCAGGACCGAAATATTGCCAGGCTACCACCCTATGATATTGTCATATCATAAGATTCAATGGATTGGTTGAAGGGACAATTTGCAGGAAACCTCCATAAGTCACCATATGTCATAGGAAAACCCATGTTTCCTGTGGGGGTTCTATGATTTTCCCCGGGACCAATCCATTGTCGTTAATATTTACCTATATATATATATATCCCCAATCCATCCCCATTGTACAATCATATGCCATGATTTTACTTCACATATGACATGGCTATGGGTCAATACATGTCAATAGCTACAAGGTGGTGCCCCCTAGTTATAAATTGGTTTATAAACCCCATTAACTATAGATATATCACCTATAAACATCTATAAACCATAGTTATTGGAGTTATAAACCAATTTAGCTATCTTGGGGGGCACCACCTTGTACACTCCATAAATCCCAGCCCAAAATAGGGTTTCACCACATCCCCATGGCCCCATGGATGCCTCTGGTTCATGCAGGTGGGTCAGCTTCGATAAGTCGTGGACCTGAGGTTTCGCAACAAAATCTTGGCAACTTTAAGGCATAATGGATAGATAGACAAATAGAAAGATAGATACCCTCTGGTAATTTAACATAGCTATTGAAAATCACCATTTTCAATGGGAAAATCCACTATTAATGGTCATTTTCAATAGCTACGTTAAATTACCAGAGGGTAGGTAGGTAGGTACGTAGATAGATTGATTAAATTTAAATATAGATGTATCTGTTTAATTCTTTTTACCTATCTGCGCAACTGTTTCAACCCAGCACTTTTTCGAATCGAATCTCGATTGTATGTTAACATGATCTTGATGGCTAGCTCTAAAGATGGGATTGTCAAAAACCAAATCTACCCTCTGGTAAACAGCCACATAACTATGGAAAGATCCACTATTTTTTATGGGTAAATCAACGAACTAAATGGCCATGTTCAAGTTCGCAAACTGTAACAAATTACCAAAGGGTAAAGTAGATGGGGAATGTTCATGGATTTTCTACCTATTTTCAAACATAGCTGACATAGCTATTGAAAACGGGACTTTCATCTGGGCAGCCCGGTTTTTTTTTTCCAACTTAGATGGCCTACATTCGGTCAATTCCAGATCCACATCCCATGGGGTCCCATCCACATCGCCATGTTACGCCGGTCAAGCCTTCCTTGCTCTTCCAAGTATCAGCATTACCTGGGCCCGAAAAAATGGAGAAGTTGGATGCTTCACATTGGACAATCCCAGCTGCCCAGCTATAAATGAACTGGATCTGTTCATATTTTTCATGTTGATACACCATCATTGCGCAACTTTAAGTCCATTGATAGTGTATGAAATATTATTGTATATTCCATATGATCCATATTGATTCATATTAATTCCCCATGATATTAGGTATCACCCAATGATTTTTAATTCATGCCCCCATCCATTGATCTGGGTAAATTATAACGACCTCACTGTTCTCCCTCACTGGAATCATGGTTAATAAGGGAAATCATCCCCAAATGACCTTAATTCAGGTTAGTGAAATATTATAATTTACCCATGCCGCATCCATTGATGAAATGGATAGGGAATGGCATCAACGTCCAGGACGATCCGTCGCCGTCGCATCGCCAAGCAGCAGCGGTGAATCTTGTCAGCCTCAGCGACGGGGTTACGCAAGGACGCCAAGGCAATGGGGTTGAAGGTTTGGACAACAACAACTATATAATATATAAAATAAATATGTATATATATATATACATAACACATATTACATAGATACTACGATATGTATATGTAAAACACACACATATTCATATATACATATATATATACATATGTATGTGTGTGTGTGTGCGTACCGGTTCTTCAAAAATATGCAATCGAACACAAAAACCACTCACCATACATGCAAATGTTTTTTTTGGGGATTTGTTGCTTCTCTTTTTGCCAACTTCAAATGTTACATGTAGCTAGTTGAGCATGGTTGAATGACCCACAATAGCCAGTTGATAGCCAAGTTGTGCCACTTACTCCCAGTTTACTCCCCAAAAAGCGATTCTATATGCTAGTCACACATCAGTTAGCTGGAGGTTTATGAGTCCGTTGCCGCTAACTTAGTCAAGTTATATACATCTTCATCTTTTAGTCAAACATATATAGTTAAACCCAGCTTCAATCAATTCTAATCAAGTCCATTGTTGTTAATTATATGTATATTATATATATATTGTTGTTCATTTATATCTTAGTTAAACCCATCTCCATCTCCGACATTGCCTTCTGGTAAACAAACATAGCTATTGGAAATGCCCATAAACATAGTTGATTTACCTATCAAAAACGCTGATCTTCCATAGTTCTTTCTATGTTTACCAGATGTTTACATGCCATAAACTTTCCCAGTGCCCCCCCCAAAAAAACGAGCCACTGATGCGAGGCTGTAGTCGTCGCCGTCATCGGTTCGGACCTGGCAAATTTTCAGGATTTCCAGGTATGTTATGGTATGTTTAATTATACCAATATCTCTCTATCCATATCTACCTATCATGCTATATCATACTCTATCTATCTATATATATATATGTCTCTCTCTCTCTCTCTCTTTATCTATCATCATCTATGATTGTCTAACCAGCTAGCCATCCAGCTATTAAGCTTCCCTAGCAATCTATGTAGCTTTGGATGCTATCCCCCGTGGCCGCAGTTGCTCGCAAAACCATCTCTCAATGTTCGAACCTCCCAGCTCCAAAGCATCAAAGCATATCAAAGCTGTTCCAATGGGCAAATCCCCAAATCCCATTGGCTTACCCTCTGGTTATGTCAAAATAGCCATTGAAAACAGCCCAGTCGAAATAGTTGATATATCCATTAAATAGCTGGTGATTCTCCAGTTCGTTTTTCGTATGTTTACCAGAGGGTAGTCCAACCACTTGCAGACAAATCAAACAAACCTGTTTTCAGGTTTTCCCTGGGTTTTCATGCCACCCGACCGACGAACGAGGGTCGCCTGAACCTTGTCCCCATCCAGGGCAGTCACTTCAGCTTTGATCCACACCTGACGAAGAACTGCTGCTAATCTTAGGCATAGTTTTCAATGGATTGGTCTAAGAAAATGTTCACCGGAAACCATCGATTTTCCCATTTTCTATATGCGGTTTTGCAAATTTTCCCTGAAACCAATCCATTGAATGTGATGTAATAGTTATGATTCGATTGAGTATTGACAGCGAAACCTCATGCTGGACTATGGCCTTTCCCGTAAAGAACAAGCAGAGCTCATCGGATGTTGGAGGTCCGCAATGCTCAGTGACATGTACATCCATTGTCCCATAGAAAATGCCAACAAACATGTGCCCTCTGGTAGTTTGTTACATAGCTATTGAAAATGGCCATTGAAATAGTGGATTTACCCATTGAACATGGTGATTTCCCATAGTTTTTTGTATGTTTACCAGAGGGTACGCCCTTGGATTTTTGGGGGTTCCATGGTATTATCATAATCCATTCTGTTGTATCCCCTATGTCAGGACGGTTCCAATTCCCGCATTGCGCTGGTGCCTGGCCCCCCTCTTTGTCGTGGACCTGCAAGGTCAAGGTCAAGGAACTACAGATTGAAAAAGATATGAAGGATCTTGTAAATAATAAAGAAATAAATAAATATATATATATATGTGTGTGTGCGCGTGTGTGTATTAATATATAATATAAGCTGGAAAAGATGTGAACAATAGATTCTCTTTATCCCAGATTTTCCAGGTTTTGTTGTTTGACCGTTGTTTTGAATCTTTTTGGGCCCAAGAATCCACTCGCAATCAGCAGCCACGACGGGATAGGTCTGGGCGAAGTGCAAGTCATAGATTTAGTAGATATGTTTTCTACAAGCGGTTCTATTCTGTCAATCTTCATATCATTTCATATCACATGTCCTTCCGATTTCCCATCTTCATCCCATCTTCCAATGATTTTCTTCCCATTTCCAATAGATTTCCCATGGATTTCCCATAGATTTTCCCACTTAGCATGTTGACCTCTGCCATGTCCCACTGGGCATTCCGGACCCATACCAAAGTGCCAGGCTCCAGGGGAGACCCAACGGGTTGGGGCCTGGACATATGCTGGAGATTTTGTCGTTGATTTCTACGAAGTTGCTTTAGTTAACTAAAACATATACCCAAAAAAACAAGGTTTATGGCAAATATATATATATATACATATATATATACATATATATATATATGTTATACATACATAGATATACATGCATACATACATATACTATATATATACATATATACGTGTATATATATATATACATATATGTGTATATATATATATTACATACACATGTATATATATATATACATATGGTGAATGGCATGGAGATGAAGTCAACATAATCGCGGGACGCGAGACGCTCGTCAAGACCCAATCATACGTGACTTAGGTCAATTGAATCCCGGAGCGGGACGATTTTTTTTTTGCGGTGAATGAACCAGCAGGTGTGATATTCATCTGGGTTATCAATACCTGGCACTGTTATATCATAGCTCATCTAATGGCATATTCATACCAGATTGATGAACTGAGTTGTTTGATGATTTTCATCTGGGATATTCATACCTGGGTTACTGGGATTATGTAAGAGATCCCCCAGGTATCGTACCACCAATGTCGGTGGTACTGTGTTTTTTTTGGGATTTTTTATCGGTTGCGGATCCAATTCGCGGAGAATACCGGGGTGACCCTGATGATGTTTGTTGAAAAACTTGGTTTGATAATAAAGACTGCTACTGGTTGGTGGTTGACCTACCCCTCTGAAACACATTAGTCACTTGGGATGATTATTCCCCATATATGGGAAACAGTGGAAAAATAAAAAATGTTCCGAACCACCAACCAGATGAAGACTGCTAAAATCTGATGGCTGCGTTTGTTGACAAAAACACTCTGCTGACTTTTTTTGGGCTGGGCGATTGCTGCAATGCTGGCGATCTGGAAATCTATCATTTATGAAATGAATTTCCCAATTATTTTCCATCACCTTGTTCGGAAATGGGCATGGGTCCAGGTGGTTCCCCCATGATTGAAAACTCGCAAAAAACGAGTCCAGGAAAGCTATGGAGATCCAAACTGAACATACCTCAACTATATAATTCAATGTGTATCCTCTGGCAACCAAGGATGCATCATTTGCGGTTCACCGAAGATGCCGGACGCCATAAGATACACCGTTTTTATAGCCAATGGTCAGGAGCATCAAGACAAAGTATGGGGTTTAGAGTTCTAATCCCGGTCCCTTATATGCAATATCTCCAGCATTCGCCAGCCCAAACTGAACAGATTTGGTATGATCCGATAATAAACCAGGATATTTAAGATATATCTAAGAGGGCCAATTCTTTGCTTGACAGATTTACCAGGTTTTTTCTTTCTTTCAGCAATGGCTTGTCCTTGGGTGCCAGGGCTTGTCCAATGGTCAGTTTTGGGGGTGTCGATGAAGGCAATGTCTATGGAAAATGGCCCTAATTTCCCAGTTCGCAAACTGTAACACATTACCAGATGCAAAAATCCCATTACCCTCTGGCAAACATACAAAAAACTATGGAACATCGCGATTTTTTGAATGGGTAAATCAACTATTTCTATAGCCATTTTCAGTAGCTATGTAACAAATGACCAGAGGGTAAGTGGATGAACCATCCCATCATATCCCATGATATATCCCATTATGATCCCAAATCAATCCCATTGCACATGGCTGTCTTCCAGTTCGCAAAGTGTCAAATTACCAGAGGCTATCATCCATAATTCATTGGATTGGTTTAGGATGGTTTAGGGAAGGGGAAACCTAGAGGAAACCTACATATTTGATGGAACACAAACCATCAATGGATTGGTTTCAGGGAAAAAAATACAAGAAAAACCCACATTTACCCTCTGGTAAACTAACATAGCTATGGAAAATCACCATTTTTAATGGGAAAACTCACTATAAATGGCCATTTTCAATAGCTATGTTAGTTTACCAGAGGGTAATGGGACCGGTTTAGTGGTTGACCTACCCCTCTGAAAGATGATGGAGTGAGTTCGTCAGTTGGGATGATGACATTCCATTCCCAATATGATGGGGAAAGTCATGATCCATTCATGTTCCAGTCACCACCAACCAGTTATAGTTGATCATATCAATCATATCAATATCCCAACATATCCCAACTATGGTTGATTTACCTCGTAAAAATGATGATTTTCATTGATTTTCCATAGTCATCTTAGTTTATAATATCCCAACCAGCCATTGTTTAACTCCATGGGAAACTCCGCTGGTGAAACCGGAGCAGAGTTTCACCGGCTTCCCATCTGCAGAACTGGTTAGAAAGTCCCAGTTGGTTTGGATGACTTAGCTAATGTCAACCCTGGATTAATAAACCCCTAGGCTGTTTAATTGGGAGGGTACCATTTAAGTATCAGATTATGACTATTGGAGGAGTACCCCCCCTAATTAATAAACCATGGTTTATTAATCCGGGGTTGACATTATCAAGAAATGATGTGACCAGAGAGCCATGTTAAATGACCAGAGAGTATTTCCAAACATGTTTTGAGTATTCTTGAGTCATAAATATAGTTAAGCCTAAGCGAAGAGGATTTGGATTTTTGGATTTCGCCGTCGAGGGCATATCAACATGATCGACACGAAAATATGCCCACAACATATCATCAATCATCAATCATTGGATTGGTTTAAGGGAAAATCTTAAGCGGAAACCGTTGTTTTTACCATTTGATATGGGGGTTTCCTGTCAAATTTCCCATCATCCAGTTCTGTGGTACCCCTAAATCATCCATGTCGCTAGGATTTTCCATTGTAAACCATCCATTTGGGGGGTACCCCCATGTTACCCCCATTTATGACTCAAAAACCACCATATAGCTATGTTAAATTGATTCAAATTGCAGGGTATCATCTAGGGATGACTGTAATGTTCACTTCAACCAATTGTGGTACCCCCATTTATGAATCAAAAAAAAACTCGCTGAAGATCGGTGCCCCATCCCTGGGCGATCCGCACACGGATAATGAACTCCGTCGCATCAGTGACTTCATCATGTCGTGCACCCGGCCCAACGGGCCCACGTAGAAACGGAGGTCGGGGGGGTGGCCCGGGGATGATTTTCATGGCTGTTCCGGAGTTGATATGACAACGGGGATGTTACCCGGCCTGGTAAACATGCAAAAAACTATGGAAAATCACCATGTTTAATGGGAAAACTCACTATAAATGGCCGATGTTAAACATGAATTGACGAAAAAAGTCAAAGAAAAGCAAGGCACAGGCTGTTTAGTGGAGCCGAAGCAGGCAATCAACTCATTCCCAACTGTATGTAGCTACACTAGAAACTAAAAACTTCATAGCAAGTTCCTTATGCTGTTGAGATGTTGTTCTGCGATACTGGTCGCGCCAGCGGAAGTTTTGGCATGGCCGAGAGTCCTGCATTGCTGAACGAAACATGGGATGTACCCTCTGATAATTTGTTACATGGCTATTGAAATGGCCCATTTATAGATCATTTACCTATTAAACATTCTGATGTTCAATAGCTGTGTTAAATTACCAGAGCGTATAATAAATATCTGATATGGGCTGGTCGCAATGGTGAAACATCGTTTTCCTTCGTAGTATTTCATTGCCATTTTGGGGCATCCCCCACTTCCAAACCACACTACACAAGTGGCTTAAAAGAGGCGGAACCACATGAGCCATAAGGATATCTACATATATAATATATCATATATCATATCTATCTATCTATATATTTATATGTATATATATATATTTATCTATGTATATATATATATATCCATATCTATATCTAGATCTATATTGTATCCCTCTCTCTCTACCACATGAGCTGCTAGCTAGATGTAGGCTCCAAATGTGTGGATTTTTACCCAAAAAGTTCCAGGGATCACCTCAACAAATCCTCCAGCTTTGCCGGAGATGTCAAATGACTTGGCATATCTGGAATCATATGAGATATAGAGACCCCAAAGCCATATAGATATATAGATAATTGGAAACCTCGAAATATGAGGTAAATTAATCATCGAACATTTGCATCCGGGCATCCTGGAATGACTTTTCGGCATCTTTTGGGGGGCTACTATCTGCATATTATCAGATTATGATATTAGTTTCATATTATCAATTAATATCATGCCATATGGCATGATAATGAACCTATCAAGCTACCTTCACCAGTCACTTAACCCCAAAAAAATCGTTTTTTTCTTCTCAAAGCACCATGAATTTTCTGTGGGCTCTCCCCTTCACCAGTCCAAATCCCTGGGGTTCAGCAGCCATCACGTCTTCAAAACGTCTTGGGCTTCAACTCAGCAGCATAATCTTCACACACGCGACCCAGCGACACCATCAAATTGGCACCTTGGTCGAATCTGCCAATCTCAGACAGGACATGACCCAGTCGGTGATTTCCTACTACCCTCTGATAATCTAACATGGCAAGGGAAAATTACATAAAAATGCACGATGATTTTTAAACAATTAAAAGCATGGCCATTTTAGGTGGCAATATTGGAATACCAAAAAGCATTTCTATGTTGATTCCAATATTGCACCCATATCTGATATTTCATTTCCATTCATTTCCAATATTCCATTTTTATGTTGATACCATAGATTCCAATATTGGTTTCCAGATTTTCCACCCATATCTGACACATCTCCAGCAGTCCGGACACAAGCGGTTCACCAGCGCGGCAGCCAGGAGATTGTTGGCCTTGGGGGCGTGATTCCCACCAGAAAGAGATTATGGAACTAAGAAAAAAACCATGGCCACAAACTTACTGGTGCTTAGTAGGGAATGGATGGGAATGGGATTGTTGATAGTGATTCTGGATCATTCCCATCCATTCCCTACTAAGCACCAGTAAGTCATTGTGGCAAAAAAAACATGTTGGTGAATCTGATTGAACATGACAAAAATACAAAGTCAATCATGGTGGTGATTCCCATGGTAAATGACCATGATTGTAGGCGTTCTTTCTAGCATCGGAGTCATGCCCTTCAGGAGACGGGTTTGCCTGACGGGTTCACCGACCGTCTACCCTCGGGTAATTTGACAGGTAGAAAATCCATCGAAATTTCCCCATCGATTTTAAATGCCCAATTTACATAATTTACCCGGCCTGGTAAACATACCAAAAAACTATGGAAAATCACCATTTTTAATGGGTGGGTAAATCATGGTAAATCCATTATTTCGAGCTGGGCCATTTTCCAGTTCGCAAACTGTTAGTTTACCAGCGGGTAGTACCCTGGGCTGAGCCAACATGTGCAAATGGGCGCGAAAGACGCCGCTAGACTGAGCCGCCAGCCAGTTGCCGTGGTGTCAAGGGAGACAAGAGACCACCGGGCCTCGAAGGAAAGTGGGAAATGTTCATTTAAGATTAATGGATTAATATGGAAATACCAATATGAAGGGAATATGAACAGGAATCATGATTGTTGGTATTTATCATGTTTATCCAATATCCATTATCCATTATATTTCGTTTAATCCAATACACCAATATTGTTTATAAGATTTTATAAGCCATTATCTTTCGAGTGTTTATCCCCAGAGCCCCAGAGCCATGTTCTGCCTTATGATGATCAACTGGTTGGTGGTAGACCTACCCCTCTGAAAAATATGAGTTGGTCAGTTGGGATTATGACATTTCCAACTGAATGGAAAGTCATAATCCATTTATGTTCCAAACCACCAACCAGTCATAGAATGGTCATAGAATGGTCATAGAATGGAAAATGAATGGAATATGAATGGAATATTGGTTCAGACCCTTTCATCCAACGTGGCTGGGACACCCCCCGAAGGTTTCGTTCACTGGGAACATCATCGAACTATCCCTCTGGATATCTGTCCTGACTGTGACTTTTTGTGGGGGCCCAGCGAAAACATCCCTAGATATTTCATCTGCATGAGTTAACTATAGCAAGCCTCAGAAAATAGAAAAGTAGAAACATCAACTAACAGTGACAGAATGCTTTTCTATCCGCTACAGCGAAAATGTTGGGAACTATTTAAAAAAACTTTTCTCATTCATCCACTCACATTTTCTAGTATAGTAAATCAATAATATTAGTGGTAAGCCACTTTTCTATCCACTGGATATTCAAAATTTAATAGTGCATCTTATTTTCTCCAGTATCCCACTAGGCTTTCCAAAAGCCTCGTTGGGATGATTTTTGTGCTTCGGCATCTGAAGAATTATGGGCAGTGAAACACCCAAAAAATGATGGGGAATTGTTTTTCCAGCATTTTCTCAGTAATACTTAGCCATGTTGAGGTAATTTTATGTAATTTTGGGGTATCCTCCATGTTTAGCCCCCAATCTCGTTCCTCCGTGCATGGTTCCCCATGGTTCCCCCCGGTTTTCCATGGTTCCCCTGCCCATGCAGCAGGCCAGGCATTCCTTCCACAGGAGTCGGCTCCATGAAGCGCTTGGAGTCCCACTCCTGGAACGATACCCATGAAACATGGTGGATTTTCCATAGTTTTTTCTGGTTGGTTAATGGTTAATATGGTTTTTCTAATGGTTTACAATGGTTAATGGATGGTTAATGGATTGTTATTATAATATTATATATCTGGTTGGTGGTTGGTACGCAAACCCCTCTGAAAAATCATGGAGTGAAAGTCAGTTGGGATGATGAAATTCCCAATATACTGTATAGAACATAAAATTCATGTTCCAAACCACCAACCATTTTTTCTATGTTTACCAGAGGGTAAGACCATTTTCTGGACAGATTGGAGATGGTGACCTTGGGTTTACCACATTGAATGTGATACTCTGCATGAACATGTATAAACTGTCCATTGTTAGTGGGCTACTGGATGTGTTAGCTTCCTTCACATCATGAGCATCATCAAGCTGCCCCAAGGATCAAGGTATCAAGGTTTACCCGGGAGAAGTTCCAACCATTTACGCCCCCCAAGACTCTTGGACGAGTCTTTTTTTGTGTCAGAAAATGGATATGATCCATTTCTTGCATGGAAACCCAACCATTCTTGCCCAACATTTGAAATTTCTTTAGCGGTGACACTTTCCGTAGAAATTGTAGATTATACACATCTTGTTCTATGGTAAGAGGTCCACAAAAATGTCCGGCGAATATTCATCAGCTGCACGCAGTCCTCCTGAGGAATGTCTTTCAAGATCTCAGCCAATAGCGCCTTGCTCTATCCCATGACTGTGGGTTTGGGATCTATGATCACCTGAGAGGTTTCACGTTGGGAGACTTTATTTTTGTCTTCAAAGTCTAGAAATCACAAGGGGCGGAAAAGGGGTTGGTATGGATAAGTGACAAGAATCAACTGGGAAATGAATTGAATGGCTAAGCAGCCTGCTTCTCCAAACTCAAAACTCTCCAAGTCTCCATGTTTTGGATCCTGTTGGATCATGTTGGATCCTCATCTTCCAAGTTTCCCGACCGGGGTGACCGGATGGGAGAGTTTCCCCTGGTGACACTCCCCAAATATCTCCCCAAGGATCTGGCTGGACAGTCCGTGGTCAACGTGAAGGGATTGGGAAGAGGTGGCACAGGGCCTTTTTTCGCGTGGCATTGAAGGAGGTATGCGACCAACACGGGGGGGATCATGACATACCGTATCCATAGATGAATTATGACTGGTTGGTGGTTTTATATAGCCATCTTGAAAAATATTAATTAGTCAATGGGAAGGATGACATCCCATTGATTTATGGAAAAGGACAATTCATGTTTGAATCAATGGCCATTTCAGGATCCTAAAATGGAGGTACCTACCATATATAAGGCCTATATAAGGGGATATACCGTGATATACCCCCAAAATATGACCTTATATGGTACAGTACCTCCATGAAAATGGATCCTGGAATTCCCATTGAAACCACCAACCAGAATGCTGAAGCGTTGCCAGCATGGTTTATGTGAGCGTTTCCAGCAGGTGATCAGACCTTGGTTTCAACGTCCATGGTTCCACTGAAATCCCATGGCTTCCACCAGGGTTCCATGTCCAATTTCAAATGGCAACCGAAAACAGTCGAAGCTAATCGTATTGAACAATCTTCGGATCTATAGCAAGTCCAACATGACGTAGGTACAGAAGACTTAGCCAGAGCTGCGATTGGTCAACAATAATCAAGATCGAATCGATCCCTGAGGTGATTGATCAAAGTCAATATGGAATCGTTTCCTCCAACGCTGAAACATGTTTTGACCAGAGGTTTTCTCGACGAGGGGTGGCGGATTCCACCATTTGGTTGGGAAAACCCAGCAGGATCTGAGCAATTCTGAGCACCCAGCAGAGTTGGCCACAAATGCTGGGGTCCATCCTGGCAGGTTCAGGCGAAACATCTGACGGATGAATTGGAAGGGGAGACAGTAAATATACCTATTACCTCACTTATAACATTACTTATACCTTAGAATCCTTAGAACAAGTCAATATGTTTTTCTTAATAAGTGGCCGACCCAGAGGTTTCTCAATCCAGGGCTAACATTGCACCATTCCAAAAGCAGCTCTCAGGCGGTTCATGGCATAGATGGGCACGGTCAAGATATGTCAAGATGCAGCCGGGAAATTCAAGAACTGAATCTGCGTCTCACAGTACGGTGCCCAGCAAGTTTCATGGTTGATCATCCTTCATGTTTCCATGTGTTTCCCCTATGTTCCCCTTATCCGATGGCTATTGTTAGGGTATCCCGGGAAAAATATGCCCCATTTCTGGGCCCTAACCTTGGGGTGTTCTAGCTTCGATTCCAGCTTGAGCTGAGCATCCCCCACGGCGACGACGGAGCTGCCACAAACGGCAGTGACAGGTCCGCCTCTGTCGTGGTGCTGGACAGGTTGGACCACTTGCGCCGTCTGAATCCAAACTGAGACCTGTTTTAGAAGTGTTGACATAGTGTTGACATAGTTGACATCATTCGATGTTATCAATCTGAAATCGGTTGGTTCTACGGTAGGTCAATTTCTCTGGCTAAAGTGACCATTCCATTCTGTAGTTTTGTGCTGGCCTCAACGCCATCAACTTCCAGACTAGACCAACTTGGGCCTCACGGTCGACCGCAGCATGGGAATAGCATGATTTTCAGAACCACTTCAGATTTGAACGATGATCTGGGTGACAATGGGGTGATACCCTCTGGTAATTTAACTTAGCTATTGAAAATGGCCATTTATAGTGGATTTACCCATGAAAAATGGTGGTTTTCCATAGTTATGTTAGTTTACCAGAGGGTAACATCCTGAACTCTTTTCCTGATGTGTTCCCAGTATTTCTGGCTGCATCTGGCTACATAACTTACAATGACCTTATTTTCAAGGTCGTTTTCATACAGAACAACCGATGAAGAGCCCACCAAAAAATGGCGCGCTGTTGTTTTGATTTGAAGCCCAAACCCAATAGGTTTGTTTGAACATGGAGTTGATACATACCCCAAATATCCATCAATCATCCTTGTCCCCATTGAGACACAGCGATTTTGGGCATCTCCGACGCCCAAAATGATCGTCTGCGCCAATCTGCCTTCAGGTCGAAAACCCGGACCCTTCGGCAAGGCTTCAGGACCAAAAACCTGCAGAAATGTGCAGTTTTTGCCAGCACAAGTTGGAGAGTCCAGGATATGCTGGTTTCCTACACTGGGGGTACCCCAGAATGGATGGTTTGCAATGGAAAATCCATCTAAACATGGATAATTTGAGGGTACACAGTATATACCACCATTTTAGGAAACCTCCATATGGGGTGATTTCTTGGCAACTGATCATCATTTCGGGCAATGTCGCTCACTGATGCTCACTGGATGTGGGAATAGCATGGAATAGCCCAAAACGTCCATATCTTATTGGGCCAAGAATGATAAACTATTGACTATTGGATACCCTCTGGTAAACTAACATAGCTATTGAAAACTGCCATTTATAGTGGATTTTCCCATTGAAAATGGTGATTTTCCATAGTTATGTTAAATTACCAGAGGGTAGCGGTCCCCCACCTGAGCCAGGCGCCGCTGCGCCAAGCACCGCGGCAGCGAGGCGTTTTCGCGCCGGAACCCACCGAAAACGCGGAAGCTGTGGACGGAGCAGAGTTGCCCAAAGGCCTGGTGTAGCGTGGCACCAATCAATGAGCCATTTCAGGAACCTAAACCGGAGGTACCTACCATACATAAGGCCTATTTTTAGGCCCAAATTTCAGGGAATATCCCCAGAAAATATGGCCTGAAAAATGGTACTAACGAAAAAACCTCCATTCAAATGGATCCTGAAATTCCCATTGATCCACCCATGGAATTCCAAATAGTTAGATCTGCTTTGCAAGATAGATACGAATCCCGTACCACATTTATACCCCCCTTATTTTGCACATCTATCTGGCTCATCCGGTAAGCCCAATTTATAATGGATTCAAATCAACCTATAAGATTGAAATACATTGAAATACATTGAAATATATACATTGAAATATATACATTGAAATGCATTGAAATACCAAATATATATATATATATAATATGTATATATATAATTATTAAATCATATAAATATATATATATATATAAATGATATAGCATGGGATTCACTCAACGCCAGAAGCAATCGCCAGGTTCAACCTGCCATTTCATGGTCATCTTACGTCAGCAGTATTTTTGGAAGTCCCCCGCTGGGCCTCTTCCATGATGGCAGGTAGCTGTACGGTAAAACCAATCATTAATCATCCCCAATATTCGCCATAAATAGGTGGTATAAACCATCCCCAAATGGTTTATCATTGGGCTTACCGCATTAATCTAACTGTAGTGACTGGGTCCCTGGGTTGTTTTTTCTAGCTCCACAGGAACCAAACCTCGCAGGAAATGCGCAGGTCCCGTCAGGTTTAGATTGCCCAAGGTTGCCGTTTTCTTGGTTTCTTTTCATTGCCCAATTCTGATGAACATTGCAACTACCAGGTTCTATGTTAAGAGACGTTTTTAATCATCGAACATGAAGAGAAACGTGGTCCAAAAATGGCTAAACACTGAAAATGCCTGGGGGTGAAATCATAGGATTTTCATGGATTTTCCCCAAAGATGATGGATTTTACTGCCCAGTCTTCCGATTTTCCACAGCGTCAGTGATGGCTTGGCTGCCTTGTTTTCAGCCACGGTCAGTGATCTGAGATACCTGAGCCGATCCGTCAAGGTGACCACGGTGACCATATGGATCTGCCATTCCCATATGCAACCCATGGTGCTGGAATATGAATCCCAACATTTACCCCAGAAATGACCCAGTCATGTAGGTAAATATACTATACATGGAGCATATGGGATTGTGTAGACCTCTTGATACTGCAGGAAACTTTGATATCTTTTTGTTGGACTGTCTTGGATAAACTCGACAAGCCTAGCTTGAGGCAAGAAGCTCAGGCAGGGAAGACAATCTCCTGAGAATCGGGGCGCTGCGATGTAAGATTCATCGCAAGACTCGGATGTTTCTGGCTACGCTATGATAGATGCCCTTCTTTCACAGCAACATCGTACAATAAACGAACATCACGACACATTGAGCATGTCGTGGGTTGTGCTCCTTTCAAAGTCATTGGAATCACCTGCTCCTGGATCATGCTCACATATCACATGACATCACACGACTAAGGGCTTCATGTTCTATTGGAAACATCAGTTAGTATCCTATATATCGTCAATATGGACGAATTCAAATCGTTCCCATTCTTTCCAAAAACGCTGCTGGATGATTTTCCATGGATTTTCCCTTGAAAAAGAGGAACACCAGGGGGATTCCGAACAGGTGAAACCCACCATTGGACCAAGTGGCACAGGGAGACCGGCTGCCGCCACTGCTGCATCGTCCAGCTCCAAACACCTGGCAGAGCTGAGGGGATGGAGATCACATTCCGCAAAAACCTTGGGTTTTGTCAACCCAAATCATGTTATACTGGTTGGTGGTATACCTACCTCCGAAAAATATGAGTTCGTCAGTTGGGATGATGAAATTCCCAATATATGGGGAAAGAAAAGTTCCAAACCACCAACCAGTCATGCTATATCATGTTAGACTAAGTTAGTGAGAATTGGTGATATTTGGTGTTCTTTTTTGTGATCATGGTGATAATGAGTGATAGTTAGTGATGGGGTTAGTGATGATCTGGATTAAGCCTGACTCAGGGCTGATCAATCTCGAGAGTAGCTCACCAAATAATGAGTTCATCTGATACCAAAAAGGGTTGGTATGGTTGATATCATATATATATGGTGATAACTAACATCCGATAAACAAACATCCGATATGGCTTGGTGGTTTCAACCCTATCCCTCTGAAAAATCATGGAGTTCAAGTCAGTTGGGATGATGAAATTCCCAACTGAATGGGAAGTCATAATCCATTCATGTTCCAAACCACCAACCAGATATATTATTATTCCAATGATTTACCATTATTAACCATAGATTAGCCATAGATTAACCAGGAAAATTAATGTTCCAAACCACCAACCATATGGCTTGGCTTGGTATGGTTTGTCCACACATGAGGTGCACGCCCAGAACGACGCCACCTGATGAAGCCATTCGATTTGGTTTCCCGGGGTTCCTGAAAATAGCCATGAACTCCAAATTCCCACTTCAATTGCATTCAATTACCATTGAAGCCCCATGAAATTCCATATCCGCATTAACTTCCATATTCCCAGTAAATCACCCAATTAACTCAACTAACTCCCATGAAATCCACCTTTTTCCATGGTTTCCCCAGGTTTGCTCCGCCATTTTTCCAGCAACGCTTCACCGCGTTCACCGCGTTCGCCCAGCTTCAACAGCTCGGCGCTCCAGCGACGCCAGGCCACGGCCGGCATGGACACGTCCAGGCTCACCTGGGTGGATTTACCCATTGAAAATGCTGGATCTTTCCAGTTCGTTATGTGGCTGTTTACCAGAGGGGAACCATATAGTACCATTATATCTATACATAAATCTATAGGTAATATATATATACTGTATATATATATATATGTATTGCCATTTTACAAATATGGGTAATTAGTATATTTATCTATAATACCATATATAGTCCCCATTGTATGGTATGTGCTATGGTATTAGAAATGGTAATATGGTATTCTTATATTACCTACTAATAGTATATGGTTATAAACACCATATATATATAATCTATTTTGCCATTACTAATACCATATAATACCAATATTACCTTTATGATAACCCATCTGAAAAATATGAAAGTCAGTTGGGATGATGACATTCCCAGCTGAATGGAAAAATAAAATTCATGTTCCAAACCACCAGCCAGCTTTTGAATGCTTTTTCAGTGAAGTGGTGAATTAGTGGAAGGAAACACATGAAAAACACCATGTGACCATGTGTATCAAAGATGATTTTTTTGCGATTAATCAAACATTACCCCTTCCGTCTGGAGCCGCCAAGCGCATTTTCGAGTTGTCATTCAAGCTGAAGGTCAGGAGGCAACACATATTCATAAACGCACCCATCATTGTCGAAGACAGAGTCACGGTCCCGCATGCTCAAATAGAGCGACCTCTCTTGAATGACAAGAGCGACTGGGCACCATGGGGCCGGACACTGCAAGACTTCCGTGAAAGTTGTATTGCCGGGGTGGATTGTCAGAACCTTTCTTTGATATTGCTCCGCGACATAGATGGTTCCACCTTCAGTTACGAACAGGTCCGATACACAAGCTTTGGGCTCTGTGGGGATTTGTCCCACTACAACAAGTTCAACTGGCTCGGCTGGATTGATGCGTAGAATGCGACTCTGCAACTCATCAAAAAGATAGATCACCCCTGCGTTGGTCACAAACATGGCTTTTGCTTTGAACTGCAGGTCTGCAGGAAGACTCTCGGAGGCAACCACTGTCTGAAGTGCTGAACCCAGCTTCTGCAGCGTTCGCCCCTCCTGCACCACCACGTACAGCCCCTGAGGTGAGACAAACAGCAAATCAAGATTTACCAACCTGTAGTTGAAATAATCCGCCACGAAAAGCTCCCCGCTGGGTGAGATGGATATGTCACATTCCGTCTCAAGATTCATTCCACACACTTCAGCGCCTGCATCCACAAGAGTTCGCATTGAAGTGGCTGCGTCTCCATGCTTCCAACAAAGGGTGCGGCCATTAACATAGTCGGTGGCATAAATGTCACCTCCGTGCCTGCGCAGGCAATTGCATGCAAAAGGCAGCACTTCATATCCTGAAGCTTCACTGATTTCACTGGCACCCAAATCCGGCGACCAATGCTGGAGACGACGCCTCTTCGGTTGAAAAGGCTGTGAAGATTGGGCTCGCTTTCTTAGGGCTGCACCAACTTCTCTGTGCCAGTCATCAGAAAGTGACTTAAAATCGACATGCTGCAGCAGCATGCCCAAAAGACCATTTCTATCCTGGGAGGCATTGAGCCAAGTAAATATTCCTTTCAACACTACTTCCTCACGAGACACGCCCAGATCATCTCTCTTCAAAATTCGTGCCAACTGATCGGCACTGAGCTTCACAAAGTCTGGATGTTGGCTGCTAGTTTCGAAATCCCCGGCAACCTTCTCTTCACATGCATCTTTCAAAGAATGGAGGCCGTCGTGCACTTCTTGCAAGACTAGCAGAGCAGAACTGCTGTCCAGGGAGGCACGGATGCCCGCCTCAATTGATCCTGCTAACTTTGGCAGGTCATAAGCTTCCGCCAGTCGCATCAGTTCAAGACCAGTTTCCAGTGGTACTTCAGGCTGCCCATCATAGATGTAGTCCAAGAAGGCAGACACTGCTGCTTTGGACGCAGCAATTTCTATAGGCTCTCCTCGTTGCACGCTATCTGCCAGGAAGGATCCACCCAGCAGCTTCCGAAAGATAGCACCGCTGGCAGATAGCACCGCTGAGTGGGCGCGATGCTTCGCGCCATCGCAGCTCTTCAGGACAACATCACAGAGATGGTCTTCCCTCCAGAACTTCCGCAGCTGCTGCATGATACCGGCCCGATGCTCGGCCAGATCGGAATGTTCAAGTCTCACAGCGCCCATGGCTTTAAAGAAGATGTGCTAGACCCGAACAGTGCGCTTGAATATGTTTGGTCAATTTTATTGTTGTTCCCAGCAGCTGTCGACTGTTATATAACCATCCAATTTAGCTAGGGTGGATACAGGAGAAAAAAAACAGGGATGTCATGATCATGGCCGCAACCACAAAGACATCTTGACGCTTGGATGGCCCAGCTCTGCAGCAAAAACACTCTGCTGGTCGGCACCCCCAAAGGCCCATGGCCAATTTTAGATACCCTGCAAAATGTTACAGTAGGCCGGCCGTACAAATCATTACACATATGCATCTCTCTCTCTCTCTCTTCCCCTCTCTCCACATTATGGCAAAAGATCAAGTTGTATTTTCTGACGTTGTACCCTCTGGTAAACTAACATAACTATGGAAAATCACAATTTTTAATGGGTAAATCAACTATTTCTATGGCCATTTTCAATAGTTATGTGGCTGTTTACCAGAGGGTAATTTTGAAAGTGTCCATCCAGTTTGTTCCCCATTTCCGTGCATTGGTTTTGACGACCTACAAATGCTCCATCGCTCTAACCTTGTCGCACTGGTCGATGGTCAAGCTGTCTTCACTCACGCTGCCGTGACGCCGCAAGAAAGCCATGGCCTGACACAGCAGTGGGAAACGAAGCGAAAGCATCTAACCAAAATGAGCGTTGCCCCGAAGGGTTTGTAAGTTATATATCCCATTCCAATATTAAACACCACCTATGTGGTCCTAAATGTGTGTTTTTATACCCTACATTGACCATGGCTTCTGGGGGGTGTTTAATATCTTGGCAAAATACCATCCGGTAATCAAACATAGCAATGGAAAATCGCATCAAATCACCTATTGATTCAGTTCGATGATGTTCCAATTAAAACGTCCATTTACTTCGGGGATTTCCCAGCTAGCCATGTTTGATTCCCGGAGAGTATAAGGCAAATGATAGGGATACTGGTCAATCTCGCCATAAATGGGTTTGTTTCAAAATATGGGGTGCCTCAAGTTATGGTAATGGCTCAAACGCATCCAAATATCATGGGATAGTTTAATTATTTCAGAACGGCCCCTCATGGGGGAGTGAGTTTTGCTCCAAAAATGGTCAAAAATACTGGTATTGGAGATAATATCTTGGACACACTCAAGTATTCCACAAACATGTGACATGATCAATTATTTCTTATCCAAATCATCACTTATGTTGAGGCCTGAGGTCCTTACAAGTTATGAAGTTACCAGGTAAGTCGAAAAGTTGAGTCAGGATGTTGTACCCTCTGATAAATTGTTACATAGCTATGGAAAATAATCACGTGTCAACAAGTTGTAAAGAAGGTAAGCCATCGAACGAAATGGGCCATTGTAGTCATCATTTTCACATAATTACCAGAAGGTAGAAATCATCATTTTTGTAGGTGAAAACCCCATTAATCACCGTAAAATCACAGCACAAATCAACACTACAGTAGCATTTTGATCATTTCTTTGGCCATTAATCATTAAATCCCACTAAATCCGATTAAACCCCATCATTTCCCATTAAATCGCCATTCAACCAATTTTGACCTCATCATTCTTTGGCTTATCCTGAGACCATCCCAACTACATCAAGTACGAGTACTACATTTTGTACATATGTGGTGCCCATCAGTTAGGTATTGAGTCCAATCCCATGAAAGTTTCAAGTAGCCATCAAACAGTACCCTCTGGTAAACTAACATAGCTGTTGAAAATGGCCCAGTCGAAATAGTGAGTTTTCCCATTAAACATGGTGGATCTTTCCATAGTTTTTTGGTATGTTTACCAGGCCGGGCAAAAAACCCATGGTAAAACCATGTACCCTCTGGTAAACTAACAGTTTACTATGGAAAATCACCATTTTCAATGGGAAAATCCACTATAAATGGTCATTTTCAATAGCTATGTGGCTGTTTACCAGAGGGTAAAACCCATCAAGATCCACCCCTAAACCCCCCCCAGGTGAATCCAGGCCTGCGGCATGAGTTCCTGGGGGAAGTGCACCGTTCGCATCTGCTTCTCCGTTTGAGCGCCGATGACCTGATGTCAACCAGTTGAACATCACTGGATTGGTTTAAGGGAAAATCTACAGGAAACCATGGTTTTTACCATCAAATATAGGGCTTTCCGGTTAAAATTTTCCCATCATCCAATTCTATGATGAACAACATCTCTGTGAGGCTGCACTATGTCACTATGGATCTGGGAATTTGGGAACTTCAACTCAACGTTTTTTTTTTTTTTTTGTATTATCCATAAGTGGAACTAACTAAGTTGCACTATGGATTTGGAAACTTACACTCTTCATATCTCAAGAGATATCTCTTGATGCATGCAACCTGCCGCCCTTGGAACGACCCCAGAGATGCACGGATGCAAAACAACAGATCCTACCTGTACATTAGTAATTACATACCCCATATGCTCCATGTATAGTATATTTGCCTACATGACTGGGTAATTTATGGGGTAAATGTTGGTAAATATTCCAGCACCATGGAGCATATGGGTACTAGTACTATCATACTATCAATATCTCCACATGGTTTTTACCCTCCGGTAAACTAACATAACTAAACGGAAAATCACCATTGTTAATGGGTAAATCAACTATTTCGACTGGGCCATGTTCAATAGCAATGTTAGTTCACTAGAGGGTATCTAGAGTGATGAAGCCTTTTCCCGGTCTAAACAGTCTGAAAGGTCTAACTGATCAACCTTCAAAGGGGTTACTGCAGCATGACTATTTTTAGAGGCTACTGCCATGAGCACGCCATGAGCTATCGCTTCTTCACTTCTTCAACGCTGACACTTGTCCCTTCAACATTTGACATGTAGCTTACTTAAACCCCATGCTTAACTGCAAAAAAAACACATCCAACTCCAAAACTTGGAGGGTCATCATCTACTTCAAATTTGGTATTCAGACATCCCATGGGTATCCCCATGATATTCCCCATGATATCCCCATGTTGAATGGTTCTATCCAGGTGACCCAATCCTCCAAGGCACCGCGTCCAGCACTTGAAGCAGGTCATCCACACCGGTGCCGTCTGCCTCGGATGCAAGGCGCGTCGTGGTGGAGTACAAACGGGGCATGATTGGGTTACCCTCTGGTAAATTAACATAGACCCTGGCAGTCATCGGGGTTGGAAGATTAGTTTCCATTAAAACTAGGCTATTTTCAGAAAATTTTCAGGGTCTATGTTAATTTACCAGAGGGTAATTGTTGAAACAATAATAAACTACCCATGACTGGGAATGGCAAACATATGAATATGGGGGTTTCCATACATTCGGGGCACCCCAATAGCTGGATGGTTTATTTCATGGGAAATCCCAAACAAAAATGGATGAGAACTGGGGGTAGCCCTATTTTAGGAAACCCCCCATATAGATGAATTCATTGTCTTAACTGTTGAAAGATGTTGAACGAATATAGATTCACTCTGACTCACCCTGAGTTGTTTAGGGATTTTAGGGTCAAACTTTACAGGAAACCTCTGGAAGCTTAATATGCGATTGGAAAAATAGGGTGCTTTTTCCTAGTAGGTTTTGCGCAAACCAAGCCAGTGATAGATTCCAAACTCCCTTTAAACATCTTTAAACGTACTCTGGATATCTCTGGATCGGATGTAATATGAGCCTTCACCATTCGCATATTAATGCAGGACACACCTCATTCATCCCATTTCCCTCCACCATTCATGCCAATGAGTGGGCCATATAACCACATTTAATCAATTTTAATCATTTGTGTAACCCACCGAACCGTGATTTTTCATGCTTTTTTCCTAGAAATCGATGTCTCCAAAAAGAAGTTATGAGGCGGGCATATTCTACCCCTGACTTTGGGATTATATCTTAACTTAAAGCATCTTATAACATCAACCCTGCACCCCACCAGGCCCGGAAAGCCAGCACCAGCATCCCAGAAAGTGGACCAAGAGACCGCACAGACCGGAATCGCTTCCGGTGGCACGAAGCTCATGGAGTTCAACAGGTCGATCTTGTTCCAAACCTGCAGCTGTGGCATGGCATGTGATGCTTGCAACCAGTGGCCTGCTGTTTGGATCAATGGGAATTCCAGGATCCTAAATGGAGGTACGTTAGTACTGTACCATATTTCTGGCAATATTTTGTAGTTATATTCCCTGAAATTTAGGCCTTATATATGGTAGGTACCTCCAATTTAGGTTCCTGAAATGGCCGTTGATTGGAAGGCCAGACCATGCAATCTTCGTCTATCATTTCTTCCCCTCACATGTCAGCTTGGCAAATCTTGTCGCAGCCACGCCACAAACAATACGGGTCCGGGATGTGTCCCGCACTATGAGGTTATTAATGTATATGAATGTCCTTATGGGCCTCTAGATTCTAGAAGTACCAGCGCCTATATTTGTGTTGGTTGGGGTTTTGACAAATAACTCCCCACGGGTAAGCTCCACATTAAAAGCAAGAAAGTACCCTTCAAGCTTCCTGCCGCCTTGCTTTTCAGCTGACACTGGCTCTTTGGCCAAAACTGTCAACGGCCAACAGCAAAGTCGTTCCGCATTTTCAGCTGCCGTGAACATCTGACACAAACCAAAATAAAACGATACAAAACATGGAATTGCATAGCGAGGTGGTGCTAGGAGGACTTCTGATCTTCGGATCCAGAAATGGTGCCACGGAATTTCAATGACACTACAAATAAAGGGTGAACAAAATGATCGGAACTAAACTTCTCCAGCTGGCTCTACACCTTAGTCTGACTCCATTTCAAATAGCCAAGGCTACTCCTCTCTACATCTGCGTCGCTCAAGTTCCTCCTTGCGACTTCCGAAGCCAGGACGTTCCGAAAGTATTTGAACTCCCCTTCCGAGTCGAGCACTTCATAGGACCAGGACAAAGCGCACAGACTGAAGTCTTGCATTGGCGACAACTTTTTTGTCGATCGAAATCGCTTGGCTGCAGAAGCCAACAAGTTTTCATGGTGGGCGTTTAACTTGGCACAGGCCCAGATCACAGTGGGCACTCCAAGATACAAATCCTTTCCAGTGAGTTTTGGAAATAAATCATTCAAATGTCCGGCAGCAGATCTCATGAAGTCCTCACCAAGTGATGGTGCTACTAAACTAGCGACTGCAGGTACTGACTCCTGAAGATCAACCAGGGTTTCCAAAATGTTGGACAAATCTTGGGCTTTCATATCCTTCATCTTCTCAGGAATCTCCCCCACAATAGCTGGCACAGACTCCAATACCTTGGGCTCATCAGTCTTTAACTGCGCGGATGCCCGCAGGCAGTTGCTCAAATGCTGCGGAATCATCTCCTTCACTCTGGCAGGGATCTGAGCAACCACCGTGGGGACGATTTCCAAGACCTCCGGCACCACATCTTTCAACCTGGCTGATGCCCACAGACTGTTGGACAACGCTTGTGGCACCATTTCCCCCACCTTCCCGGGATACTGTGCGATGATGGCCGGCAACATCTGCAACACCGAGGGGTCCTCCACCTGGGTTGGGGGTGGTTCCATCCATCCAGAACTTCCAACATCAAATTTTCAGATCCCAAAAAACATGCAGATTAATGGGTTTTTAATGGTGATTTAATGGGATATAATGTGATTGTTTCATCCACTTAATGGGATATACCCTCTGGTAAACTCGCAGGTTGCTATTGAACATGGCCCAGTCGAAATAGTTGATTTACCAATTAATAGCATGGTGGATCTTTCTATAGTTTTTTGTATGTTTACCAGAGGGTAAAACAATTTGTTGTCAATCCAAACAGGTCCCCCAATATTTGACCCACACTCCACCTGTAGCCTGGCGCATGCCCACAAGCTGCTGGAGAGTTCCTGGGCTTTCATCCCCTGCGTCTGTTGGGAAATCAACTCCACCAGTGCTGCAACGAAGCCCTCGGAACTGCGGAAATCCTGGGGCAACTGCGCCACGCTCCACAGAAGGTTGGCAGCAGTTCGCGGGGCGAAACGACCTTCCTCCATCATCCCCTGAATTTTGGTAGCCAAAGCTTTCGCCAAGGGCCTGTCTTGTGCCAGTTGCGCTTCGTTCTTCCACTTCAAGCTGCCCTTTTTCCGGAAAACCGCCAGGCTGTGATATGCAGAGGACGCATGAATCTCATCGAAAATCTGAGTGTCCATCTCAGCCTCCAAAATTTTGAAGATCTTATTGGGACTGTTGGCTGACTTCAGCCTGGAGGTCAGAATCATCGCCTGTTTCAAGTCCTCATCTCCAGTCCTGCCCCCATCCCACACCCAGACTTTCGGAATGCGCAATGCTTCGGTGCAGCAACGCCCTGACACGAAAACGTCACTGCGGATGGAGGCCCAAGTTAGGTATGCAAAAATCACCATCCACAGCCGCATCCATCGCATCCCCCGGTGGCGCGGCAGGTCTTCTGCTGACCTTTTCGGCTTGGAAAGGCGCGAAGACGTTGCCATGGCTTGGGCTGTGGTGTCAACAAGCGACCCTATGAAAAAGGATTGTTCAAAGTACCCTCTGGTTATTTAACATGGAAAATGGCCCATAGAAATAGATGGTTTACCTATAAAACATGGTGATTTTCCATGGCTATGTAACAAACAACCAGATGGTAATTGCTGCAAGTTTCCATCACTGAAGTAGAAACCAAGTCTCTGCTACTCGGGAACCGCAGCTATTGGCTGTACTGGTTGGGATAGTTGCCAAATGGATTTGACCTCTCTGAGCTGCAGTTCACAATGCGAAACACATTAATGCCCTTGCCTTACATGGCTATTCTTAGGATACCGAGCGCAAAGATACTTCTTCATCCCCTTAAATCATTTATGGCAATATGCAATTATTGATCGACCCAAGCTTTTAGGTTATAAGGGAGCAGGCTCCATACAATATGTGGTCATCATGGTTCAGGGGTTCTTGACACCAATGACCCCACGGTTATGGTGTGTTGTGTCACCTTTACGTAACAGGTGATGGCCCAATGAACATTCATGTCAATGTCAGTTGGTCAGTTTTGCATGTAGGGCTGTGGCGTTGTGGGTAGCGTTGAGTCCGCCACTTGCCAAACATGCTCCACAATGTTCCACATCGAATTTTGCTCAGTTCTAAACATCTCAAGATCTGATGCCGAAATCCACAAGTTTCAACTACCATCTGGCTATTTGTTACAGTTAGCCATGGAAAGATCCATCCATTTTTAAGTTCGGTAAACCATCTATTTTCATGGGTCATTTTCCTACCATGGCAAACTGTTAGTCATAACCAGAGGCTACTTCAACTACTTCAACAATGGATTGGTTTAAGGGAAAATCTACAGGAAACTATGGATTTTCCCGTTATATATATATATATGGGGCTTTCCTGTAAAATGTCCCTTAAACCAATCCATTGACTTCAACTACTTTCAGATCTGTGCTGCCAACTGGGTTCAGCTGGGTCTCCCAACTTCAATCACTGCAGACTGCAGCTTTTGTTCAGACATGCCGGCACTGCGCAAGGTCTTCAGCACAATGTCCTTCCTGGGAGCTCAAAATCCATTGGCTTCACCGAAACAATTGGGCAAACTGGAGATTTCAAAGGCCATCCAAATACATAATAAAATGATCTATAGATATATATATATAGATATAGATATAGATATTATAATCTCTATAATGATTGTTCATCCAATCATGATGATAAGCTCATTTTCCTGGTTTGATCATGACAAAAACTTAATAAAAACTGATTGTCAATCGAGATCGATACATCCTGGAATATCCTACCTATTACACAGGTTTGCTCTGAAGAGAACATCCATCTCAGGCTAGACTGTCGAGGGGAATTTTGAGGTCTTGCCAGCAAGGGCTGCTCACCATCAAAATAGAGGGTTGATTTATCTCTCGATCGCAATCCAAAGGTTTCCTACAGTTATCCGATGTTCCCCCTAAACTTTACCAGTCTGATTTCCAATGTAGGATTATGTAAGATTATGTAAGATTATGTAAGATTATGTAAGATCAACATTTCCAAACGATCCTAATATTTTGCAGCGACGAGCTTCTGCATGGTACGCTGCGGATGCGCAATGTCACGCACATGCCTCAGAGAGTTGATCAATGTTGATACTGCATCAAATCCTTCACTGGTTGGTGGTATACCTACCCCTCCGAAAATATGAAAGTCAATTGGAAGGATGACATCCCATATATGGAAAATAACAAATGTTTGAAACCACCAACCAGTTCAAAATCTTTCGATTCCAGTGTTTTTTTTGGTGAAATGGCATATCCCAGCTATAAAGGGAAATATGCTTGGTTTATATGGTGTATAATGGTTGGTTTGATAATGGGGAGCCCTTCATCAGCTGTGGCCTGCTATGGGAGGGTTTTTCACCTGTCCAAGAAGTGGAGGAAACCAAATTCATGGCAATGGTAGTGGAGAAAATCCATGGCAAAACTGATACCCTCTGGTTATTTAACATGGCCATGGAAAATGGTCCATAAAAATAGATGATGTTCCCATTAAAACCCATATAAACTCATATAAACCAATATCAACGAATACAAACACCAATCTAAACCAATATCAACCCCAAAAGTCGATTTTTTTTGGCGTCCAACAAAGACAGTCACCCAGTGGCAGCAGCACGTCGCAGCAGATGATCTCCTCCAAAGTGGATTGGAAGGCAGCGAAAAGGCTGTGCGGCAAATGTTGGATGAAACCAATGCTGTCCGCCAAAATGGCATGCCTCGGCCGGTGATAGCTGGTGAAGCCCATGGAAATGATCGTCTAACTGCCAGGCTGCCAGTTGGGAAGCCACCGGATTTTTTTGGCACCCCCAAGCTTTTGTGAGAAAAAACCTATTTGTAAGCTGTGTAAGCCACTGCCAAAAGTCATTTTTTCGGCTTCATCAAACAAGATCTCTACCCCAAAATGTTCCAAACATCCAACTCTTCTATATGTACCTATATGTTCTATGAATAAGTAATTATAATAAGTATTGTCAAGTTGTTTAGCTCCCAGCATCCAACTCTTCCCCATTTTTGGATCCCAACGGTCCGTTTGAGACTGGTCCTAGTCCCAGAGGTGTCCCAGAGGTGTCCCAGGGGCCCACCGGAGGGAAGCTTCACCTTCCGCATGGTGGTGTCCAGGGTCTGGAACAGCAGGTCCCGTTCCCGCAGACCTCGCAGCACTGGTTGCCCGGCCCAGCCCATGGCAGCTATGGGTCAAATATTGGGTCAAAGGTCTTTGGTAAAGGACTGGGTCAAAATTGATGACCTTATTTAGAGGTCTGTTCATTCTAATAAATATTCTGTTATACTAGTACCCATAGGATCCATGTATGCTATATTATTGGTACATTTACCATCAATATACCCCCAATGTTAGTATATATAGCATACATGGATCCTATGGGGTATTAAGATGTATTAAGCCTCCAATGTTAGGTCTGATTTTGACCTATTTGACCTGTACCTTCGCCTTTTCTCCAGAGCTGTCGTCCCCTACCTGCGTCGGTGAGTCGATTCATCAACGACGTTTTGCCTGTCATGGCTGGAACGTTGTTGGACGGTAAATGGGACAATTCACCCGTGAAATCTTGGGATACCCTCTGGTTATGTCAAAATAGCTATTGAAAATGGCCATAGAAATAGCTGATTTACCTATTAAAAATGGTGGTTTTCCATAGCTATGTTAGTTTACCAGAGGGTAAGGCCACCATTTACCCAACAAAAACCTTTCACTTGCATCCTCCATCCAGTTTGCAACATCTTCGCCCCTTGCATTTCTTGTGCCTGCATTGGTGTAGCCCACGATGCCGATGGTTGGCACCCCTGCGCGACTTTGTCGCTGCTGCTTGCGGCTTTTCTTCTCCTGGGTCTTGCTGGCGGATTCACAAAGCGCTTCAAATCCTTTGGGCACACATTTGGTTTCACAGGCCACCATTGTCTCAAATGTTGAGATTCCATGATATATCTGTATATGTATATGTATCATTCCCATCATGGATTCAAATTGTCCTCAATAAACCAAAAAGTATAACTCACATGCAATCATCAATCAACGATCATTTACTGATATCATCCCTATTATCTATAATGATGATACCATATGGTACCCCTATGAATGTTGCTATTCTATCATATGAAAAATCCCCAGTTACTTACCCATCCCCTAGTGACCCACTTGTGTCTTACCAAAGCTTGAGCACTGACACACCGGTGCAAAGCAAAATAATGTCCTTTTGGTAAAAATAGGTAGATGGGCCGGGAGCTGGTATACCATCTATCATCATAGAAACCTGTTGTTAATAAGTTAAAGATAGATGATAGACAATCATAATTGTTAATAATTTACCAACTGGTTGGTTATTAATTGATTAATAGTAAACAAACCCCTCTATTAATCAACCAACCAATATTAACCATAGATTAACCATTATTAACCATGGATTAATCAACCAACCAATGGTGCAAACACCCAGTGGGTCGTTCCATTTCTCGCCGAGGTGCCGTCTCCAGCATTCGCTTCAACCTCGCCTCCGCTTGGCGAATCAAGGCCCGTTCCGTCTCGAACGGTTTCAGCTCGTAGTGGTACTGCACATCCACATCGGTCCTTCTTTGGGGCAAGGTCAAAGATGAATTACTATCTACAATCTTTATTTGTTTAGTATAGTAATTCATATATAATTCATATACCTCTGGTGATATGTGAGTATGTGATTTTTAATATGCACATCTACTTTTCATAGGGGTTTTCTTGAGGCACGCCCCAGCAGGACGGCGCACCTGAAGCCCTTGACTTCTTTGAAGGGACCCACCTCTTCCTGCAACATTTGCATGGTCTCCTGGAACGTTGCGGGCAACGCTGAAGTTTTGGAGAACTCAAATCCCGCATCTTTGTGGCAGGTAAAACTATAGGGAAACACACCATGTTTGCTCTGATTTTAAGTTGTCTGAGTAAATCATGGTAAATCATTCATCTAGTTATATAGCACATTTCGAAAATCATGGGGTACAATGGGCAACCGGGAGAACCTGAGCACCCAAGAAGAGAAAAAGAAATCATGATCCATATTGGTCCCTAGTGGGGTCCGGCTGAGAACTCCACTGAGCCCCACCCAATCAAAGAACATCAGCGCTGCACTGCCAAGCCAGGTCGAACCAGCCCACGTCACAAGATCTCCTTGAAGCGTGTCTTCTGGCTCAAGGTCAGCCGGGTCTTTAAATACTCCAGCTTTGCCAAGCCCACCTGATGCGCTGCGACGCAGTGGCTGATGTGGGAAAAACAAGTGTCACAAACCTAGGTGAATATGTGGTAGTTTGGGACAGCACTCAATTTGGACACATTTGGAGGATGTTTTCTACCAGGCTTCTCAGAGGATTTGCCCTACCTCTATTAGGATAGTACTCCAGCAAAAGTGTTTTTCACCCACTCCAAAACGAGATGAACGCACACCGACATCCTTTGCAACTACCTCTCCCAAGATTCCCAGAGTGGAGGAAAAGAGCTTTATGAAACTTTATGAAACTTTGAGGTAAAGTCTATCAGTCTATCTTCTGACATCCTGGCATCCTTCTCTTCTGCGCTCACCAAGACGTCTTCTATGGACACCCACAGATATAGCCCCACTGAAAACCCCATCCCCACGCTCCGACCTGGATCTTTGCCGCAGGCGTCTTGGCGCGGAGGTTGAAAATCTCCAGGACCTGCCGCCGGCTGATCCGAGATGGAAGGCTGTTCTGGTGCTGAGTTAAGAATACCTAGGAGGAGTTTGAGAGAGCAAATCAACCAAGGACAGTTGGTTGGGTAATGTTTGGGTAGATGGTAAAACCCCTTGAGTATCCTTGAGTATTGAGTGTGATCATGAGGGAGTCATATGATGTGGGAAACTGCTGGAAATGATCCCATTTGCCACTTGATTGTTGGCCATCAGGTAGATGTTGGAGCGCTGCAAGCTGGGCACCCAGATCTAGTCAATCTAGTCTGTTGCCACTGGCGCTTAAAAAGTGCTTTCAGCAACAATACCAGGACAACATGATTACACAATTACCCTCTGGTAAACTAACATAGCTGTAGAAAATCACCATTTTTAGTAGCTAAATCCACTATAAATGGCAATTTTCAATAGCTATGCAACAAATTACCAGAGGGTAATCCCTTGCCCTCAGTTCATGTTGAACAAACCCAGTCACCATGGTCAAAAGTAGGGAATGAAATCATGACTGGGAGCATCTCCTGGTGGTGTTTCATATACCATTTCGTTATTTAACATAGCCATGGACGTTGGCCGAACCGTACTGCATCTGTGGTATCCGCCATGGGTGGCCGAGTGTCCAATCGGTTTCGATCGATCACCTCCAATCCTGGATTCCTTAGTACATCCGTGGCGTTCATGGGGACGGACCCAGCAGCATGGCCCTTATTTGTTGAAAGAGAGGTCTGTATAATCCCCAAAATACGCATCATCTAACGCAGATTGGTCTTGGTTAAATTGATTGAAATTGTGGGATTCTAGCATTTGAATGATGCTTCATCCATCTGAGAGGGTTCAACCAAATCCCTTTTCCGGCTTCCGCTACTGAAGCTCACTCGCAAACCTTCAAAACAACCAAGTTGGTTGAATGGGCGTTCTCACTATGTTTTGCTGCCAAACATCTGAAAAACGAATGGTGTAAAATGGAATTGACATGCCTTAAGCACTATAACAACAACCACCAAGGTTATGGCTCATCTGAGCCAACCATAGTTATATACTCAGATTTTCCCAAACTTCCCCAGATCTGTGCCAAGTTTCTTTGTTCCAGGAGGTATACTGCGATTCTCTTCCCGCCGCTGTTGTGCGTCACCCGCCGCCACAGCGTTGTTGAAGACCTGAGCTGAGAGGCGCAACATGCCATGGAAAGATCCACCCATTTTTAATAGGTAAACCCAGGTAAAACCATCTATTTCTATGGGCCATCTATACCATGGCCATGTTAGTCATAACCAGAGGGTATATACTTGCGTCAAGAACCAAAATCCACCTGGAAGCTGAAACAAACAAATCCGTTGGATTCAACATGATTCAAAGATACCCAAAACTATCCAAATGGATTTGAAACTTGATTCTTCAAAACATCTGGGTCCCTTCAGGAATCTTCGACATTTGTTTAACATGTTTTTACTCCACCTGGAGGTTTCAACCACCGAAGCCAGGCTGCGGTTTCCAAATTCCGGGACTGCGTTGGGGTCAACGTGGTGTTCACGAAAACGAAGTCGCAGGGATTCCTTGGAGCCGATGTGGCTGGGGAGAGGTCAGAGGACCAGATGATGGACAGCTTGTCAGTGGCCAGCAACAAAAATAACGGGTTAGAAAAAACGTAAAGAAATCATAAAGAACAAATGTGCAATGTCCATATTCACACAAATATATACATATATAAATAATTATATATACATATATATATATATTGATGAGATATGATGAGATATCATCTGGGGAGCACATCTAATACGGTATGCAAACAGATGGACATAGGTCGACCATGGTCGACCACCAAGAACTGACCTTCAAAATGTCAAAGGTGGTTCCGAAGGAAGTCTTGACCATGTTGGACCGCTCCGATGGCCATGACATGGCCATATAAATCCATACCAACCCCTGTATGAAAACCAAAACAATGTCTTTGCATCGTGAAGGCTTCCTGAGACCGTGGACTAAGTCCTGTTCTTTCTCGACAAAGTTTCGTCGTCATCTGTAACTATCGGTTGTTCACCAAGCATCTCCGCAACATACTTTGCCAACTCATTGGTTTTGCCTACACGGAGGAGGTTCACCAAAGTTCATGGCTCTGCAAAACCCAACAGGACGTCTCAGGTGGCTGGCTACCCTTGATCCCTTCTTGCAAACAACTCGACTCATAATGAATTATAAAAATCAACAAGGTTGAGAATGACCATTGCAACACGCATTGGCCACTTTCGAGCTCCACGGTCTTCCACCTTTTCTATCTTTTCTATCCCCCTGATATCCCCAGCAAACACCCTCCACCACCTTTGCCAAAGTAGGTGTTCGGGTCAATGAGCCGAATCTTCACTACCTCGTTGCTGAGGTTGGAGCATCTCTGTTTCGATGTGATGTTCTTTTCCCATCAATGGCCGTGAATCACCCTTAAAAAACAGAAGATTCCCCAAATGTTGATTTTGGATGATTCTGGATGACTAAAGCCCCATTTCTTTCGGCTTTTAACCATTAAAAACCACCTGGATGTTTACTGTCCATCTTCCCCCGGGTTTCGCAACCCAGTCACTGTGGTCTCAGCCCACTGTCGTTTGATGACGCCGTTCTTCCAGGCGGCTTCGTGGATGTCGTATTCGTCGTCGCTTTCCTGGAAATGAGACTCGTCAGTCACGAGTCTACCGAGTCGTAATAGGGAATCCTGGGCTGTTGATGTTACCATCTGGTTATGACTAACATAGCGAACTGGAAAATCCCAACCATAAATGGAGGTTTCTAACTGGGAAAATCATCTATTTTTACGGGCCATTTTCCATGGCTATGTTGAATAAACAAAGGGTACATAATTATCATAAGAATTGCCCTCTGGTAAACATACAAAAAGCTATGGAAGATCACCATCTTTAATAGGTAAATCAACACTATAAATGGGCCATATGGGTTGGTCTGAATATAGCCCCCAAAATTGTGTGTTTTCTCATGGGTTACAATCTGGTTGGTGGTTTCAACCCCTCTGAGAAATATGAAAGTCAGTTGGGATGATTATTCCCAATATATGGAAAGTCATAAAACTCCATGGTTCCAAACCACCAACCAGATATATTGTTAGTCCAATTATTCACCATTATTAACCATATAGATTAACCATTATTAACCATAGATTACCCATGGATTACCATGGTTTTTACCATGTGTTTCCCACCGTCGCCCGCAACAAAACCGCGGCACCTCCTCGCCCCGATCCAAGTGCCAGCCCTCCGGCGCTTGCAGCGCCCGCGAGGTCGAGCGCCGCAGAAGGTCCGCGGCCTCGGCCTTTGAAAAGGCCTCAACGGTGGATGGCAGGGACAAGGCGCTGTGATTTGCGGATCAAAAATCAAAGATTTTGGAGATCTTTACAGTATTTTTGGGTATGAATCCATCATTAATCATTAATCCAATATTTGATATCTGATTCACTATTTGATTAAATATCAATATTATATCAATATTATATCAATATTATATCAATAAAATAGCAACATTAATCAACCTGCCAATATTTGATGATTCTTTGATTTATGCCCAATAGAAATGGAAGGCATCCTCCAGGGCCTCATGGTCCCAACCATCATTGGGAACTTGGTTGGGTCCTGGTGCCAAAGGAAGGAGATCTAATCGAAGCATCAAAATTAAGATATGAATACAGTAGATTGAATAGATATGATCATATGATATGATAGTGATTGATAGTGTATTTCAAATAGAAGCCTAAAAAATATGAAACATGTCAGATATGTGATATGATCATGATATTAAAATGGAACCTGGAAACTTATGGAAAATTGTATCCGTGAAAAGGTCTGGATGAGTTTTCCATGGCCACCCCAAAAATCTCAAGACAGGCGCTGGCATGACTAACTTTAGATACACTCGAATACCCTTAAATCAATCTCCAAAGGACTTTTTTTGGGGGGGTGCTGGAACATCAATAGATATCATGCGCTGCTCCATCAAATTGACCCCCCAAAAAAGGACCTATCAAACACACATCTAAAGTCCAACCAAGCACCAAACACATGCCAATGTGTGTTCAAAGAAACCATGAAAACACAATACCAGAACTACCATTCAACACTAGGTCACCATATTTTTGCCAAAAGAAAACTAACAAAATGTTCCTCAAACTCTCCATGTTTCATCATTTTTCCTATGGGAAAATCATGGAAAAATCGGGAATCTCTGGGGAACTCCATCCATTTTCCCGCTTTTTCCCATGGAAAATCCATAGAAACTCCACCCTTCCCCGCTGCTCTCCTGGCAGCAGGTCCCAACGATTGGCGCGCGCCAGTCCCAGCGCTTCTTCGGCGTCCCACAGAATCTGCGGCCAGGGTTTGCCTTCGAGCTGGGAAACGTGGATGAAATCCCTGTTTTTTTTAAGGTGGATATCAACATGAACCACGCCACTAGGTATGTATATTATATATATATAACAGCTGGGACAGCTGGGATATCAAATTGTAAGCTAGGAATCGGTATGTACATATATATATATATACTATAGATAGATATAACCACTAGAGTGAGTTGTAGCTAAAGTTGTTATTTTTAGTGGATATAACTGATATAACTAGAGACAGCTATAAACTAGACATGAGTGAGGAGAGTTCGAACTCTCCCAAGAATGTGGGCGTCACTTTGACATATTGGAGATAACTGGATGACAGAAATACATTGTATGTATGTATGGATACTGTATATATATATACGTGCATACATATAGTAGAAATGTTGAGTATCCCCAATTTCCCACAAATATATTCTAGTGGTCAACCAGCACATACCTGAATTCAATCAACTGGTCAACATGATTGGGTGGTGCAAGGGGGTTGAGGTACGTTTGTCCTGCAACACTGCGTGATTGCCGACACTTCAAGTGGAACTGCATGGATCTCCAACGAACTACAGTAGCACATCGATTAATCAAAAACGCAAACAAAGGGTTACCCTCTGGTAAACTAACATAGCTAGTGAAAATGGCCATTTATAGTGGATTTACCCATTCGAAATGGTGATTTTCCATAGTTTTTTCTATGTTTTCCAGAGGGTAACAGCAAACAAAAGATTTGAACAAGACACCTTTTGATCCCCTGAAAGTTGGGGAACGTTTTTCACGTGGTCCTTTTATACAAGCTTAATCAACCACTGCTATCAGACTGGCCCAACACCGATGCCAAGGAGCCCCAATTGGACTTGCCCGCCGTCACCACTGGATGAACCACAATCTCAGTGGCGAAGATCGGCAACACGGACGCACCAACAGCAAAACCAACATGGACCAACAGTGACCTTAAAACCAACAGCAACCTTAGCATCTGGTAATTTAACCTAATAGGTAAACCATCTATTTCTATGGGCCTTTTCTCATGGCTATGTTAAATAACCAGAGGGTAAAACAAACATGTCCAAGGGCCCAAGGGGCATGTCGTTTTTGAAAGAGATTTCTGTTGTATTCTTACCAAACCCAACAGGATGTCCCCTCCATCACCTGGCATCGCAAGGAACGGCCATGGGCTTTGGGCCATACAAGCGATATGCCAATGTGTCCTGCCACAGCCGGGAAGGGAAATTCTATAGAAAACCACGTTTTTTCCATGAAATTGAGAGATTTTCTGCATTTTGTCGCATCCAAGATTTGTTCACATCAACTCTGGGGTCTTTCTTTGTGAGAACGTCAGCACACGTCAGCACCTGCTATGCAAGATCTTTGCCACCCAAGGATGGAAAACAAGCACTGTATGTGGGAATATGTGGGATCTTTGCATTCTGAGTTGTGCGTGAGTTCAATGTTTTTAATGCATCAACGACACTTCACTTCTTGGTCTGACCAAAATGTGACTATGGAACTTGAAGAGTCCCAACATTGGCAAATTTGGCATGATATGGGCACTTTGCGGGTTTCTCTTCATGATGATCCTCCGGATCAACAGTGAATCACAGGGGCAGGGGGAAGAAAACACGCACCCTGATTTACAGTTGATGTTTCCATCACAACTTTGCATTTTGCACCAAAATGAGAGACTTATATAGACTTATCACCTGATATTTTCCCGTGCCAAATGTGAGTCCCAACCTCGTAGGAGAAGCACCGCTGCGCCACGCGCAGCACAGTCACCCGGCGGCGCGGCAGCCGTGGAAAGCGCATCTCCTGGTGGTGGCTGGTTTTTGTTCGAGAAAATGGCACCTCAAATTCCAGCGGATTCCCAAATTTCCCATTGACATGACAATACTGTGGGGCACATATCATTTTCAGATGCACCCACGAAGAAGCTGCGTTAAATGTGCATTTAAGACATGGAAACACACAACAAGAAAAAAAAGATGAAAAAGTGGGATGAGATGTTCCTTTTCCAGGTTCGTTCGAGGTCGACATTTGGTTCGTCCTTCTGGAGGTCTCAACCGTTTGAGGTGTGCCAAGTCGGGATCAACCGCCCAATGATCAGCTGACCAGCAGCCCTCGGTGCTATGCTCTTTTTTGAAACCGCCTGAAAACTGACGCAGGAGGACAGCACCGATGTAGGAATACGTAGGAATCATGTGTCTCAGATTTGGAGTTTTTTTGTGGACAACATCCATCGAACCAATGAGTTGATCCTCAGCGATGAGTGCGTAGTATCTGGGGAAAATAAAGAGGCCTCGCCTTGCAAGATTTCTCCAATGTAATTGCATGACATCCAGGAAGAAACTGGTATGACAACCCCATATCTTACATCACGATTGTAGGACATTCAGTTATCCTGTGGCCGATTTGATCGCCATTCCACTACAAACTGTTCGTTTCCCAACACCGATGCTTCGCTGCAGTATGATACTAGCCCAGTGCGCCCGGCTCCTATCAACCCACTTGGATGTGCATCCCGCAAAGTGCTACAGAAAATACTGGCTAAAACCCAGTTGAAGTTTTGACATACATTTTAATGTAAATTATGGGATATTGAATGGGTGTTATCCAACTATTTCGAGGCATTTTAAATGGATATTCTGATCTTAACCAGTCTATTTGTGGGATACGCGTCATCCAAGCAGGGTCAGAAACTTGGATGCACCTTGGAGCTGTGATGGTCCCGTCAACGCGCGGCTCGTTGACGAATTGGGTGCGTTTTCTTCGGCGGCGCTGGTGCTTCAGCATGGCTTGTGGTGGATTTCGGAGGGGTCCAACTTTCCGGCTGGGGGGACAAGTGGGAAACCCTGAAAAAAGTTGGAGATGGATTGCAAACATCTGATTCATTATGCTTCCATAGTAAGGTGAGCTTCAAAACAGGCTTACAATGTCAATTTTCATTGTGGAAGAATAACGTTTCCAGCAATCTTACATCCATGAAGACATGAGCTTGTGCTGAGTCACCACTATGCCGGCTGGGTCTTTCGGGCATTGACATCATTATCGGCACAGCGTGTCTGGGGCTTGCATAGCCGCCGCCAAATTCATAAGGGCGAAGCTGCTGTTGCTGCGTCCGCGTCTCACCCAAACCAGATTTACATGAGAATGAACCTATCGAAACAACCGCACAAAACATAGGTTCAAGGGCAATTTAATACCCTCCGGTAAATTAACATAACCATAAATTATAGACTACAATCACCATTTTAGTGGGTAAATCAACTATTTCTATGGGCCATTTTCAATAGCTATGTAACAAATTACCAGAGGGTAACCCCAATCAACCATTCTTGACCATTATTAACCCTTTTCAAGCATTCTATCCATCATTAATCAACCGTGATTATCCATTTTCAATAGCTATTTTGACATAACCAGAGGGTAACATCCCATTTCTAATCTGCATGTTTCTAACCATAGGGTGGTCAGTTGGGATCCTCATCCCCGGACACGCGGACACGCTGGCGGCTTGGCAGCGGCGAGGCAACGAGTGGCCATCCAGGATTTGTGCTTCAAAACATGCCATTGCAAAGTAACCACACATGGCATGAGAAGTCAAGATATGGCAGAACACCACAGAAAACCACCACAAATCATCCCAAATTGCAAAAGCTGGGTATGGTTTTATATGTTTTATTGTTCGGCTTACTGCGTTGAAACATATCTGGATGACTTGGGATGTTCCACTCCATGACTCCATGAGGACATTTTCGAGCACATGTTCAATCAGTGAATGGTTGTTGAACTCAAGAGTAAGATTACATCAATCCCCACCAGAAATCGAAACCATATCCCCATATTTTACTACCATACTACCATGTTTGTTTATTTATTCTTGCATGTTAATTTCATATCTAAGCATCATTAAGCCATATATGGGGATGGGTCAAAACCCTATCCCCCTAGTGAACCCCAAGTCATAGCTGGGTTAAAATGGATGTTCATCCCACTATAGTAATATATCTATAGCTATTGACCCATCCCCATATAGCCATAAACCTGAATTAAGGCCATTTGGGGAAGATTCCCCTTACTAACCATGGTTCCAGTGAGGGAGAACAGTGAGGTCGTTATAATTTACCCAGATATATAGTATTAGTTATATTGTTATTCCAATTATTAACCATTATTAACCATAGATTAACCATAGATTAACCATAGTATTCCCTATGGAAATTAGCGATAAAAACTCCGCTTCAACCAGTGACCGTTGCCTGCGCAGCTCAGTAGTTGGGGCACAGCCGCACACGCGACTGGTTGCCGCCCATGGAGACCACTGGAATCAGCGAGTACGGCTGACCTTGGGCGGAGGAGATCAGGGGAATTCACCATCGGAACAGGTGATTTTTCTAGGGAAAATGACAATAAAATGCAGATTTGTCCAGGGAAAATGAAAGCAAAATGCGGATTTTTCTAAGGAACATGAAGGCAACATGCGGATTTTTCTAAGGAAAATGAAGGCAACATGCGGATATTATATGACATTATGAAGATATACCCTGAGAGAATCGCCAATTTTGAGAGGAAAGTAGGCTTACAACATCTTCCAATCCCATATTTGGCGGTGTCTATGTCAGTTTGGGGGATGGTGAATCCAAGCGACGGGGTTCCACCCCCCTATCTGTCTATGTTGGTTGGGTGGATGGTAAAATCCAAGCGAAGTGAACACGTTTTTTTTTTTGGTGTCGGAAATTGGATCACTGAAAGTTTCACAAAATCCAGATGATCTACTTTGAGGGGCGGCAAGCCAGATTGACTTTTGGGTCATGGTGAAACAGGTATCTTTTGCAACTGACCGGTGCTGCTAGCATCGATCGCCACACGAATGTCATGAAGTATCTGGCGGAGTGTGTTAGTGCCATGGGTAGGCAAAGAGGCAAAAGAATGTAAACGACCAAGGCCCTCCCCCCTTGCGGCTATCATCTGGAATGTCAACCCCGGATTAATAAACCCAAACAGCTGTTTAATTGGGGGGGTACCATAATGAGCAATGTGATTAATGTCAACCCCGGATTAATAATGGATAATGTGATTAGTTATTTGATATTCTTTGATAAACCCATGGTTTATGACTTGAGCCCAAGGACTACCAGTAGCCACCAGCAACAACTTCGCTTTCCCAAGCGGCTCAGCGGAATGTCATCGAAGAATTCTTCAAAGGGCCCGTCGTCGATGGCCAATGAGAAGCTCCCCGTGGTGGAGTTGATACCTCTCCTGGGAGCCAAAGGGCTGGACGTTCGCTGGGATGGGCCATGGTTGACAATTTGGAGGTATAGAAACCTGATGATGAAAGAATACCTGGTTGGTGGTATACCTACCCCTTTGAAAAATATGAGTTCGTCAGTTGGGATTATGACATTCCCAATATATGGAGTCATAAAAAATGTTCCAAACCAGCAACCAGATACTATAACTCACCTCCATCAGTCATACTTGAGACAGATATTCAATCATCATCAACTATCATCAACTATCATGCCATGTTCATAGAAATATATGCAATTTATTGCAATTTCATGGGGATGAAATGGATTGCTTCCATGAACAGGGCTTTTGAGACTAACACAACCGTTCTAAAGATATCATGGAAGCATGATCGACGCGCAGTCAAATGGGCTCCGCTTGTGGTGGCGGGGTAAGGCTGCAAAATGGCCCCTGAGAAGGATCACATACCTGAACTTTTTGATGTATTTATTTGATTTATTGAATGATTTTGATACTTGACCATCTTGACATTCTTGACCCTGGGCCATATATAGATTGGCTGAGGCAAACCATGGCAAACCCACTGCAGTCTTTCCAACCATTGCGAACCTTTCAGTGACCACCAGCTGGAAAACCTTCCGCCAAGCATCATATCCACCTCGATATGGACGAAGCTGCCTTCATCGATCAACCTGCGTTGAGGGCATCTGGTCATTTCCCATGCATTTGCGAGGTTTGACTCCTCATGCCACACTGCCAAGCCTGACCACTTAAAAAAAAAAACAGAGCAAATGGAAAGTCAATCCAAGATGTTCCGTTCCAATTTTGCCGAAAGTTATCCCAAATTTCCAGCCATCATCATTTTTATCAATTTTCTTGGGATCCCACCACAGCCCCCCAGCCAGCAGCCCCCACCTATCTCCACCGGGCCGGTCTTGCCACGGCTCGTCATCCCGAGACCAGGAACATCTGGAGGTGGTGACCAGCCGCCAGGGCTGGTTGTGGTTGGCGCCGTGGAGGCCCAACTGCCTATCGCTGGGGCAGCAGGTTGAAACAATACAATTTTATAATACTAATACGGTAATAAATATGGATTATAAAGATTATAAAATATGGATTATACAACTTTAAAAAACAGGTTTTGCCATATGGATTATAAAGAACAGTTTTATAATATGGTAAAACAATATGGTAAACTAATACCATATTATGTACTGCAACTCCTGGTTGGTGGTTGACCTACCCCTCTGAAAAATATGAGTTTGTCAGTTGGGATGATGAAATTCCCGACTGAATGGAAAAATAATCCATTCATGTTCCAAACCACCACCCAGGTTTTATATTGATACTGTACACAATACATAACTGTTATGGTAAATGGATGTAAAGGTTCTTGAGGGATAGTGATGGATATTGATGGATATTGTTGGATAGTAACTGGATGCGAAGGGTTGTGATAGATACATAATTGTATATATATATATAGAGGATATTGATGGATGTTCAATATCAAATTAGGCAGTCATGTGCGCATTTTTGTTTTGGCTGTGCATCTGGTGTATATAATTGGTGTTTCTCTGGTGAAGCAGCTGGCATGGCAGCATCCTTGATCCAAGATGCTGGATTTCTCCAGAATGCTGGATGCTGGACACCCTTTATGCATTGTATGTTACACTCCTGGTTGGTGGTTTCAACCTACCCATCTGAAAAATCATGGAGTTCGTCAGTTGGGATTGGGATGATGAAATTCCCAACTGAATGGAAAGTCATAAAGAATGTTCCAAACCATCAACCAGACTCTACTTTTAAGGTGAATATTATGACAAACATGGTAAACCATGAGACTTCTTTGGGCCCTAGGCCCTATGTTCAGACAGAACAAATGTCCACCATTTTCTCCAAGTAGCAGCTGCGGCCGGCCAGAACCTGCGACTTGATTTTTGCGGTGAATCATCAAAGAAATTGGGTAAATTTGTCACCCATAAGTTCTGGTAGACATACAAAAAAGGATGGAAAATCACCATGTTTAATGGGTAAATCCACAATGTTTAATGGGTAAATCCACCATTTTTGATGGGTAAATCAACTATTTCTATGGCTGGACATGTTCAACAGCAAAGTGTTAGTTTACCAGAGGGTAATTTCTGGCCTGGAAATTGAGACAAACCCTGAAATAACTTACAATCATACCACCCGCCAATTGGAATGTCAAGTCAAGTCATTTACATGGAACAAATCATGGCCTTAATTCCAGGCATATGAACTAGGTCAGGGATGGCTTCACCCTCACTTGGTGGCATCAGTGCACATCCGCAAAAGTCACCGAGCACCATAGATTCAATCACAAAGGTAAGGTACTTATAAAATATCTTTGCGCATCCCCCTGATGTTATAAGAGCAAAATACCGAACAAATACCAGTTTGATCCAGTTTCCCATCAATTCCCTGAGGGTACCCTCTGGTAAACATACAAAAAACGATGGAAAATCACCATGTGTAATGGGAAAATCACCTATTTCTGTGGCCATTTTCCAGTTCGCAAACTGTAAACGTTCACCTGAAGATATCCCACCAGATTTTCCAGCCCAAAGGCAGCCAGCTTTTCAGCCCTCCCAAGGCACACTTCTGCTCGATGCGAATGGTCCAGCGATAGATGCCGCCGCGCATCAAGCGCCAGGAGCCGCCCACCGGGATGACCCAACCTGGCACGGCTGGGACCCAGGGTTCAGGGGGCCACGGCTTCAAGCATCAACCGACTGTAAGCACAATTATGATGTAATAATGTGAATTTACTATGTGAATTTACTATGGTAATCATCAACCATATTAATTACTTAGAATAACTACGTGTAACAATTATTCGATGTTCAGGCCTATTTCCAGTGGCTTCCAGTGGCTTCCAGTGGCTTTGTCCCGAATTTTCCAATTTGCTTCAAGTTGCCAGGGTCTAAGTTGCCAACCTTTCCACCATCACCTGCCTTGATCTTCGAAGTCGCCCACCTTGGTGACGATTTCGTTGCACTCGCCCGTCACCTCAGGTGGCAGGCAGCCCTTGGCCATGCGGCCATTGAACAAAGAAACTTGCGTTGACCAACCAAAAATTAAGATAATTACTGGATCCATGTTAGTAAATTGTCTTGATCCATGTAAAATTACTAGATAATCCATGTTAGTTACCTTCCCTTGTTTGTTAATTAGGATATGCTACTGAACAGACAAGGCATACTGGATCCATTACAAAGGGTGTACGATGTACAGTTTTGAAATTGGGATGCGACCAACAACGGAGAGGAAAATAACAGGAAAACAACAATCAAACCACATACTGTATACAAATAACGAAACTCACAGAAGCGAAGTGTTCACTGACAAAAAGTATATACTTACCATGATCCAAGCATGATAGCCCACCATTCTATCCGGATTTGAAGTGGTTTCATGCAACTGATCGCTGTTGCCCTGCATTCATCCACTGGAGCTTCCAATTTGCCGCCAGGAAACCTGGAACTCCTTTTCCTCAGGCAACAAATGAAGAGCTTGAAGCCAGCAACCGGTCGCATGATGGTCAAACAAGCAACGGTTCAAACCTGGACAAAACCATTAACTAATAATTCTGCAAAGCAGAAATAATCATAATGACATCTTCCCACAAGCAAACCAAGCGATTGCAGCCATTCATCTCCGTGTGCTGGACCCAAGAAGTAAGCAATGATGAACGAATCCAAAGACTAGAACTTCCAACCTGTTTCCTTCAAGACGCATCTGCTTCCTGTACAACAGTGCTAGCAGTTTTTCTCTAATTGTTTTTTGTGAGTCCCATGTTCAGGTTTCAACCCCTCTGAAAAATATGAATTCGCGTCAGTTGGGATGATGACATTCCCAATATATGGAAAATCATAATCCATTCATGTTCCAAACCACCAATCAGTCATCCATTTTCCAAGTTTTGTTTGGGGTCTTCCACCATAGCCACCGAGCATCGTATTCCTGCGACGGCTGCCACACAAAGGGCGGCTTCGGGGTCGGTCGACGACAACTAAGTTCCAGGGTATCCTCCTGGCAATGGCGGGGGCAAAAAAACATCATCCGAAGTGTTAAATCTAGGTGGCTTATTGCTGGTGATACGTAATGTTTATGTTTTGATGATATGTAATGTTTGATGATATTAATTTGTGGCTTACATAAATCTAGATGTTTTGATGATATGTAATGTGTTGTGTGTGTGTGTTGTGGTTGGTCTAATGTGTATATATAAATTGTTTAATGGGACAATGCTGAACAATGTGTGGATGGTTCAATGATGTTTCGTGGTGCCATCTTTAGATGGATGTGATTAGGTAGGTGGTTCAGGCATAGATAAAATCTAGTCTAATAGGTTTGATCCTGCGGTTTGTAGGGTTTCTAGCTGGGAATCCATTTGAAAGCCATGGAGAATACCATCACCATCCACACCATCGCCACACAGTTTTGGTTGTCTCCTCGATGCCATCGGCTCGGTGTAAGACCTGTGCACACTATCAGAAAAAGGTTGGCGGTGGTAAGTTGGACGCGCACCTGGGATTTACTCTCTTTACTTTTTCTTTATAAAGCTTTAGATGTTGAAAAGCACGAATTGAAATTGTTGGTGGTCAACTGAAAACCTCTTTTGCAATGGTTCCACCTCACCAAAGTTCAACTCTCAACTTTCCATACAGCCAATTCTGATGGCTTCTCAGCCCAGGGGCCCAGGTGACAACACCCAACTTACTGCTGGTCACCTGGCCATCAGTTCCCTAAATCGGCCCAACGCCTGGTGCACCTCCTCTTTCGCTCGAGTGAAGAGGTCCTGGTGCAAGGAGAGAAGAGCTAAGGTAAAATGGTCATGGCACTAAGTGCGCAAAGTGTTTTCACGTGTCAAATATATCCAAAAACACATTTTTTTTAACCTGAAGGGTTATATATCATAAGGGACCCATATCTTTTGGACATATCACAAAGGCAAATAACCACATCACCAACGTAGGCATACATATACATCCCCCGTTCATGAGTCAAACATCGTCTCCCAATCATCCCGACACTCCCACAGCTTTCATGTTTCACGCGCCAAGAGTCTTCCATGTCTTTCAGCTCCATTAGCTGCTTCCGAAGTTCCTGTTCTCTTTCTTGCCTGGGCTGGCATCGGTTCACTAAGCACTTTACCAAGCAAATGGTTTGGTGCGCATCTTGGTGCCCATGGTGTAATTACTTATTATAACAATCGCATTATATGATATGGGTAAAACAGTGGGCTATTATAGTCTACAGTTGCTACAAGCGCTCACAAGTACTGTATTTGTACTAGTCCAGTAAACAGTCTGTTTGGTGACAATCTGGCCCACCTCGCAACTACAAGATACTACAAGTAAGGGCCCCTACTTACTATCCCAAATTAAACTCGTATACAAATCCTGTCAGCGTGGAATATACAAATATGATGTGAAATGAAATGTTCCTCAAACTCTACTTCGCTGAATTGAATCAAAAATTGTGACAAGTCACACACATTTTATGTGGCAAAGCGCCATAAAAACAAGTTGCTCCTTTGCCACAACCCATGACCCAGCCGTTCAAACCTAGAGGCTGAGATTGCTGCACTCGCGCATGCAGCTGGTTCAGCAGAAATTCCTTGGCCAACCAAGTTTGGTACCAAGGAGTTCTTATGATCAGTCACCCGCCACCGCTGACCAGAAGCCCATGGTTAGCTGCCATCATCAAATCCTTATCCTACGTCGCACATAAATTCAATCCTCATCTCCAGCCCTTCATCCTCAAAGTTTTCCTATATATCCCAATGTTCAATTTCTCCATGGGATACTTAGTCCTACATCCCAAAATTATACCAAAGTCCACCCAAAAAATCGCAGTAATAATCCTCCAGTTCAAACCATTGACCACCCATTTGCCCAAATTCAACACCAAGCGTCACAGAGGCGATGTGGTTCCGCCCCACCCGCCTGCCCCATGGCTGCTGCCAGTGCCGCGCCCCGTCCCCCGGAGCCGCAGCAGCCGCGCGCCGAGTGGGGCGCGGGGACGCCGACGCCCGGGACGCCAGGGACGCCCGGGGCGGGGTAGGGCGCTGCTGCTTGGCCAAAGGAACCGCGACCCAACCTTGGACGGTGTGCTCATGGGGACTGGAAACCATGGGTTTTTACATGTTTTTACCACCAAATATGAAGGGGTTACTTGGAAGTTGGCTGGGATGAGCCATACTAAAGTTGGGTGTCATGGTTAATAGCCATAGGTTGAGCCATAGGGTATATCCCAATTTATCCCTGTGGCAGTCTGACGACTTTAGGGGTTATTTAAATATGGATGGTTGGAGGATGAGCCCCTCTGCAGTGGGAATGCCCTCGATTGTTCTCAAAAAAAAGATCGGCTATTCCCATGCTACGTTTCTAGAAGGCATGCAGCCCTCATAGAGAAACAATGCTAGTTGACAGCGTGGTCAAATGTTCTGTCAACTTCAATGATTCATTAGTCTCATCCATCATGTCGTTCTGCAAGTACAACTTCAACGTAACCATAAGTACCGGCAAGGCGTACAATATACATGCCATTTTTCTGCACCTACCGGACAATACCTTTCATTACAGCAATAAAATAAAATCATCCCATTTTTCATTTCCTAACATGGTATGTGTTTCATATTTTTTCTCAGCTGATCCCACCCAATGATGTCCTTTTCAACAGCCATTAAAAGGTCAAAACCCATGGCATCATGGTGTCAACTGTTCCCCATAGTTCCCCCATCCGAGGTGCACAGGCGTCGAGCCCGTGTAGGCCAAGTGGTTCTGGCTAATCAATGTGGTCGGCCCCGGCACCGCGGCTTGTTGGCCACCGGTGATCAACCGCAGGGACCCGGCCTGGCTGGAAGGTAAATAGCTCTATCCCAACCATATGTTGCTGACAAGTGTCAGATAATGATGGTTGGAAAATGGGAAAGAAATGGAAAGAACATGTTACAACTTGCAGCAAATTACAATTGCAAGTTATCAAGTTTCAAAAGAGTTGCAAATGATGGAGTGGTGGAATTGTTGAAAATGAAAAAATACTAGTTGCCTATTGCAGCCTTCCAACATTCCATCATATTCCATCCCAAGTTTTGGTCCCCATCCCTTAAAATCAATTTCCTAACCCCAAAAAAACACATGAAAACACCAGCCATCTCACCACTCAATCCCCAACACATCACCTCCGGTGAGGGCATCCTTTGCTGCGCGCCCGCCATGACCTGCGGGCTGGTCCTCACCATGTTCGTCGGTGGCCCGCTGGGGCATGCACCGCTGTGGCCGCCCGAAACCATCGAGGCCTCCGCGCCCGGCAGGGCGCCACCGGAGTGCATGGCGTGGCGTCCTGCCAAAGGAAGGCCATCCTTTTGAAGGGGCCCACATGAATCTGAACCGGGACAATCGTCAAAATAAAGTAGACCAAATGACTACTTTCAGAAAATTTATTGCCATTACCAAGTGCTGTGCAGTTGCGCGCTTCAAACTAGAAATCCGTTTGCTTTTGGTATTCAAATCCAGGGCAACAAGTGCATCCAAGTAAGTTGATTTCCATGGCATCAGAGTAGCAATCGCCCCAAACCAAAGCACCTTCGGCGGGTGGCAGCCTTAACCAAAAGAATGTCAAACCAACATTTTGCCCGCCAAAAATGAGAATTTATTTTGCGCATCACTGAATCACTGGCATCGGAGCAGATTCAATGCCACCAAGCAATCACAAAACCAAACACAGGCATCATCGTACATATATCCCAAAAAAGGAACATATGCCCACAAACCACCATCATCCAACAAAAACCTAACCCCCAAGCCTACTCAATTCAACATCAAATACAATTTCTAGATTCTATAAATATTTTCAAACTTCCTAGCAGACCAACCAGCCTCCCATACGTCCTCTCTGGGGGTAGCTGCCGATGGCTCCGCTGCTGCCGCTTCTCCCGGGCGTCTGCGGCGGCGCCGCCATCACCGGGGCGGTGGCCATGGCACGGCCTGGAGTGGTGATGGTCGACTGCTCCATGACCTTGGCGTTGGAAGAACTAGACGACGGATGGCCCGAGAGCGTAGAGGAGCAAGGTCTTCTCTTGTTAGTATGGAGACACAATTTTACAAACAATATATGAAAGATGTGTTATAGGCAGTCGAGAAGAGAAGTAGCAAGACAAAATAGTGAGAAGTGCAAGACAATAGTTTGCATTGCAAACACTTTTACACACAGACGCTTTTACACACAAAAGTTTTTACACACAGAAGCTTTTACACACAGAAGCTTTTACACAGAGGCTATTACACACAAAGCTGTTACCCACAGAAGCTTTTACATACAGACGCTTTTACACACAGATGTTTTTACACACAGACGCTTTTACACGGACACTTTTACACACAGACATGTTTACACACAGACACTTTTACACACAGACCTTTTTACAGACAGGAGCTGCTTTTACACACAAACGCTTTGACACACAGAAGCTTTTACACATAGACGCTTTTACACACAGGCACTTTTACACACAAACACTTTTACACACAAACACTTTTACACACAAACACTTTTACACCCAGACGCTTTTACACGCAGACGCTTGTACACACAGACGCTTTTACACACAGAGACTTTTACACACAGACGCTTTTTACACACAGGCGCTTTTACACACAGACAAGAACGGCACAAGTAAAATCCCAATTTTACCTCAGTTTTTGCCGATCGACCCTCATTTCGTGCGAAAGGGTTGCTCCGGGACAAGTAAAGTCGCAATTTTACCTCAGTTTTTGCCGATCGACCCTCATTTCGTGCGAAAGAGTTGCTCCGGCACAAGTAAAATCGCACTTTTACCTCAGTTTTTGCCGATCGACCCTCATTTCGTGCGAAAGGGTTGCTCCGGGACAAGTCAAATCGCGCGTTTACCTCAGTTTTTGCCGACCGACCCTCATTTCGTGCGAAAGGGTTGCTTTAGCACAAGTAAAATCGCAAATTTACCTCAGTTTTTGCCGATCGACCCTCATTTCGTGCGAAAGGGTTGCTTTAGCACAAGTAAAATCGCAATTTTACCTCAGTTTTTGCCGATCGACCCTCATTTCGTGCGAAAGGGTTGCTCCGGGACAAGTCAAGTCGCAATTTTACCTCAGTTTTTGCCAATCGACCCTCATTTCGTGCGAAAGGGTTGACGTTTCGTGACTCGCCGCCGGCACCACCCTCGGCCTTAAGAGAGAAAGATAAAAAGAAGGCATGAGAGAGAAGGTGAGCAGGTGTGAAGATAAGAAGATGTGAAGATGAGCAGATGTGAAGATGAGCAGATGTGAAGATGAGCAGATGTGAAGATGAGCAGATGTGAGAGAAGATCTGAAGATGAACGGATGTGAAGATGAGCAGATGTGAGAGAAGATGTGAAGATGATCAGATGTGAAGATGAGCAGATGTGAAGATGAGCAGATGTGAGAGAAGATCTGAAGATGAGCAGATGTGAAGATGAGAAGATGTGAAGATGAGCAGATGTGAAGATGAGCAGATGTGAAGATGAGCAGATGTGAAGATGAGAAGATGTGAAGATAAGAAGATGTGAAGATGAGAAGATGTGAAGATGAGCAGATGTGAAGATGAGCAGATGTGATGGGAAGGTGTGAAGATGAGCAGATGTGAAGATGGGAAGGTGTGAAGATGAGCAGATGTGAAGATGAGAGGATGTGAAGATGAGAGGATGTGAAGATGAGCAGATGTGAAGATGAGAGGATGTGAAGATGAGAAGATGTTTTACAGACCCCCACTATTGGAAGAACCCTGCGCTCAGACGCTCTCGGGAAAAACTAGAAATTTATGATGATTTTATGATGATTTTATGGTGCTTTTATGATGATTTTATGATTTTATGGTGATTTTATGATGATCTTATGGTGATTTTATGGTGATTTTATGGTGATTTTATGATGATTTTATGGTGATTTTATGGTGATTGAATGGTGATTTTATGATGATTTTATGGTGATTTTATGGTGATTTTATGATGATTTTATGGTGATGTTATGGTTATTTTATGATGATTTTATGGTGATTTTATGGTGATTGAATGGTGATTTTATGATGATTTTATGGTGATTTTATGGTGATTTTATGATGATTTTATTGTGATTTTATGGTGATTTTATGGTGATTTTATGGTGATTTTATGGTGATTTTATGATGATTTTATGATGATTTTATGGTGATTTTATGGTGATTGAATGGTGATTTTATGGTGATTTTATGGTGCTTTTATGATGATTTTATGGTGATTTTATGGTGATTTTATGGTGATTGAATGGTGATTGAATGGTGATTTTATGATGATTTTATGGTGATTGAATGGTGATTGAATGGTGATTTTATGGTGATTTTATGGTGATTTTATGATGATTTTATGGTGATTTTATGGTGATTGAATGGTGATTTTATGGTGATTTTATGATGATTTTATGGTGATTTTATGGTGATTGAATGGTGATTTTATGGTGATTTTATGGTGATTTTATGATGATTTTATGGCAATTTTATTGTGATTGAATTGTGATTTTATGGTGATTTTATGGTGATTTTATGGTGATTTTATGGTGATTGAATGGTGATTTTATGGTGATTTTATGATGATTTTATGGTGATTTTATGATGATTTTATGGTGATTTTATGGTGCTTTTATGATGACTTTATGATGATTTTATGGTGATTTTATGATGATTTTATGGTGATTTTATGGTGATTGAATGGTGATTTTATGGTGATTTTATGGTGATTTTATGATGATTTTATGGCAATTTTATTGTGATTGAATTGTGATTTTATGGTGATTTTATGGTGATTTTATGGTGATTTTATGGTGATTTTATGATGATTTTATGGTGATTTTATGATGATTTTATGGTGATTTTATGATGATTTTATGGTGATTTTATGATGATTTTATGGTGATTTTATGGTGATTGAATGGTGATTTTATGGTGATTTTATGGTGATTTTATGATGATTTTATGGTGATTTTATGGTGATTGAATGGTGATTTTATGGTGCTTTTATGGTGATTGAATGGTGATTTTATGGTGATTTATGGTGGTTTATTGGTGATTGAATGGTGGGTTTTTGATGACCTGCTGCTGATTTCATGGTGGTTTTTATGTTGATTTATTGGTGATTTCATGGTGGCTTTATGGCTAACCAAAAAGATCCAAAAACTAACTTGCAAATAATGACGTGCGTTAAAAGATTATCTACATGGGTGGATGAAGGTTCACATCAGAAAGTAGCAGCGATCCAAGTTCCCAACTAATTGTGGTATGGGCGCACTTTGGAACATATTTTGGTGCACAAGATCGTCAATTTAAAAACATGCTATCACCACTGTGTAAAAAGCAAGGCTCTAAACCCAATCAACATGTCAGCATAAAAAAGTCCGATGGCACCTGAACCAGCTAGCCTATTTTTGATATGACTAACAGGCACAACCCCGGTGAACTGTGCTCAAAATCTCGAATAGTTCATATATCATATCTCTACATAGCCCTTTCCACCCAATTTTGGGACGCTTGTGTGGCTTTTGGGGAACAAAACGTTCCCAACCAACCCGTCCCTAGAAAATCCGTGGCCAACAGGGCAACAGGATCAAGTGACTCCATGCTCCCCCGGATGCGGTCTTCGAATCTGTTGCAGATTCACCTGAAGAAACATCATAGTGGCTGTCGCATCAATACAAGTTGAACCCCATAAACCAATACCTTACAAGGAATGAATTCAATAGACTAGTGTGACAGTGAAACTGATTGAATTTTTCAATGGGGTGTATAAAATGAAACTAGGGCATCTGCTGCATACTTAAAGATTCCTGCCCTTGGGTTGGGGGAGCGGGGCCCATTAATATGAACCAATAAATAAACCACCGCAAAACACATTCTTTCAAACATGATTTTCGCACTGGACAATCGCAGTCTCTGCAATGCCATGCGTTTTTACGATAAGATGAAACACATATTTTCCATGAAATCCAGAACCACCACCTAGCTCCCCACCACGCGAAAGACAATCTTTCCCACCAAATCTGGGTTGCGGCACTGGCGGCACCGCAGCAGCTCCCACCGTGCGGATCACCGCGTAAGGCTGCTGCACGGGTATCGCCATGGCGCCGCAGCGCGCCGCCGCGCTGCTCGGCCGAGGGCCAACGGGTGGCACAAGCTGCGGCACGGAAACAGTGGGCTGGATTTGGGGATTACAAAATGCATTGGGATTGGGATGGCTGGTTGGGTAGCAAAGAAGAAAGATCTCAGTCGAACCTCAGCTGGCCAGTTGCATGATCATTGTGAGGTGCAACTGCAACTTGTTCAGGGGCATGCCAAACCACACTGCTTGAACATGTTTGAACACATCTGCAAGGTTCAGCAAACCTTTTCTCTCAAAGGAACGGGGGTAACGCCAACAACATACCTTCTTACAAGTGATCCCCCTCCCCCGTGATTCATACACCCACTCCTGCAAGCTAGACACTTTAGCCAAACATCGCCACCAATGCCATGGCCGAGCTTGGCGGAACTTTGAACCCCAGCATCCACCTAGAGATTGTTGACCGTGTTCTCTGGTTACAGGCACCCACATGGCCGGTCCCAAATACCTCGGCGAAATATAAACACATCTTATCCATACTGTTGCCACTGGCAAAAGGCTACACATGACATGTGGGACTGAAATCTTCCATGCTGACTGAAAATATATTCGGCGCACTGCGCGCCATTACATTTGATTACCTGAAGCTTGAACCCTCCTTCTGGGCTTCGTTTTTGAACCAATGGCTTTTGTAAACGTGGGCATCACACATGCATGTTGTTGCATCTTCGAGGAATCATCAGGACAGTCATTACCAAACGCTTGCCGCTTTGTAGCAGGATCATGGGCTGGGTTAGGAAGGTGCGAATACAGCACCAACCAGCATCCCTGCATTGAACATCTGATCTTTTCCTGGGTAGTTAATTTGATAAAGATGGCAAAGCAAAACTTCTACACCGTGTTACAACCATTCTTTCTAATCATTCTAATCTGCTTGCCATCACAATTCCAGGTGAGGAATTCGAAACTGCTTCTTATTTTCAATGCAACAGACTTGCTTGGAGCTGCCAGTAATTAGTACGCATGAAAACATCACCCGCTGCCCCGCGGATCCACATCATCCACTTCGCACATGCCGGGCCGACGCCAACAAAGGATCACCCACTTGGCAACTCATTGGTGGCCTGGCGCTACGTTTCCGTCTTCCAAGAGGCATTTTGCACTGCCCGCAGAGGCACCCAAATGTCGGAAAAATCGAGAACCGATATTGGTAGGTGCTGAGAGAATAAACATGAATTATGTGGAAATTCCCTATTAAACCATGGTTTCTAAGGGGGTGTTTAATATTAGGGGGATGGGATTAGACAATTCTAAGACCCCCATGCTGTCAATGCGGAGTGTTGGAGGCAGCGTGGCACAGCAAAATGTGAAACCGGACCATGTTCCACAGGACACCGCTGATAGCTGAATCACGGAGACCCTTTTCTCACCTGAGGTGTTCAGCTGGCAGCTCACAATGTGCAAGTGGGGCCGCAGCTATGTCAAATCGCCTTGTGTTCATGTCTCAAAGTAAGGACAGCGTCATGAGAAAGTTCCAGGTCAAACATGCGCGCCTCCTCCTTCAAATGTTCTTCTGCTTGTGTGACGTTTTTAGCCGCAGCTTCAGCTTCCAATTCCAACTTGCCAAGTGCACGAAGCGCCTCAGCTATGTCGGGGTGCCTTGCATTTGTGTGTCTCCAAGCAAGGATCGGGTCATGCGCAACGATTCTTCCAAACAACTTTTTGAATTTGTCAAGTCCCCAGCTTGCAAATACAGCTTGCCAAGTGCAAGCAATGCGGGAGCTATCTCAGGATGACTGGCCTCTCCAAGACAGGACCGGGTCATGAGCAATGCTCCTTCCAAAAGGCGTGGCGCTTGGTGGAAGTATCGGGAACCATAAATTCGCAAGCACACTTCTCCGCATGCCAGCAATGTGGCCGCTTTGGAAGATGTATCATTGTCACCTATGTCTGGAAGCAAGCGCCGGGTCATGAGCAGTGATTCTTCCAAACAATTCTGTGCTTTTGTGGCGTCTCCATCTTGCAAGTACAACTTGCCAAGGGCAAGCAATGTGGCAGCTGTGTCAGGGTGGCATGTGCCACTGATCAAGGACTGGGTCATGCGCAAGGATTCTTCCAAGTTTTCTTTCGCTTTTGCGATGCCCCCAGCTTGCAAGTACAACTTGCCGAGCGCAGAAAGCGTGGCGGCCATGTTGGGGTGATCTGTGTCTCCAAGCAAGGAACGCATCATGCGCAATGATTCTTCAAGGCTTGCGAATACAACTTGCCAAGAGCAAGCGATGCAGCAGCCATGTCTGGGTGAGTTTTGTTGCCGTGCAGGCATAAACTTACACACGATGATGCCTCCAAATGCTGTTTAGCCCGTGGAATGTCTCCCATTTCCAGATTCAATCGGCCGAGAGCAAAAAGATGGCGAGCTATATCAGGGCGACACTTTTTTACATGCAAGGAGCAGCTCCGCTGCAAGGCTGCCGCAAAATGTTGCTGTGCCTCTTGGAGATATCCTGCTTTGTTCCAAGCATGCCCAAGGGCATGCAGAACTGCAGCAATTTCTGGATGTCTTTTTGATAGGTACTTTTTCTCGAGCTCAAGCAGCTGTTGTTCCAAATTCTGCCGCGCAATGACGTCGGCACCATACCCAGCAGAGTCTGGAAATCCTGCCGGCTCCCAGTCAAAGTCTGACCAGGTGTCAGCGGTAACGCTGCCAGCAACTGGAGGCGGTGCATGAGGTAGAGCCGTTGGATGGGTTACAGTTCCAGCCTCATCCGCCTGAGCTGCTTCAGGGTCTGCACTCGAAAGCACTTCCAAGGCACGCCCGGGCCCCAGGAGCTCTTCAATTCTCCATGTGGCACAAAGGATGCGCCTGCTGCAAGCCTGCACCCATTCTGCCCGAGGTGTATGACCTCCATGCACTCATTCGCAGCTTCTTCGCTGCTCAGAATGTCACGGGCCAACTCCCAGATCTCACGAAAAATGCGCGTCACTGAACTTGAACCTTCATTGGCATAGTCTTCCACTTCCTCGGATTCAACGCACTCATGATCGAGGAGCTGCAGGATCTCCTTGCAAAGAATACGAATGCGCCCAGCAGAGCCCCACAATTCAGCTGCATCCTGCACTAATTCTAAGCCCGCTGCCATTTCCCTGATCTGCTGAAACTTCTGAATGATCTCTGACTCTTGGGCTCTGCGGCCAGCGGCCAGCCGCGCGTTCATGATGCGATTCCTGGCTTACCATGCTCATTGCGTTGAAGGTGCCGAGTAGAAGTTGTTCCCCCAGCGCATCTTCTGCTGTGGAATCTTGGCTCAGGAGTGTGAGTGCATCTCCTTCAAGGGGATCGTCGCCCGACAGCACCTGCATGGAAACCACGGCTTCCACCCTCCAAGTGGCACGGATGATGCGCTTGCTGGCAAACATCCATTCGGCGCGAGCCTCAGGCATTGCCAGAGTCATGGCTAGCACCCGAATCTGGTCGAAGATATCAAAAACCGAACCTTCCATCACCGGAATGAAGTTCTCAACTTGGTTGCCATGGTGAGCCTCCAAAAGCCGCAGAATTTGGCCAGCCTTTTTCCGAATGGCCTCAGCTTTCTCGCACAGATCAGCTGCTCTCTTCTGGGCTTCAGATTGCACATCAGCCATCTCCAGCGGAACACACACAGCCAGATCCCTAACGGCCTTCCACTTGCCAATGATCTTCTCATTGATCGGTGGATCCATCGCGGTCAAATTTTCAAAATTAAATTCTCATGAAATTCATGAATCTCAGCTACGTGTATGTAGGGTATCCCCCCTGTATTCAGTCAATGCAAAATTGAAACATCCAAATTTGCCCTTCATTGGGGTAACAGAGATGCAATAATTCTCATGGCATGTCATTTCTTGCGGCTTCTCCAAAAGTCTTGAAAGATGAAAGGTATGTGCAAATAACATATGCATTCATCACTACTTCGAGCAACAAAGAGTCATCTGCACCAGCTCGGAAAAATCAACGTGGCAGCAAATGGCAGCTGGAGTGTTCCCCATTGGCCACTAGGAACCACCCCTCCCATTCCAACTGCACAAGCACACAAGATTCTCAAAAGCACCAAACATTTGTTCAAATTGTTTCATCATCTCTTCACTGTTACCTTCTAACTCGTGCTCAGACACGCTTTTAGAAAACTTGTTATGGCTGACAATCCTGGCAAGCAACCAACATCAAGCCCATAGCAAAGCCATGCCCACTCTGAGTTGCCCCGGCCCTCCGGAGCTGTCCAACCTTGGGATAAGTAGACTCGGTAGACACGCTTTGAATGGATCAAATATGTAGCTCATTTGGAAAACTCTTCCAAACGCGCAAAACTGAAACGGCTTCATCTGATACCCAGTTTGGAGAATTGATGAGATTGTCAATGGGTATCCGAGTCAGTGGCCCATGTGACCACCATCCCTTTCTTAGAACCGAAATGATGATCGTTCTTTTCAAGGGGGGCGATTTGGCAAAGAGTGCTCATAGGCGATTGCCAATTCCAAGCAAAGCCAGAATCTAGGCTCATTCAAGTAACACAATGACAATCTTTCAAAACTGTTTCCCGGACAAACCACCTCCACCGATGCTGACAATGCAGTCTGGGATGCCCAAACGTAAAGGTCAAAGGACTCTCGTTAACTCCTTGGCATGTGAGCCATGTGGGGTCCTTGAAGGAGGAAATCTTGTCCTATTATGTTCTTTTGGGGGTTCAAAAGCCAATCTCTTTCTCTCTCAAAATTAGTGTCCAACCAAGAGGAGCACAGATTTGAAAGGATGTTCCTCTGTAAAGCCTTTGTCAGGCACCTGACTATACCAATGAGAAACTGGCAATGTGAGAGAGGCGCAAGCATCAAGAATCAACACAAGCTGCGACACCACAAGCGTCCTTTCCAGGGATCACTTCCATGAAACTTTGCTGCGTCTGGACCAACAATAGTGACCACATGTGCGTTCTTGCAACCATAACTCATAATCATATAATATATATATACATTTATAATACATGAAATCGATGAGTGAATTTCAGCACGGCCCACTGGATTGCCTATGTATGCCTATGTCAGATGTAAGACTGATTGAATGCATCCAGCAGTCCGCATGACCAAAGTTGTACCCACCACCGTTCTCTCCCACTGAATCCACAGGCCCCGTTGAGTGGCGCCACTTCGTCGCGGCGGCGGAACAAAGACAGGGGCCGTGGCTGGCACCTGCAACGGAACGATCCAACCCATTGGGTATCTAAGCAAAAACCAACCATAGCAGGGAAACCATAGAAGGGATGAAGGGATATAACTTAAAGCAACCAAAACATGATTCAACTTGATGCTACTTGGCATGGTCATGGAGAAAGTTGAGTTGGCGCTTGGCAATCACTTGGGTATTAGCGGAAGATGTACATCGTTGTAAGGCATCACAAAAACATGGATCACCTGGATGCTAACTGCAATTGGTTGCATGGCGAGTGGCTCTGTAGTACTGGTGTAAAATATAGGTTATGTTGGAGACTTGCAAACTGCACATGATGCATACTATGTATACTTACTTACATGGTTAACAGAACGCAATATATATTCAATGGCGCAAGACTTGCCAACCACCCGACCGATCATCATGGGCAGCTTCCACAACTTGAAAGCTGAAACCCAATCTCTTGCTCGAACATCACATCTTTTCTGAACCCATCGATGGTAGAGTCTATCTGTATGTGAGAAAGTTCCCACACATGTGTATGAAATCAATCATCGACTGCAATGGCGAGGTCAGAAGCACGTTCCCCATGGTTGCTCCGAGGGCCCTATCCACAGAATAGTTGGCCAACTCGTGGAAAAAGGGCATCCCAAAATGGGGCCAGCTGTCAACTTTTGGGATGCCCCAAACACATCAACCCTTCAACTGCAATGGCGCTCACATCTCATCACACATTTGTACAAAAGAACTGCACAAATCCGCTGGAAGACACTTCCACTTCTACTTCTACCCATACTGCCTATATTATATTATATAATTTGGCAACCGCTTTCCAGCTTTCTGCTCCAACAATTTCTGACGTTTCAACATGCGTGCCAGCCATGCCTCTGCTGGTGGAGCAATGCCGCCTCCATGGTTTCCAGCCAAGCTGAAACTGGAGATGTGGAATCAAATCTGGGAATGGGTTAAAGAAAACAAAATCCAAAAAACATCAGAGTTTTACATGTTTAATGAGTTTAATAAATGTTTGTTTCATGCCCAGCAAAAAAGACGTGTGGATGACTGTGGGTGACCTCACCCCAATGCGATTGAAAAAAGTCAAGTCACGCCCCAAAATCACGCAAAAGATGGACCAAGGCAATAACCAACAATACTTTAGCCCCAAGAAAAAAATTAACTGCTGTGCCCATAACAATTCATGCCCATTTGTAACCTACACAATCTGTACAAACATGTACAAACCATGGCATATATCGTCCACTCTCGGCCCTACCCCCTCCGCAAACCTTCGCCCTCTTCATCACTGGGTAGATCACCCAGAGGCGGACGCCAGAAGTCGAAACCTCCGAGGGAGGGAATCCTTGGTTCCTTGCTTTGGGTGAGAAAAATCTATGGGAAAATATATGAGTACTTGGTGGTTTACCCCAGTTAGAGGGAAAACCTATGGTAAAGCATATAAGTGCTTGGTGGTTCATACCAGTGGATTATAAAGCTTCTAACCACAGTTGTAAGTGGAGTTACTACCTGCTTATAACTGAGATTATCACCCACTTGCTAACTGGGTGAGCCACCAAATATCCCCAGTCAGACTAATGATAGGAACCATGAATCAAAAATATGCTGGAAAGATTTACCGAAAGAAGGTACTGCATCACCCAGAGATTTGCCAAAAAGAGATCATCGGCCATGAATTCACCTGACCCAACTCTGATCAGTTATGAGCCCCTGTTGTGCTGGATTCTCCAATAGAAATCATCTGAATTTTGACGACATTCTCACTGGATTGGTTTAAGATGTTGAAGGGAAAACCTACAGGAAACCATGGTTTTTCTCCATCAGATATAGAGGTTTCCTGGATTTGCTTCCCCTAAACCAATCCAGTGACATTCCAAACGCGCCCTGGAAGTTTGGACCTTTTTTCCCTCGCCACTCGTCATTAACTCCAAGAATGTGTGGCCCATGGCACCCAGGCTTCAATTTGAAAAAACAATGTTAGAACATGGGATATAAGAAGTACATAAGAAGTACACAAGAAGTACGTAGGATGGAAATACACACAGGCCAAATATATTGCCTTCTTTTGATTCAGTTTGACTGTTTTTTCCCAAATGTTGCCTCTTCGTAGTTGACATGTCAGTGCCATCCAAGGCTATGTGGGTTCTAACTGCAACTTGACTAGGAGTTCAGAATCCTGGCATGTTCAAAATGTTTGTGTTTATGTGAAACCAACAGCTGTGCAGCTATACCAAGGTCCAAGTTTCAAGCTGTCCAACCCCCACCCCCGACTTTCACCTGGTGCCATGGGCCCCTTATCATGGCTAGTCTCGGCGACACCCTGCAAGGAAAGACATGTTTTGTATGACGCATTTACCCATTTGCAGCTCCATTTTGTCCCACCAACCAACTTTTTTCGGCGGTGTTTTGTGATTCATGAGGGTACAAAGGAATGTGGGGTTTCCGACATCATCCAATGGAAAAATATGGAAATGTTGGGATCATATTTGGGAACATTCTGAAAATTGACGAAATTGTGGTGCTTATGAAATGTTGCGTGATACTATATTAATCTGGTTTCCCCATGTCATCCGACATATCCGGCATGTATGGGATCACAACTATATAGAGATATAAATGGGGTTTCAAACATCACATCCCCAGGGTTCTCCAAGTCATTGCAGCATGTTTTTGATCAACTCACCCGGTGCCTCCCCAGGCCCCGCTATGGCAGTTGCTACAGCAGGTGCTGGCGATTTTTCATCGGAGCCAGCCCTCAGGAAGTCCTCCAGGGGCTCGCTGCCATCATAGGTCCTGGGTCAACGGTCGCGACAGGGATCGTGGGGAAAGCAGGTTGGCATGCCATAAATGGCCATAACATCCCATTGTTGACCTATATTGATATCTATTGATCCGATTGGTGGTATCAATCCCTCTAGACTCTATTTTTCAACCAGCCAGTGGAACGAAGGGGCCTCTAGGGATTGATGCGCCCCCCCAGGGTTCTTCCAGTGGAGCATCTTTTGACTTTGGGCGTACCACGTTCTATGCATTGCCCATTCCCACAAGTTTATGGAAGCCTTCGACCTACCACATACAGAAGTCTCGGGAAGTAAACATCGGTCATGCACTGACTCAAGGTATACGTTGGGTCTGTTTACATTCAACAGTTTTTACCAGTCACAACTCTAAATCCATTCCGTAACCGGTCCTACCTCGTGGATCGATCCAGATGTACAAAAGCCAAGTTTTGGCCGAACCCCCAGCCACCTGTTCAATAAAACAATTTAAAACAAAGAAACTGCCAAGAAACCATATATGCGGCATATTTCAACAACACCAAACGTGTTTTCTTCTGTAAGATTCTTTGATGCCCACCAGCCCATCAGAACCATAAATTGCCACCCAGTGTTTTTCATTGTACAACCAATCCCCAACTCAGTTCCTTATTTGGGTTTGTGAAAAAACGGGTCTTGTACCCAGAGTTCGCCAGCAAAAATGGAAACTGATGATCAACCCCAAAAAATCACGGATCATCATTCCAAAATATCCCAAATATGGATCATCACACATAGTTCAGACCACCAACAATTCTGTTGATTGAATCCCTTTTTTGTGTATATACATAACCAGTACATAACCCTTATCTGCATGAATGTTGCTGGCATGTTTTTAATCAAAAATCGCAACCCATCTTAAATAGCACCATTACACCAACCAACGTCGGACAAGCTATACCCACCATGTCTGTCTTGGCCGCTTGTTGATCCCAATCCCCTTCTCAAATTATTTTTTGGGCTCACATGTTTCTCATCCAAAAATTGTGTTGGTTTATCTTTCCCATTGCATTCCATTCTATTTCTCATGTTGGGAAGTTATACCCACCATTTGTGATTGTCTGAAAATAGGGCCCCCCCAAGACCTATGGTAAATCAATGTTAAGCATTGATCATCACATTCCTTATTTCAAATAGTTTTTTTCGGTGGTAAAATGTGGTAAAGAAATTGAAGGAAACCTGCAAGGTGAGACGCATGTGTGCCTCGGTTTTGGAGATATACATTTTCTTCGGGGGTGGTATCCCAATGTATCCCACAGTGGTTAACACCATCCTGGCCAACCAGCCACGCGTCAGCTGGTTTTTTTTTGCCAAGCGTCTCCAAGAGCCATCGCCGTTGTGGGGCCGGCAGCTTGGCTAAGCAGCGCTTGGTCTCGGGGGGATCCAACCCCCAGGTATCCTAGGGCCAGACGAAAGCAACACATGGGGGCTTTCAAATAGTTTAAAATTTTAAAACACATTAGTTTATGGGGATAGAAAAACATATAATGATATCATATATATCATTACCATCTTTTTACTATTTACAAAGCAAAAAGGTTTGATGCGGCAGGGTTGTTAAAGTTGGTAGATTTACAGCCAACCACGCGTGTATATTAAAAAAAAAGGAGATAGAGAGAGAGAGAGAGCCAATCATATACTGTAACATGTATGTATATGATATACATATATTATAGCAATTCTCATGGGTAGGAGGACACTGCCGCTGAATTTCGGGGGTGGGACATTTTTGGACAAGCACAAGTGGATGGAGTTTCCATGTGAGCGGGGGCCCTTGCCCAAAACAACAACATGAATGGATTGATGACTGGAAGATGCCGCCGGCCAATCATGAAATCCATTGGGCAATTTAATTACTTCGCTGTTGTTTGGCGAAAGGGCCCTTTTTATGAGGCTGTGCGGCTGTACCTCGTTTCCATGTCAGCGTCATCATCTTTGCCGTGGGCATGGCACAAACTGTCCAATCACAACTACAGAGCTGGTAGTCTTTGACGACGCTGTACCACAGCAACTCAAAAGAAGCAAACTATGCGGGAACTCATGTCTATGACAAACAGAAGGGAAACAAGAAAAAGAAGACTTGGTGCGTCAAGTATTGCATGACCGATCTATTGGTCCTACTGCCTTGACCACTTATAAGTTCGCAACAAGCCGCAAGTAAAATCCGCCCACACCGCTTTGGCGGTGAAGGCGTGCTTATTGGGGTGCAAACAGCTACACTAAATGCTCAATGACATTTGTTAATATAGCAGTCGCTATATCAGCTTTAGCTGGGGGGGGGGCCCAAAAACGGTTTCGCACCGAGACCAGAATACGGTGGTGTTTTCGACATTTTTCGAGGATTTTTGGGTGTCTGAGCGCAAGAGGGTATTGAAATGGAATTTTGGGTCATTTTGGTAGCTTTCCGGCAATGGAAAAACGGCCAAAAATGAAAAAAACATTGTACATAGCAAGATTTTGCAGGGTTTTTGGATGCCAGAGCATTGAAAACACTGCAAAAACAAGTGTTTTGGACTGACGTTATAGCAAAAAACGTGTAAATTACCGTATGCTTGACTGGAAACATTACAAAAACACTGTCAAAAGCAATGTTTTGGAAGGATTTACTGCCTTTATGGCAAAAAACGTGTAAATTACCGTCTGTTTGACTGGAAACATTGGAAAAACACTGTCAAAAACAATGTTTTGGAAGGATTTCTTATATATATGTTGGAGTTGGCTACCGGCATTGGAACATGGAAAAATTGAAGAAAACACTGTAAATAGCGGTATTTTCAACGGTTGGGGAGATAAGGGAATTGGAAGCATTGTCGAACATGATGTTTTTGACCGGTTTTATGGCGACAAAAGTGTAAAGTACCGTGCTTTGAAGGAAACCATTGCAAAAACATGGAAACACATTCAAAGAAGACGGGATTTGGGGGACTATCTAGGCGTCGTTGTCTAGCTATTTGAAATTCCGCAGCTTGGAGAGCCTCCAAGGGAGGGAAAAGTGAAAATTCCATAACTTGGGAAGCTGTCACGGCGGGGAAAAGTGAAAATTCCCTAGTTTGGGAAGCCCCCACGGGGGGGAAAAGTGAAAAATCCCTAGCTTGGGGAGCCCCCACGGGGGGGGAAAGTGAAAATTCTTAGCTTGGGAAGCCCCCACGAAAGGGAGAGTGCCCTCGCTTGGGAAGCCCCCAAGGGGGGGAAAAGCGAAAATTCCCTAGCTTGGGAAGCCTCCACGGGGGGAAAAGTGAAAATTCTCGCCTGGGAAGCCTCTACGCGGGGGAAAAGTGCAAATTGCTTAGCTTGGGAAGCCCCAATTGGAAGCATTGTCGAACATGATGTTTTCGACCGGTTTTATGGCGACAAAAGTGTAAAGTACCGTGCTTTGAAGGAAACCGTTGCAAAAACATGGAAATACTCTGGCGTTCGTTTCTGACCGAAATAAACCTGCGGTGTGGGCGGCCACCCCACGCGAAGCGGGGTGAATATCCGTGTTTGCAGGCCAAAATCGCCACGGAGCGTTGGCCAATCTGTAGCACTACCCATACAAAGTAACCGCAGCGGTGATGCTGCCACTGCACATTCAAAGCATTCAAGCCAACGCAAGCCAAAAAAAAAACTCTTGCTAACACACCCGCGGGATGACCAATTTGCCAAGCCAGTAATGTGGTCAAACAGTAATAAACCGTCAACAATGTCACCATTTTTATGGATGGTAATGTCAACCCCGGACTAGTAAACCATGGTTTATTAATTAGGGGGGTACCCCTCAATAGTCATAATATGATACTTAAATGGTACCCCCCCCACTTAAACAATCTAGGGGTTTATTAATCCAGGGTTGACATTATAAACCATTCCCTGTCATGGGTGGTTTGTTATTATTTTAACATCTTGTAACCACATATAGCCACACTAATCACAACGCATTCCGAGTTTCGATGAAGTTCTGAATCTTTTCCAACTGCTCCGCCAAGGCCGTCTTCGGAAGCTTCGCTGCCGCCTTTGCCTTGGCGGTTCCTGAGGTGTTGCGGTAGCGGTTCTTGGCCAAAAAGCGGCCATTGGTTCAATGCTGGGGGCATCATCATGGAAAATATGAAAAACTGGAGGCATCATCATGGAAAACATGATGTGAAAAACTGGAGAGAAAAGGGTTCTTTAATTTCCGAATCCCTACCCCAAACCAGCAGCTACAACTCAAATCAGCAGCTAGCCATTTGTTAAAACTTCGAGGATCACCTTCAAAACGCTGGCACAATCCTGCGCAAGTACGAAATACAATGATGGTTTTACGTTATGCAAGTTTAGATATGAGCGTCCTTTTCAGAATGATGCATGTCAATGCATGTCCTTTTGGAGCAATGCCCTATGAATCTCTATGAATTTGGAAATTCAATCGCCATCATCTTTACCATCAAGTCGGGTTGGAAACTGCAAGAAAACAGTGGGGCATCCACCCGGGTTCGGCCACCGCATGCGGGTGGTACCTCACTTGCCCGACTTGAAGCAGCAATGCGTTTGTTCAAATATTCAAATGATGTCCCTCGGCATCCCATCCTCTGGAGGCCCCGCTCCCCTTGGAGCAAATTGCAACGAGTCTACAATCAATGTTGTCATACCCACTGGTGCTCTTCTGGAAAAATATATGGCCGATCCTTGCTGAACGCTTATTGAAAAATACCTTCCTTAATTTCTCCCACAACCGGTTGAAAGAATTGCAGTAAGCCATAGTCAGCACGCCAACTCCATTGCAGCACAGCCTCCATTCTTGGCTGCCGGTGCACCTTGCACCTTGGCAGCGCCATTGTACGGCCCACTGCGCACCCCGCGCCGGGCCATCAGGGCGCTGGACAATGGAAACCTGGGTGGCACCGGCGCACAGGGGTTGCATGGCCAGCTATCAAACATAATGTGGGGATGCTTGTCGCTTGGAAAAGTGACCGTCCAACTTGGACAAGCAAAGATTCCAACATGTTGTGGTTGTATTTTCTGAGGGCACAATATACCCTTCCAATACCTGAATTAGAGAACTTGAAGGGGAGACCGGCTCACGTATATCACTTATAACCATTTATAACCAAGAAGTTGGGGGCGATGAAGGGTTTACTCAAGATAATGGGCAAGCACCGGCTATAAGAAAAGTGAATAGGCAGAGAATGACTCAGCGCAGCAAACAACCACAAGGCGCATCGAACAGCTGATGAGTTAGTTGCAGCAACTGGCCAGAATAACAGCAAGTAACAAATATATACACCACACTATACTTCTTGATTAAGCCAACCGAGGCAGCCGAGGAACGATGATGATGATGCCGCGGAAGGTGCAGCTCTCATCCTGAGGTCGCGCCATGTCTGATGGAAGTCAACAATGGTTTCTGAGAGAAGATTGTGCTCCATTTCTGACAGTGGCTTTGGATGTCCATCGGGCAGAAGAACCTGGGGCACACGTGGCGCCAATCGGTTGCCTCACTGCTAGGCATCCGCACCCATGTCTTTATTCAATTTCATTCATATCTCCCGTAGCAGCAAGATGCAGCAAGCTTTTGACAAACACACATGTACAAGTACCAACCACCCCTGCTTTCGCGACAGCAGCTCCTGCACTCAAATCTTCCTGGTGCATCTGAATTGAAAGTGCACTCGGGGAAGATGGTGCTAGGGGAGGCCGACCACACAGCAGGTGTAAGTGCGAAACTATGCGAAACTCAAAATATTCCCCGATTTAAAACAAAACTGCTGGGAGGAACTGCCATGCCTTCGCACCGGCAGCTCTATATATCTCCCTCACTAGAGCCTCTCCTTGCGGTTTCTGACAGCAAGAGCCCTCGAAACTCTGTGAAGTCATTGTCGGCATCAAGCTCTTCATATGACCGAAGCAAGGTGCATAGATTGGAGTCTGTCATGAACTCTAATTTGGCTGGAGACCCAATATGCTGAGCAATTGAATGTAACAACACGCCAGAGTACACCCGAGCCCGGGCACAGGACCCAACCACGGCCACCACAGCAGCGAACTTTTGAGGCCTAATTCTCCGAACCACAGAACTCAAATGCGTGGACGCACGGCGCAGGAAATCATGTTGAAGAAGTTGGAAAGCCTTCCTCATGGTGGCCAAACTTTGAAGAGGCATCCTTTTCATTGCTGAGCCCTCTGCAAGCAGGGCTGGTGCCAGCACTGCGTTTGGAACACTATCCTGCAGCTGCACAAGAGCTTCCAGGCAGTCTCGTAATGGGCCGGGGATCCAAGCTTTCGAAGTTTGTGGGATCTGGGCGGCAATGTCGGGGATCGAGTCAAGAACAGAAGGCGCAATATCCTTCAACGGTGCAACTGTCTCTAGGCTGCTGGCCAACTCCTCTGCGGTGCTCGCTTTCTTGGGGATCTGCGCAGCAATGTCAGACACCACATCGAGAACAGCAGGCACCAGATCCTTCAACTGAACACACGCCTTCAAGCCACTGAACAACTCCTCTGCGGTGGTCGCTTTCCTGGGGATCTGCAAAGCAATGTCAGGCACCACGTCAAGAACAGCAGGCACCTCCTTCAACCGCACAAGAGCCTCCAGGCCACTCACCAACTCCTCTGCAGTGCCTGGTTTCTTGGGGATCTGGGCAGCAATGTCAGGCACCACGTCAAGAATAGCAGGCACCAGATTTTTCATCTGAACACATGCCTTCAAGCCACTGACCAGCTCCCCCGCCGTGATTGCTTTCTTGGGGATCTGCGCGGCAATGTCAGGCACCACGTCCAGAACAGGGGGAACCAGATCCTTGAACTGCACACATACCTGCAAGCCACTAATGCACTCCTCCGCCCTGCGCGCTCTCTGTGGGATCTTGGATGCAATGCCAGGCACCATTTCAAGAACAGCAGGCGGAATATCTTTCAACCGTGCAAATTTGGACAAACCATTAAAAGATCATTCAAACTCATTTTTCTGGCCAAGGAATCCAGGGTCTGCTTGGACATGACAACCTGATCAGAGAACTGTGGGTAGCTGTGAAAAACTTCGGCGGATTGCTGCTGGTCCAACCCGCCTTTCTGTGCCATATTCTGGACCCGGGCATGTAGCTTAAGAAGCACAGCGCTACCCCAGTCGCTTGGATTCAAGTGCCTGGTCCTGCTCAAGATTGACCATCTCCAGTATGCACGGCATGCGTGGGAAGTGCTAAAGATCGGGCTATCCAGTGCTTCATTCAGAATTTCAATCAGGATCTGAACGTATTGCGCGCGGTCAATTGCCTGAGCTGAAGGAAGCAGCCACGCTACTGCCCTAGTTTCTGTGGAAAGCTTCGAACAATCTGTTTTCGGTAAGCAGAAAACAATCTTGGGCTTGCGGGTTTCTTTGAGTTGGTTTTACAGTCTTGCTTGGTTGCAAGTTGCAGGTCCAGGGAGTCCAGTGACAATGTTTATCACATTGCTCAGGGATTCAAGGCTCTGCGGTCTGCGAACTATAAATGTAATTATGGAAGTTTCTGCCACGGATGATTGAGACTAATACTCTATTTATGGTCGTATGCTTTTCGCCCTCGTACGCTTCCCAAGCATTGGCTGGGAAAATGAGCCTGCACCTTGAGTTTGCAAACCGATGTTCTATTGAATAAGTGACTGAATGCGTTTTTCATGTAACTAAGTGATAGGTGGATTTTGATCTACGCAAAGTTTTCGCATGGATCTTGAAGGGACAGTCTTTCCAGCAGGATGACATTAAAAGATACTAGACGACGGATGGCCCGAGAGCGTAGAGGAGCAAGGTGTTCTGTTGTTAGTGTTGAGACACTATATTACAAGACAATATATTAAAGATCTTTTATAGGCAGACGAGAAGAATAGTATCAAGACAATATTTGACAAATACTAGTCAATAGTTTGCATCGTATCCTTCGTAAAGTTTATCACACACAGAACCTTTTACACACAGACGCTTTTGCAGACAGAAGCTTTACACACAGACGCTTTTGCACACAGAGACTTTTACACACAAACGTTTTTACACACAGCCACTTTTACACACAGACGCTTTTACACACCGACGCTTTTACACGCAGACACTTTTACACACAGAAGCTTTTACACACAAACACCTTCACACACAGAGACTTTTATACACAAGAGCTTTTACACACAGACGCTTTTACACACAGAAGCTTTTACACACAGACGCTTTTACACACACACAGACGCTTTGACACACAGACGCGTTTACACACAGAACCTTTTACACACAGACACTTTTGCACACAGAAGCTTTTACACACAGACGCTGTTACACACAAACACTTTCACACACACAGAGGCTTTTACACACAGAGACTTTTGCACACAGAGGCTTTTACACACAGAAACTTTTACACACAGAGACTTTTACACACAGACGCTTTGACACCCAGACGCTTTTACACACAGACGCTTTTACACACAGACGCTTTTACACACCGAGGCTTTTGCACACAGAGGCTTTTACACACAGACACGTTTGCACACAGACACTTTTACACACATACACTTTTACAAACAGAAGCTTTCACACACTGGCACTTTTACACACAAACACCTTCACACAGAGAGACTTTTACACACAGCCACTTTTACACACAGACGCTTTTACACACCGACGCTTTTACACACAGAAGCTTTCACACACAGAAGCTTTTACACACAGACGCTTTTGCATACAGAAGCTTTACACACAGAAGCTTTTACACACAGAGACTTTTACACACATACGTTTTTACACACAGCCACTTTTACACACAGAGACTTTTACACACACAGACACTTTTACACACAGAGACTTTTACACATAGAAGCTTTTACACGCAAAAGCTTTACACACAGACGCTTTTACATACAGACACTTTTACACACAGACACTTTTACACAAAGACACTTTTCACACAGACGCTTTTACACACAGACACTTTTGCACACAAACACCTTCACACACAGAGGCTTTTACACACAGAAGCTTTCACACACAGGCTTTTAAACGCAAACACTTTCACAGACAGAGACCGGACCCGTGAAATCGGAATTTTACCGCAGTTTTTGGCGATCGAACCTCATTTCGTGCGAAAGGGTTGCGCCGGACAACTTGCAACTCGCAATTTTACCACAGTTTTTGGCGATCAAACATCATTTCGTGCGAAAAGGTTCGCCGGACAACTTGCAAATCGCAATTTTACCTCAGTTTTTCGCGATCGAACCTCATTTCGTGCGAAAGGGTTCGCCGGACAACTTGCAAATCGCAATTTTACCTCAGTTTTTGGCGATCGAACCTCATTTTGTGCAAAAGGGCTGCGCCCGGACAAGAGAAATCGCAATTTTACCACAGTTTTTGGCGATCGAACCTCATTTTGTGCAAAAGGGCTGCGCCCGGACAAGAGAAATCGCAATTTTACCTCAGTTTTTGGCGATCGAACCTCATTTCGTGCGCAAGGGTTCGCCGGACAACTTGCAAATTGCAATTTTACCACAGTTTTTGGCGATCGAACCTTATTTTGTGCGAAAGGGCTGCGCCCGGACAAGGGAAATCGCAATTTTACCTCAGTTTTTGGCGGTCGAACCTCATTTCGTGCGAAAGGGTTGCGACGGGAAGCGGGAAATCGCAATTTTACCGATCGAACCTCATTTCGTGCGAAAGCGTTGCGTTTCGTGCTGTCTTGTTGGCACTGCCCTGCACCTTCAAGAGAGAAATAGAAAAGAAGGAGAGAGCAAGAGGGCAAGAGAGCATGAGGACAAGAGAGCAAGAGGGCAAGAGAGAATGTGAAGATGTGAGAATGTGAAGATGTGAAGCTGAGAAGATGTGAAGATCAGAAGTTGAGAAGAAGAGCAGATTTGAAGATGAGAAGATGTGAGGATGTGAAGATGAGAAGATGTGAAGATGTGAAGATGAGAAGATGTGAAGTTGAACAGATGTGAAGATGAGAAGATGTGAAGATGAGAAGATGAGAAATATGAGAAGATGTGAAGATGAGAGGATGTGAAGATGAGAAGATGTGAAGATGAGAAGAAGATGAGAAGATGAAAAGATGAGAAGATGTGAAGATTTGAAGATGTTATGTGAAAATGTTTGACAGACCCCCACTATTAGAAGAACCCTTCGCTCAGACGCTCTCGGGAATCAAAATTCTATGGCCCGGTGGGGGGCAGAAGGTTCAAAGGCCCGGCACCACCTACAAAAGCGTGTCTCTTGACTCATTCCCCACACAAGAGTTCGGGCTCAAGAGTCAAATATATTTCAAGAAGAAGCAAAGAGGTGCATCACATTGACACATCGAAAATCCAACCAACCCACAGCAACTTGGTAAAATGGAAAACGGGTCTAGCCTGAACTGACTACAGTAATAATTTGTGGCGCCCTTTAGGTAGTAGGTAAAAAAGAACTTGAACTCCTGCCAGAGATCCAACTGCTGAAGGCATTTGGGGTGCAACCCTTGGTCTGCCCTGTATTTTTTTGCATTTTATTTGTGTTCCGGATCTGGGGTGGATTATTTTTGGATTGGACCATGTTGGATAATTTTGGCAAGGTACCTGGGCTAACCTTTGCTTCGCACGGCGTTTGAGTCGGTCATGAAATTCCTGTTGCAATTCTCTGGGGATCTGCTTGAAAACATCCGGCAAGATGTGATCTAGAGCAGGTTCGTTGAACTTTGCGCACGCCTGCAAGATGTTGAGCACTTTTTCTGCGCTGAATCTTCTCATCTTGCCATTTAGAGACTTGACCAACGCAACGAGGAGTGGGGTAGGAGCATGAAACCGACGAGACAAATGCGCACAGGTGCGCAATATTTTGGCAGAAGCATCGGCATTCAACCGGCCTTGCGACGCCAAATCCTGGACCCGATCATGCATTCTACTGATCACTGGGCTATCCCAATCCTTTGGCATGAGGCCCCTCTTATCGCTTAATTTGGCCAGCGCGCTGTATGCGACTGAAGGCTGTAAACGCTTGAAGATCGGGCCATCCAAGGCTTCATCCAAAATCTCAATCAGTTCCTTGGCCGACTCCACGCTGCTCAGCTGTGATCTCAACTTCTTCGCTTTGGCCTTGTCATCTGCTTCCAGCTGCCGTCCTGATACTGCTTGGTGTTGTTGGCGGCACCTCTCTGTCACCTGGACCTTGGCAGCACGGCTCCAAGGATTGCCCTGCACAAAGGGCAACGGGTCCGGCTCATGAGACACCATCCGCCACAAGAGGCACAACGGCACCAGGCAAGTCATGCGAATGCATCTGCGGCTGAAAGGCCTGGGCTGCCTGGCCACACTGCCTGAAAAGGCCATGGCTGCACCCTACCTCTGCGTGCCGGGGTGTGTCAAGACCTCCTCTCTCTATCTCTCTGAAGCTTGTTGCAGTCAAACTTGCGGATCATTTTGCACTTGAATATTGGGATCGTGTATGAGACTGTTGTCTGTTGTGGCTTCATGGTGAGTCTTGTAATACCTAAAAGTTTCTGGGCCCATACCTTCGTCTGTAAGAACATCGGAAAGCTTATATATTGGGCTGGGGCACTTGCTAACTTCTTTGGGATCCTGCTGAGCTTTGAGAGAACAAACACTGACAGCTGGGCCTTCGTTTCTAAAACGCAGCCAGGCCGCTCCCGCAAGTCATCCAACAAAAAGCGCCACATGTTTGTTCCCATCATGCACATTGAAACACGAAGGGAATGCCACTTCCGAGTTTCCAAAGGGATGGTCCACTACCCACAGCGGTTGCAAGTGTAGCTCAGGTGCAGCCAAGGGTCGGTGTGAACGTCGGCCGGGTCCTTGGGCCACAAGCATAGGGTGGAACTAATTACATGGAACCCAACTTCCAGAGCTAAGTTTGCAACCCTAGACATGAAAGCAAAAAGGGACAATGATGGTTGGCAACGGAACCCCAGGAAGTGTTGGGCCAGTAGAATCCCAGGTGGGATGTCAAAGTTTCACTCTTGAAATGCTTGTAGCTAAGCCCAGCGAAGCTGAAGTTGTTGAAGAATGTTTCACCCAAGCCATGTTTCACCCAAGCCATGCTGTTGTTTTGTTAGAAGGTTCCAGAGATATTACCACCACAATGGCATGCCAGGTTGCCAAACCAGTGCGGCCAAGGAGCGATGCAGCTGGAGCGGCGGGTGCTGATCTGATCCTGAGACCGCAGCCGTTGGGAAGTGGCTCTGAATGGCTCTGAATCCACCATAACCCACCATCGGAAAACCAAAACCCGACATTTGATCCAAAAAACATCTAGTGGCCAGAAAAGATCCAAAAAACATCAATTTTTTGATCCACTCTGGAATGCCCCCCAAAAAAACATCTAGTGGCCATACCGGCGGTGTTACATGAGTTCCAACCTACTACCAGCATCTGCAAAGGGACCGGGTTGATGAAAGTGGTTTTCCTCTTGACCAAGATATCCTCACTTCAGCTGTGAGTGGGACATCTCACTCAATGGATCTTGCAAGCCCGTGGCATCACACGGTGGCCAGGGGGAAAGCCATGCCTTTGCCCTTGCGAATCCCTTTGAAAATGCTCATAGCTACATACCCCGGACTCTGGCAACGCATGGGAATTCCACAAGCTCTGCTGCCGTTTTCTGCGCTGGCACGACTGCAGCTGTAAGGAGAATTTAGGATCACACAAGGCATATGCCTCGACCAATTTAAATGCATCCTCAGACATCTGCTTGAGGCTAGCCGCACCATTCGTGTTCACAGGTGGCTCATGACCAACGGCCACTCGGCACAATAAATTATATACGCCAACCACCACCCCCGGCCCCCGAAATCCTGAAGTCTGGCTTTTGAGCCTCCTCCCAAACCCGAGGACGGAAGCCCAATTCAATCTTCAACTTGTTGTAGCATGCGTGATATGGACAGACTTCCCCGTTCCCCAAAAAGCTGAATGAATACGCCTGAAGTTCCAGGGGTCCAGATGCTACTTCAATGTGGAATTCTGGGCAAGGCTATTCAAAGACATTTTGTCCATCTGTCGTCACTGTCAGCACCCAACAGCCACTCCTGCACTCAAACCCTCCTGCACTCAAACCCCCGCGGTGCGTCCAAAAGAGCACTCTGCAAAGATGGTGCTGGAGAAGGGGAACGGAGGGTGCGAGAGAGTGAAGGTCAAAATCATTTCAACTACCAGAAATGCCTTCAAGAAGTCAGGAGGCCAGTAAAATTGTCAAATTGTGGCAAATATGCGAACGAGTTCAAACAATCTTCTGAATTTCAAAGGCTTTGCAAGCATCCACGGTGAAATCTCTGGCAGTCAAAGGTGTCCATCTAAAAATCTGCCGGGTCCTCAAATATCCAAAGCTACTACTCTCTGCATCTTCACTACATTCACATAAATAGAGTATAAGATATTTATATCTCACATATATATATTATATAATGTAATACATTGTCGTCACCTGCTTGCACCCAGCAGCCACTCCTGCATTCAAAACTCTGCGGTGTTTCCAGAAGGAGCACTCTGCAAAAATGGTGCTGGAGAGGGGTTTGCTCAAGCTTCAAAAATTGGACTGGGTTTGGAATGGCCGTGGGAGGCATGGCAAAAACAAGAAATTAAGAAGTTGCTACAAGTTGACTTAGACTTGCACGCAACTCAACTGCAAGCAGCCCCCAACGGCCAAAGATTTGCCTTACAGCTTTGCGTGATTCCATCGCAAATGTCCACGTTGGCAACTCTGTACATCTGCCTCATTAAATCCCCTCTCTCTTACTTCCGACATCAGCAGCTTGTCAAACCCGTGGAAATCATTTTGGGCGCTAAACACCTGATAAGACCAAGACAAAGCGCACAGGCTAAAGTTTGGCAGGCGGGTTGACACCTGCTGTTCATAAGACCCAAAATGCGCTGCCGCAAAAAACATCGTAAAATGCTCGGCAACAGAAGCCAGGAACTCCTCATCATACAGTCTGAGTCTGGCGCAGGCCCAAATCGCAACCGGGACTGCGATGGTGAAATCCTTTCCTCTCAGTCTTGGAAGTAAGCGCTTGAAGCGCCTTGCTGCACATCTCACAATGTTTTCAAGGCTGTCATCTGTCCAAGACCCCGAACCTTCATCAGGGATGGAGTCATGAAGAAGGACAAGGGCCTCCAAGCTGTTGGACATTTCCTGTGGTGTCATGTTTTTGAACTTGGCGGGGATTTCCCCAACAACTGCAGGCAAACTGTCCAACACCTTGGGCACTTCATCCTTGAGCAGCGCACATGCAAAGAGGCAGTTGGACAATGCTTGTGCGCCCATGTCCTTTGCTCTTTTGGGGATCTGGGCCACAATGGAGGGCACCATTTCAAGCATAACAGGCGCAACATCCTTGGCTTTTGCAGATGCCCAGAAGATTTTGGAAATCCCTTGTGCGTTCATATCTTTCACCTTGGTAGGCACAGATTTGACCAATGCAGCTAGCAGCTGGCTCGGAATGCTGAATCGATCCGACAACTGCGTAATGCTCCAAAGAACATTGGCTGAAGCCTGCGGGTTCCACTGGTCGTTCAGTATCATGTTTTCAACTCGGGTATGCAGCCTGAGAAGCACCGGGCTATCCCAATCCCTTTTCCGGAGGAGTTTCCATCTTTTCAAGGTGACCAACTGGGCGTAGGCAGCTGATGCATGAATAAAGTTGAAAATGGGTTCATCCATTGCCAGATTCAAAATCTTCATCAGCTTCTCAGCTGAGTTTGCTATCGTGATGACTGATGTCAACCTCCTTGCCTCCACTTCCGGATCTGCCTCTTGCTGCCCTTGTTGGCTGGACCTGCAACTCACACCCTGCACGAAGCCAACATGCACCAGCTGCTCTTGCACTACCAGAGTCGCGAGGCACAGTAACGCCAAGCAAGGCATTGGAAGGCAATCCCGACTGAAACGCCTGGGCTGCCTGGACATGGCTGCGATCTACTGATATATAGTTTGGAACTTTTTGACTTTTGGCAATGTATTCATGTTTATCACTTGAGACCGTGTCATTGGGCCTTGCATCACTTAAAATATGTTAAATGTATCAAAAGGCCTTTGTATTCCATGGTCAGAAGCCATGCTTGGCCTACAAGCTTCATGCTAGAGGAGTGTCAAGTTGGAGCAGCTGAGAACTTTGCATCCGGTGATCCCACTGTGCTTTGATTGGACAACAGCAGGTGGGCGTTTGTTGCAAAACACCACGGGTTGACATTACCAAGTGGCATGTGATTTCGATTACAGTAATTATATCCCTCAAGCTATTGCTGTGAGACATGATGGTATCTTTGTTTCGCAGCGCCAAACACCTACGTCCCACGACAGGTGCCGAGGAGCGATGGGGCTGCAAGAGCAGGGCCCGATCTAATCCTGGGCTCCCAGTGGGATGCTCTTGGGAACTGGATGCCGGACACCCCTTGGACAGCATTGACAACCCAGGTATAATGTCTTCTAGAGCCATTCAGGGTCTAATACCTATAGGTTCACTCCAAGAAAGGTAATATGAAATGCATGAAACATATTTCTACCGGTGTCCTTTTTCAAACTCGAAGGCCGTCAATCAACCAAACTATCCCAAAGTTGTTGATATGCCTAAATGTTCCAGCATTCAGGGATGGAGAGGGACCAACGTAAAATAGGTTAAACATGGTTAAACGGGGTAGGGACCAAAACGCTTACCCGAAAACACGCCCCCAACATTGCCTTGGTCATGCAGAAATTGGGGTGATATTCCCACTTTACGTGCAGCATGGTCTCCTCAACTCTCAAAGTTTGGGACCCCGAATCGCCCACCTCACTTCCCTACTTGGTCAATCCCTGAAATCAGGGATGGGATGAAGCAAAAAATCCAACAAGTTCTGAATGCAACCTGAAAAACGGATTGGTAGTTGTTGTCATCTATGGCACCAGGGTGCACTGAGCAATAATGATGGAAACCAAGATCTGTACCGCGGCCCATGTTGGCACTGTCATTCTTTTAATGTCAAGGCAAGGCGTTCCAAGAGCAGCGCCACAGAAGCTGCACAGGAGAATCCAACAACTCAAGAGGTGAAGTGGAACCCCAAAAACTAGATCTACTTGGAGCCAAAGTCCTGGCCAACATATGAAAAAAAACATGTATGTCAGTATTAAAAAATAGATGAAAGACGAAATATGTATACAGCATCTTGTTAAAAAAAAAAACGTGCGTGCTATGTGTGTATGTCACCACCCGTCTCCACCCCACGTTCCCTCCCGCACTCAAATCTCTGCGGTGCTTTCAGAAGGAGCACTCTGCAAAGATGGTGCTGGAGAGAGGTCAAAAGTTGGAGTTGATTTCAAACTGCCAGAATGGTTGAAGTGGATTCTCAAGCTTGTAAGTCCAACGGAAAGAACATCTATCAGGAATCAAAGAACATGCGTATCAGTATCAAAACAGCTTTGCCATGCTTTGCCTATCTAATTATGTTATTTCCACTAGCCTCTCTGGCAGTTAGAGGTTTCAGCTAAATGTTTGCATGGTTCCACTTCAAATGGCCAAGCCTGCTACTCTCTACATCCGATTCACTCAATCTTCTCCTCTGAATCTCGGACTTCAACAGCGTCCGAAAATCTGCGAATTCTTCCTCGACGTCAAGCACTTCATACGCCCAGGACAAAGCGCAGAGGCCAAAATCTTTCAATCGGGACAGGGCGCTTCGGGACCCCAAGCGCAGGGCGGCAGAAGCCAACAACTCGTCGTGCTGCACACCAACTTTGGCAGAAGCCCAGATCACAGCGGGCACTGCAATGATCAGGTCGTTTCCAGTGAGCCTTGGAAGTAAAGTGTTCAAACGTGCCGCTGCAGACCACACGATACCATCTTCCTTGCCACTATCTGACAGGTAACTTGCAAAATTATCTGCAAGTCCAGGGTCCGACTCCTGCAGAAGAATACGGGCATCCAAAGTGTTACACAAGTCTCGGGGGTTCATGTCTTTGATCCTACCTGGTATTTCCAGATCGATGGCTGGGACAATCTGCGACACCTCGTGCCCTTCATTCTCAAGCTGCAGGCATGCCCATAGGCAGTTGGCCAACGCTTGTGGGACCATTCCTCCAACCTTCTTGGGCACAGACTCAACCAAAGCTGCCAGGAGCTGGGTTGGGACCCTAAACTGATCACACAATTCTGCCATGCTCCATAGAATGTTGGCCGTTTCGCGGGCAGGCAACTGGTCTTGCAGCACCATGTCTTTGACCCGGGCATGCAGTTTCATAAGCACCCTGCTATCCCAATCGCTTGATTGCAGGCGCCCCTCCTTTTTAAAGGCTGCCAGCTGGATGTATGCGGCCGCTGCATGTATGAAGTTCAAGATTTCGCCTTCGATGGCGCCATCCAACATCTTAATCAGCTTCTTTGCTGATTGTGCCTTTGTGATTCCTGACAGCAACCTCCTCGCTTCAGCTTTGGCAAAAGAAAATTCGCCATCTGCCTTTGATTTCCTGGAAAATGCTGAGCGCTGCTGACCTGACTCACCTGACATCTTGCTCAACTCACCTTTGGCCGCCCAGTGCCCCCAACTCATAGCCTGCACGAAGCTCAAGGGGTGCCAGTGGCGCCACGGCAGGCACACCTCCACCAGGCAAATCACTACGAGGCCACAGTAACTTTGCCGCCTGGCCATGGCTGGGCACCTGCCAGGAATCGGTTCACCTGGATGGTGATCAAAATTGGTGTAGAACGCGTGGTTTCTGATTTGTTTAGATCACGTTGTGGCAACTTCTTGGTTTTGCAACGCGCTAGTCACTAGTCTCTGAGCCTTTAGCTTCCCCAAAGAAACTCCATTGGAGGCATCAAGTTGGGATGATTGAAAGTGTTCGGCATCATCTTGCATCTTTCTGCGTTTTGAGAGCAAACGCTGACAAGTGAAGTCAACATCGACGGGTTCCCTCGCATGAGGGAAGCCAATAATGGCAATGAGGTGCCCTGAGGAACAACCCTCGGTCCCTGTGGATTGCCATGGCCAGGGTCTGGTTGCAGCCCAGGAGCGATGAGGCTGAAGCAAGCCTAACCCTGAGGGCACACTAGATGAAGATGCGCCCCAGGTTGTTGCATGCATGGTGGTGAAAAAGTGCAACAAAAAAGTCCAGATAAAAACAAACAAAAAACAAAAAAGGAACGGGGCATCGAATGTATCACAGGCTTCCTTCTGAATTCATCCAGAATCGGGATCCCTTTGGATACCCTAAATCATCTTAGTGATAAATATCTTGAAATCCATGGCTATTGGTTTCTATTAGTTCTATAGCTTCTCCCCTCGACTGCAAGAGCCCTTGGTATCCTTGGTTGCAGCCCAGGAGCCATGCAGCCGGAGCTGGCGTTGATCTAGGCCTGAATATCCAAAACTCAACAGCAGTGAGAAGGGAAGATGTGTCCCAGGTTAATCCATAATCCATGGTAGTTCTATAAACTGCTTGTGACAATAGGTGCAAAAAGCCAGGGAACATGGATGAGATACCACAGATTTCCTACTAGACCATCTGTGTGGGGTTTCCTGACCAACCAGATCCCTAGACAAATGGGCCATCGTCAATCATGGTCCTAAGTTGCCTCAATCTTCACCAGAACCTCCAGACTCCGATAATCCCAAATGATGCACAGATTTCCAAACATATTGAAGATCTATTCGGGGGATGGAGTTGGGACACCTGAAAATTGTCCACGTGATCCTGTTGGTGTTACAGAGACACTGAGCTGGAGAGTGTTTGAAACATTTTGAAACAACCCCTCAGCATCAACAATGCCGCTGAATGAGCCTAAACTTCTAAACATCCATGAACCGATTCATCCAATCATCCTCGGTCCCCAGTCTGGGTTGTCTGGGTGAAGCCCAGTAGCAATGAGGCTGGAGGCATGGTCCCAAGCCTTGGGCCGCAGGGGCATTGGATAGGACATGGTTGATGAACAAATAAATAACAAACCGCTTCCGGCTCTAATATCAAATGCAACCTTAGATGCCCTGGTTTAGTGGCTCTATTCATTTTGGGGGCCCTTTTTTTGGAATGTATTTGGGAAGGGGTTACAATTTTGGTTTCAAAAGGTAAACCAAAAATAGCAACAAAAAACTGGGGTTGAAGTCCTGATACGGAAACATGACTTAGGAGGTGCGCCAGAAATGAAGAAATGATTCCGACCAAGAGTTTTGTGAGCAAATCTTTGTCAGGGAAGAATGTGTCAATGGTGGTCATGGTTTCATTTGCTTCTGGAAATTGTGGGGTACGGCCTTTGGGTCACAACTCCCCCAGACGCTGGTGCTGAAAAATGTGAACAGTGGTTTCTGATTTCAATTCATCCTGCTGAAGTTTTTCCTGTATGCCCGCAACAGTGTCACGCGACAGCTATCGACACCTAGCGGCCTAGCATCAGCTCAAAGGGTCTCAAAGGTTCAAGAAGTCAAACATCTAAAAACACAAAAAAATATGATAAATCATACCCAAAATCACCATAAATGGATGGCAACATGTGGTAACTATCATCCCAAATGATAGGTTTACTTTATTTTCCCACATTACTCGGCTTTGGCTGTTAGAGAAGGCCAGGTAGAAGAAGGTCGAAGTTACCACTTCCCCGTCCGCAACAACCGCTCTCGCACTCAAATCTCCGGGTGCGTCGGAGAGAGCACTCTGCAAAGAAGGTGCGCAAAGAGCAGGCTGCAGAGTTTACAAGTTGGGATGGTTTTTAAACTGCCGCAACTTCATGGATGAACTTTGAAAACCTTGAACAGCTGCCAAATGATGAAAGGTGCAGCTTTACATTGCCAAATTCGGGGTCCTCACATATCATTGTTCGGATGGTTGTTGGAATGCGCTCTTTTATGTTCTGTTCATCCATTCGATTGTTCTCCTATAGCTTGGCATGGTTCCATTGCAAGTGTCCACGATGACAACTCTGTACATCTGCCTCGGCAAGCCCCCTCCTCTCGGTTTCCGACTGCAGCAGCTGCTGAAAATCCGCAAAATCGTCTTCAGCGTCCAGGACTTGGTACGACCAGGCCAAGGCACATAAACCAAAGTCTGCCAAGGATGCCAGTGTGGATGGAGACCCAAGCTGCTGAGAAACCAAATGCAACAACTCACCAGGGTACACCCCAGCCTTGGCACAGGACCAAACGACATTCACCACAGTGTCAAAGCGTTTAGCTCTGAGTTTGGGAACCAAGGGGATCAAGCGCGCAGCTGTATATCTCAAGAAATCATCCTGAAGAATCTCAAGGGCCTGCCTACTATCAGACAACCCCTGGCAGTCCATGGTTTCCATCTTGGCAGGGACCTCTGCAACCAGGGCCGGCACCAGCTCCAAAACCTCAGGTGCAACATCCTTTAGCTGGGCAGTGGCCTCCAGACACGTGCTCAGGTGATGTGGCGTCATGCGCTTTGCCTTGTCCCGGACTTGGAGGGCAATGGCTGGCACCACCTCCAAAACGGCCGGTGCGACATCCTTCAGTTGGGCAGAAGCCCACAGGCAGTTGGACACCTCTGGCGGACTCATGTCCCCTGCTTTCTGAGTGATCTGGCTGGCAATGGCTGGCACGATCCGAAGCACTGCCGGCGCAGCATCCTTCAGTTGCGCAGCTGCCACCAGGCACTCATCCAGATGCTGTGGAATCACTTTCCTGGCTATGTGAGTCTCCTTGATCTGAGCAGAGATATCTGGAACCATCTCCAGCACTGCAAAGCTTTCATCTTTCAATTGCGCTGCTACAGATAGACAACGAGTCAAATGCTGTGGACGCATGCAGGCAGCTTTCCAGGTGATTTCAGTGGTAATGGCCGGAATCAATTTGCGTGCACCAGGTGCAGCACTCTTCAACAGAAAAGATGCCCACAGGCTGTTTGAAAGGCTTTGTGCACTCATCTTCCCGGTCTTTGTGGGGAAATACTCGATCAATGCAGCCACAAGGTCGGAAGGAATGCTGAAGTGTCGAGACAAAGTCGCAAGGCTCAACAGAACATTGGACAAATTCAGTGCGTTTAGATGGCCCTGAAGCACCAGCTCTCGGACACGATGGTGTAGCCGAAGAAGGACCGTGCTGTTCCAATGCGCCAGCTGCAAATGACCCCTCCTGCTGAAGCTTGACAACTTGTAGTAGGCTTCTTGTGCGTGGATACCACTGAAGAACCGGTCGTCAACTCCACCCTCCAAAATGTCAATCAACGTCTTTGCAGCTTGCGCTTTCTTCAACTCTGACGTCAAGGTCAGCGCTGGACCTTTCAAAGCGCTAATCAAGGCCTGATTTGCCAGTTGAGTTGTTCTTTTCTCTTTGACCTCTTTAATCTCTTTGTTCTTCCCTGTCTTTTCGGCGATCACTTGGACTTCCGTCACCACGGAGGCCGCTTTCTTCTTGGCACCTGACTTTTTGGACTTTCTCCGAGCGCACCTCGAAATCAGCTGGGTCTTTCCATGGCCAGCCCAGCCCGGCACAAAGCTCCACTGGCAACTCGCCAAACTCACCAGGCGCAGCAGGATGCAGCAAATCAACAGCCTTAGACACCTGCGGATGTCTGAAGTCATGGCTGGGGCCAAACACTCTTTGGTGTGGCCGTGGCTGAGCACTTGGAACTGGAAAGGTTGTGTTTTTGATTATTCTCAACCAGGAAATTGAAACAACTTGAGGATGAAAGCATTCAAATTGCCATTGCAAAATATTATCAGACGTGATTTGTTCTTCTTCGCGCCTGTTTTTGACTTGCTCAAATTCAACGTCAGGGTTGGTGTATGTTTAACTTTTCATCTACGCTTCATACTCACACGAACTCGTTAAACTTTCACCTGCCAACAGGCTGCGGTTGGGCAGTTGTGCCTTTGACTGGTACATGAGACAACCTGACACCCTAACAACTTCGTTTTGGATAGTCTCACTTGGAGCACCAAACTCAGTCAAAATGGGGAGCTAATCAACGACCACGACCAACCAACGGCAATTGATCAGTTCCCAGTAGTTCCAATTGGTTTTCCAGAAACAGGGCAAAAGCAGCAAAAACTGAATCCCACTGCTTTCATCCAAGACTTGCGGTTGATACATGATATTTGCTTCTTATTCCCTTGTGAGAGAACATGCCATCGCGTTTTATGCCCTTCAGTACTGGCGCCATCAGCTACTTCAGCTACATTAAATCAGATAGCTGGGATGGAAAGCTGCTGGGCTTCACTTATCCAAGATCATAAAATATACATGTGGGACCCATACTACATGGGATATTCTGAATATGTGGGCATTCTATCCCATTATGCTACTATTAAGATAGGATCCCCATTATTCTAGGATGGGATACTTATTATCCGTAGGAAGACCCAATTCCTAATCCTAAATCGGATCCCAAAGACAATACTCATCCTAGTTGGTTAATTAGGACACTCTATGGGTTTGCCTTTAGTAATCATCCATCATCATCCTAGTTAATAATCCTAATCCTCTCATGGCGTTGATCCGGCCCTAAACTTTCATGTGATTGGGAAACTCCATATTCTTAGCTCCAACTGGCTCCACATGGCCAAAAAAAAGAAAATAATGGACTCACAAAAGGATATAAATAGATACTATGGCACTATAAATAGATATAAATAGTAGATACTTAGTCCCTTAGTCCATACATAGATACTATGGACTCATAGCTCCTTAGATCCCTCCTGACTGGAATCCAGATGTGCCCAGCCACGGGCGATAGACCGGGCGTGCCGCCGTCTTGGACGTTGGAAGCCGCTTCACCTGGAGGCAAGGGGGCGCGCATGTCCTGGTGGATCCAGAAGTATTTTGCCACCAAATCTACCGGGGTTAATGTTAGTTGGTGACTATGGAAATATATCTATAGATATCTATACTTAGTATAGTTCCTATTATAGTTACCGTGGTTAATGGTGTTTATTTTGCTATGTTTTGTTGGTTTCTAAACCCCATCAACTTTGAACATAGTTATTGGCCAACAAAAACTTGGTTTTGGAGTCTTGGTTTGGGAGTTATGAACAAACTGGATGTCAACCCCGAATGAAAGCCAACTTCCCTCGCCGCACTGTTGATCATTGGGGGGCTACCATGTCAGTAGCAGCTTAGCCCCAATCAACCGGGGTTTATCTTTATGAAACCAGGGTTGGCATTAATTAGATAAACTTACCCATCTGAGACAAGACATTTGATATGGACCTTCAGCTTCGAAAGGTGTTCAACTGATATTTCCAGCGCCATCCAACACTGTTGAACGAATCATTAGATTTACTTCCATTATGTTTTAACGAAAGCATGAACGAGAATCCTTCCACAGGTCATATCATTGTGTTCCATCTTTGCACCCATCCCATCCACCGAACATGGGCGACATGTTAGATTATATAAAAACACATTTGAATCATAGGATCCCATTCCAACCCATCATCCCATCCCAGCTCATCATTGGATTTACTCTATTTTTTGGGGTGAAAGTGTAAAACCCCCATGATATTTTAACGATTCCACTGGATTCCGTGACCACTGGATTTCCTCCACCATTTTACGAAAAAAAATGCTGCTCTAAACCCGAAATGCTACCAAATATGTATAAATCATCTATTTAACCATGGTTTTCTGATTTGTGTTTCACATGATGGGAATTTCTGGTGAGTTTGAACTCCCATCATCCCATCCCATCTGCCTCCGGCTTTGGCTCCGGCTCCAGCAGCACCTCCTCCATCTCCCCGTCCCCGTCGTTGGCGTCGACCTCGTCCTCGGCCTCGAGGTCCGGCAGCCCGGCGTGGCGGCGGTGCGCCTCCAGCAGCTGCAGATCAATGCGCAGAAGGTCCAACTGCCTGATGTCATGGGAATCATCCATTGATGGATAGTATATGGTGGATGATATATATATATATAATATAAATAATATATATATATATAGTATGTATAGTATGTGTAGTGTGTATATATATATATATGTGTGTGATATGATTTTTGTGCGTGTATGTATGTATAATCCATGTATGGATATGTATGGATGATATCAGGATGGGATGAATTCTCCAAGATGGGAATAGATGGGAGGTTAGGTATTAATCAAACACAGGATGATTTTGGGGTGATGCCTCATCAGCTGGTATGCCAGGTCAATCCTGGCTTTTTTTTCGAGTTCACAAGAGTCAATTGCACCTCTCCAATCAAAACCGTGGAGGATCACCATAAACCAACTTCTCATCACACAACCCCAGGCGAACTTATCAACCATCTCTCTGCCAATCTTTTTTCACAATATTGAAGACTTTGCTAGCCCGGAAATTCCCCCATTTACACAACAAACAAGATGACCCACATCCACTAGTTCACGACCCTCACCAGGCCACCCAGTTCGGCCCAGCTATGCCCAAGGTGCCATTGGCCATTCTTCCGGTAGTCTTCCTCATTCGCCAGGGCATAGTACTGCCTCACGCGCTCAAACAGCGCCGGGGCGCCCCGCTGCGCCGCAGCGCCCCCACCCGAGCTCCGCTGCAAAGACTCGCGCCACATCTGCGGAAACCTGCCGGAAATGGTGGTAAAAATTGGGACGTCACCCAGAAAAATGAGGATGTAGCCCCCCAAAAAAACTGGTTACAGGGGATGGGAGTATGAGGTGGATGGATAGATTTCTGCGCAATGCATATAGTGACTATAGTGCCAACTGGGGTGCATCCCAACAACGGGTGACATGTTCATCAAATTTCTCGATGCGACATACCCAAACTACCCTGCATCAAATGCCAACCCAGCTCCAACCTTCTTATGGCATGGGTGCCATGCCCATATCGGCGAGGATGGGCACGGATCAGGTGGTGGTGCAAAGATCAGTGGATCGGATTATAGGATAAAGGGATCCAAATTAATCAGGATTAGGATGATAAATGATGATAAATGGCCATGATAAATTCATCAGTGAATCAAATTGAATCAAAGGGCTTGAATTTGGGACAAAATTTGGATTGTCAAACATGGCACTTCGCGCGGTTTTATTGTAGAAGTGAATCCCCCCTTTGGTTGCTATCCAGCATGATTTTAAAAAATGGGCTGCCAAAAACTTTGGGATCACATTGATTTGTTGCAACCCCTGCCCCTGACTGTTTCGCATGTGACTCTGGCCATCCCAAACAGCTTCGGATTCGCCCAACATCGGCTGCACGTGTTGCAGGAAAACCTGGGGATTGCCTGACACTTCAAGACGCATGTGCTGAGTTTAACAAATTCTGCCCACATTGCTGAACTGCAACGGTACATAGTTGTGGTCTTGTTCTTTGCATCTGTTCTGGTTTGCGCCTGTGGCCAAACCCCTGCTTATCCATCATGCGATTGAGGAACTCCATTGATAGCTATATCCTTTACTTCCCAAATGTTTCTTGCGAATATAAATAATAAGCTTAACCCAATAATGAACCATAGGGTAAACCATTTGGGGATGGTTCGAATCCCGCCCATCCATGGTACCCACTGGTCCCACAACACAGCTGCCACAGCTGCCCTGTCACCTGACATCCTGCGCCGTCTCGCGTCTCGGCATGGAGAGCGGAGGTTTTGATGTTGCCCAATATGGTTTCATTGGGCTTGTAATGTGGTAAACCCATGTAAACCCACCCTCCAGGAAAACCCCCAAGGGAGATGGTTTATGTTAGTATCCCACCCACCCATTTCCGGTGAAATTTGGGGTTGTTTTTTGATTGGGTTTGGGAAGTTTAGAACGTTTGAACCGTCAAACTTAAAAGGGGGTCTCGATCCAAAGATCAAGCCCCAAACCTCTGGGTATGGGGCCTGGTCTATGGGCCCACGTTTAATATGTTTAATCGGGAGCCAATATGGTTTCAAGCATCAATCCAAGAGTTATTACCACGTTCCAACAGCAGTTGTTGTGGGCATTTCAAGTGCCAACTTCACCACTCAAGTGTTCTACCGGTCTCCTCACCATTCACTTTGGTTCATCTCCAAATACCTCTAGGGTGGGATCCCGGTGGCCCAGTCGATTGCTGTCTTGTCTTGTGCTCAAACAGCTAGCGGCGCGAAGCTTATGGTAGTAAGTCACCAGCATACCTGGTTTTGGCTGTTCTTTGGAAAGAACCCCCAGGAATCCTGGTGAACTCAAACTGCCGAACTGATCCAATGGGATTAAGATCATTAAACCGTCCAGGTGGCTGTTGATCATCCCAGTTGGGGGTTGAAAGTACTGTCATGTGAGAAGCAGTTTGTTGCACTTGTTTCTCAACCATAGGATTTGATGCATAGGTGGTTAGATAAACATATTAGTCTTCCTTAAGCCTTTAAAGCTTGTACCTTTGCATATCTTTGCACATCATTACATATTTGTGGTTGCCTCTGTTCCTTCCCCAGCCCAACTACCATATTTGTATACCAAAATGCTTGAATACAAAGCTCCTTGCAAACAGTCGACATCAAAGATTTCCACATCTTCAGCACTGAACGGTGCCCTTCGACCCCATTTTTCGACACCAAAGTTCTTCGACGGCCTCGCTGGCCGATTTTCAGATGGCTGCCGGTCACTTCTGCGGCACCGCGGGATCAAGACCCAAGCAGAGATGCAGTGGTCCCTGGGGGAATGGAACACCTTTGGATGTATATGATGATGCTCAATCAAACCAATTGGAGTTTTAAGGTAACTCGCAAAATTGAGGGGTTCCATGTGGTTCCGAATTGTGTCATGGTATGCCCCAGTATGGGTACCCGCTATAAGTGATCATTTTGCAATCTGATAAAAGAACATGCGGTGTATTGATAACATCGGTTTATCATGGTTTATCGACATTCAATAAGCTCCTGTCGTGGTTGATGTTACCAGGAAAATCTCACCCAGGATTCATCTGCGAGAAAAAAATTGAGCGAAGGTTGCCTTTGTAGTCGCCTTGCTGCAATGCAGGTCTCCAGGGCCGAGAGGAATGGATCGATGGTGACATAACGTGTCTGCTCTGTCTGTCTGAAACATGGTGCACAAAGGGGACCAGAACTTCGGTAGGAACTCTGAAGGCACCTGCAAAGAACGAAAAAAACATCGGAAAAAAACTAACAGCCCGAACTACACATGGCGAGCCTGTAGCTTGTAGTGTGGCAAGCCCAAAACTGAATTCCTTTTTGGGATGGTCGTTAATACCCCCAAAAGGTAAATGTCTTAAAAGTGACCAAATGGGGTATGGTTCACTAACATGGTAAACTCCATCATGAACCTACCATTAGGGATGGTTTGAATCCCATCTCTCTAATACTTTGACACTTTGCCATACTCTATATCATTACAACATATAAAAAGACATTATATCCCAGTATACCCCCATGAAATACCACCATTGTTATTCGTTGAAACCACATGTGATCGTTGGGCGTCATAAGTTTCAAGTCCCAGATCCATCATGATCCCCTGGAGGGCTTCGGAATCAACGCCACTGGCTGACGCCCGACATCTTCGGGCTAAGATCCAAGATCCAAGAGATTTGCCACGGCATTTTGCCATGATCCAAGACCCGATCGTTGGAAAAAACCATGGGGAAACATGGGGAAACCATGAAGATCTTTGGAAAAAAAATCGCGAAAGGTATTGAAAGTTGAATGACCCCGAAAAAATGATCTGATAGCGAATTGGATCATACAGGATCGTTCCATGGGGAATTTCTTAACCGGAAACCAACCCAATGAATTGTTGATGGTGAGCAGCTGCATGATACTCTAAACCCATAGCACCAAGTCTCTGGGGGAATGATGGAATGGAAGATCGTATAGCGGTTGGATTCTGAATCGGGCTTGCACTTGGGTATGATCCCTTTTCCAAAGAATCAATCATTGTTTTTTTTCAAACTTCAAGGCTGTTGGTTTGATGATGGAATCGTCCATCATTTAAAATGACTCCATCGTGATTAAAAATCCATAGCAATTCCAGATTTCAAGACTTTGATGGGATTTCTCTAGTTTTTTCATGGGATTTCTCTGGGTTTTTAATGGGATTGATGATGGAACCGTCCAAACTGTTCCATCTGCTGACAAAGATGGTCGGGTTGAACCGGCACGCCACTTGGCGCTGCAAATCTCGAGGGAACTATGCGGGAAAAACTGCTGGTCACTTGGCGGCCACGGTGCAAACATCCAACCCTTAAAAGAGGCTAGACATGACCGACATAATGTGAATATATATATATATATGGTAACTACATTTAAATATACGAACTGGTATTTCATAGTACCTCCGGGGCCTCGCGGTTTGGCCCGCCCTCCACATATTTAAATGTCGTTACCGTATATATATATATATTTGATGATATATATATATATGTGATGATATATATATATATATATATTTGATGATATATATATATATATACAGATATAGATATAGATATTATATGTGAATTAGTAACCTCATGTAACCTCTGATTTTCTGATTGTTTAAATCCCAATGTTTTCTGGCTAAATCCAGGTGTTTGTTGGTTAAATCCCCACATTCTCTGTCCAACTGTCCATCTGGCCACTGGCCAAGTGCCACCAGGACTACTGCCGCCGATGCTTCTTCCAGCCTTGCTGGAAACATCCGACGCCGGGAAGAAAAAGGAATGGCCACACGCTTCTTTTAGGACATAGGGCTGGTGATTCTTGGTATCAAATCATCCACTGTTTGGGTCAAGAAACAAATTATAAATGAAAATGCATGTAAGCCATCCATAATTAATTTCGTACACAGGAAGAGAATCTGCTGAGTCTGCTGGGTAAAACAGGGGCCTTCAGCATCAGGTATTCAACCATGTAAACAACATGGCTTTGAGCCATACCCAAATTCAGAAAACCTGGCATCGCAGACCCAGGTTTTTTTCTCGGTTCACCGATGGCTACGCATGCTACAGCGGCATTAATAGAATGCACCGCGCGGAATGTCGAGATCGACATGTGGATGGGGGTAAAAAGCAAAACGCCAAGATCCACTGAATGAACCCTGAGCTTATTGGGACGCCCTCAACAGTCCTGGCCATCATGGGTTCATCTTTAATTTGCCATGTTTTTCATGTGATATCAGTAATATCTCTCTGGTTGTTCACCCATTTATTCATATGTTCCCAACATATTCCCAACTGCATCTGGCCGGTCATGATGTCCTTTGCATTCTAACATGAAACCGATATTTTCCCGGCCAAAATCACCAACTACGATCATCACCAATGGGCTGCGATGAAGTGACGATGCTGACATGGTGACGTCACTAGGAATAGAATTTGCAATCTCTGCCGCCGCAGCACTGCTTGCCAGCGCCGGACTTAGCCGGATAGGGACTGTCAAGGTCGCAGTGAGCTGCTTGCATGAGAATGGCTGATTAGATTTCCAGTTTCACGGTCCCAGCCGATTTTTAATACTTGAGATCTTGTCCTGAAACCAAACAATGGCAAATTGTTGGTAGACAAAATGTGGTGGAAAATCAAGTTGCCAAACCCCATCTTTCAAGTTTGTCGACTTCATTCAACTCCCAGAATTATAGACTTGGGCTCAAGATAGCTTCCAATCTCTGATGTGTGTATTTCCCATATCGCCCAATGACCAAAAACCCCACCTGCCACGGCGGTCCCCGGGGATGCCATGGCTGGGCATTGTGCTCACATAAGACTTATGATTGACTTATGATGGAAAAACAGCAATGTCAATGTAGTGAACCAAAAATTGTAACAATGAACAATCCTCAATTTCACAAAGAACAAATGTATAGTGTCAACCATCTCCGACTGGAGGTTGTTGTGATTGTTTGCATTAACCAATGCATTAACTAATAACAACCGAACAAAGGTTGATAATGTCGACTCTGAATTGCTAAACCCTCGTTGATTCATGGGGTAGGCCCCCCTACAATAATAATACATAATAATACATAATAATAATGATGATAATAATAACAATTATAAAAATAATATTAACATTAAAAAATGATAATAATAATAACAACAATAATAATAATTAATAATAAATAAGAATAGTAATAATAATAATGATGATGATGATAATGGTAATAATGATAATGATAATAATGATAATGATAATAATAATAGTAAAAAATAATAATAACCATCATCATCATCATCATCATCATCTTCTACTAGTACTCATCCGCAGTTGACATGACAATACCTAGTTGTGAGTCGATATCTCAAGTCTCACGCCAGCTACACATCCAAAACCTTGCGTGGGAAGAACTGCATCCACTGCTTCTCCTCCGCTGCGTGGGTACTGTCCAATGGGCACTTGGGGGTTACGTTGCCCAAACAAAAACGGAATAAAGAACCGGGCATAACTTTGCTGAAACCCTCGAAAATAAGGCATATCAATGGATACCACATATCACCAAGGAAAGTGAGCTAAGATATAAAAACATGGGCAAAAGTAAGTGACAGTGCCACAGTATCGCAGGTGCAGTTGTGTCCTACATGATTTGAAGATTGTTGGTTACATCCCCTCATTTCAACTTTCAGACTTCACAGTGATTTTCCTGCCTTCTTGTGGGGTGTGCGTCGCCATGATTCCAAGCTGTGCTTTTGAAAACTCAAGATTTCATGATTACCTTTCATCATCTTTCATCCTCACCCCCCACCATTCAAAAAGAACCCCTCACCATTCAAAAAGAACAACCCATCATGACGATATGTTGCCATTGCCTTCCAGATGATAACAGGATAAGTATAACCATATATAACCATTGCCTTACCGTAATCATGATTCAAAAAGTATAACCTCCCTCACCATTGCCTTACCTTATCCATGTTGGTTATACTGTGGAAGGCAATGTCAAACCCAACATCCTCCATCTCGTTGACGCGTCTCAGCCCACCTGACAGGCATGCGGCGGAAAACTAACCACCCCGTATGCCACCAAAAAATCGAAAGAAACGTGTCTTCCAAACATGTCCAAACAACTTTCTTTGTGTTAGCATATTCTGATATGTTCTAAAGAGGGGAGGCATCGTGTGTATCATCAGGTACCCAACATCAGACATTCTACATAAGTATCTGTCCAAAATTAATTCTAGATTCTAGATGCTGCATGACTGATTCTCTAATGATATACCAAGTACTACACGTAACATAACACCATCATCACGGACAAGTCAGCCATCTCCAGCCCCACAGCCCCACTTCCACCACAGACCTGTGAATCCTCCGAAGTCACATCGCTTCACTACTCGTTGCCCCACATGGACATGCAAGCGATACCAGCGCGACCTGCTGGTGACGTAGTGGCGATGGTTGGTCATTTCATTGACCCAAAGCTTTTGGCTCAACCCCCAAGAAAATGAAGAAACCGCAGACAGTCTATGATAATCTTCAGATTGACTTCTCTTCACCAGTTGTCGGACAAATTGATAATAGTACATCAACAAATTGATTCGACAAATTTATTCAATCATCTGAGTCCGGGAAAAAATATGGCCCAATTTTTTTTCACCCTGACTCCATCCACCGGTATCTCCAGTGGCACCTGGGAGAGAAATGTTTGAAGATCACCGTGGCCCAAGCCTCGGATGCAAAGCTCAGAAGCTCGGTGAGGTGGTTTGCAACGAGGGCAGGGTTTAAGGTGGATGGTTTTATAGCTAGCTGGGGTTCTGAACTAAACCAACTTATAACCAACAGAAACCAACTATATCTGGCTTAGACAGATGAAGCTAATGTGGGATTGACTCAAAATATGCGTCGGAAAAAAAACATCCAATTCTAGATGCTTTTTGATTTATACCACCCCCTTTCTGGTGACATTGGGGATGGTCTTCGATGAGGGGTACCATGTCACAGTTGCATGGGGCAATTAATCAATTTAGAACTGGAGGGGTCAGGCCAAACAGTATGCTCATCAATTTGCATCATCCCAATGCGGAGGATAAAAACTGTGGAATGGATGATGCTGGAGATGCTGGATGTGATCTGTGGGAGATTGTCTTGAGACATCGCTAGCCAGGCATTGCCCCACTTGGGGCCCGTGCCGATGTGCCTGGGGATTCAGTGCAGGCGATGGATGGTTGTGATTGTAGCAGGGTCAAGACTGGAGCCTCTCAGCCACCCATATGCATTTTACCCAAAAAATGTGGTCTTATGATGTCTTATGTGGCCTTCAACCATGACAACTGGTTGATGGTCCAGCCGCCCATCCCACAAAGGTGGATGCGGATTCAAAATCCCCAAATCAAACAGACATGGAAAGCATTCGAATCAGCCAGCCGATGCAGCATTGGCTCTCCTTAATAAATCATGGCGAAGATCATCCAAGTGCAAAAGTGAAAATCATTGAACATTTTACAGTGATCCCTGGCAAAACATCCTACCAGTTAACCTACCAGCGAGCGCTGTAATTGGAAGAACTTGCCCTGTGACCCCTAATGCTACACATCGAAGGAAGTTTGGGATAGTTTGGGAACCAAAATTGCCTTATCCATATTCCGTACACTTCAGATCTTGCAAGGGGGGCCTCCCTGGACCTCGCATAAAGGTCCTATATTTGTTGTGGCCTCGTGCTATAGATTGCACC